TTTAGGATCTTCATCTTAATTATGTCATGTCAAAGGTTGAGACAATTGTAATATCTTATCTAATAAGTCAAAAAATGATGGTTCTTGAATTAAATCAGCTACGTGTAGATTTTCTATTTAGTTAGCATTACAAAATGTAAAGAATTCACAATAAAAGGTGAAAAGTTTTAACATTCTTTGTTACATTTATAAGATTCTTTATTGGCTTTTATGTACATTTATTAATATTATATCTATACCAATGAATAAGTTATTCCAACCTATTTTGATATTATCTTGAGATTAAGACTTCTTCAACTTCATATTTTTAGTTGTTATCTACTTCTATAAAAAGATGTGGCATTTATCATCTTTTTAATATATGTATTATCTTGTATGGCTCAAAAAGAGATATATGGAATATTAGATGGATTTTTATAGACTTTGATAGGTACAATTAATAAGCAAGTGGATTAATTTATTTACATATAGAAAATGGTCCAAATCTATGATAATTTAACTTGTGAAAAAGACAAATAGTCTTGATATTATGACAAAGTAATCATATCTTATTGTTAATGTAGAATTAAAGTTTTTCTTTGTGATAGGCATCTGCATTCATTTTTTGTTGTTCTTGAGCTTCTTTTAGATGTGACTTTATTGTTATATATAATTCAAATAATAATTTTCCAAATCTTCTACTATAAAATTATTAAATTTTGGAAAGTCAAAAAAATCAGTGAAGTCATAGATGATAATTACAATTAGCAAACAAAAAAGTTTTATGTATAAAAAAAATACTATATTTTTATAAGCAAACTTTGCTAATGGAAAAAGACCAGGTTTAGGGTTTAGGATTTAGGGTTATTGCTATGCTTAACTTTTGCATGATAAAACTTCATTACCAGGTTTAAGTATTTAAGCATAACAATATCCATTGTAGTACAATTGAAAACTATTTCAAGCAAAGACAAGCAATCAATCTTCAATACCACATGAGCACCTATTAAGTAAATCTTCTCAACTTTCAATGTGATAAGTATAGGCATGATAAAACTTCATTACCTTGGTCTCTTCCACTTGTGACAAATATAAAGTCTTGAATCAAATCTCCATCTTCTTCTTATATAAGCATTTTTTTCTCCATTAAGTACTTAGCCCTAAATAATATATCTACCATCAAGTTCTTTTTGCCCATGATATATACCAAAATAAGATTTAGAAACTTAATTAAAGTAATTCATTTAAGCATAGCAATATCCATTGTAGTACAATTGAAAACTATTTCAAGCAAAGACAAGCAATTAATCTTCAATACCACATGAGCACCTATTAAGTAAATCTTCTCAACTTTCAATGTGATAAGTATTATGTGAGTTTCATGATATATTGTGGATTGAACAGGTTTTAGAGTTTTAGGGTTTATGATTTAGGCTACTTATACTACATAAAAGAATTTGGGCTACTTATATCAAGATCAAAGACTGCTATTAGTAGAAGGATTTATACAAGGATGTAAAAGAGTTTGTAAAATCTTATAAAGTGTGCCACTTATAATCTAAGGTGAGATATAAAGATGGTTTATGTCCTACCTATCTACTTGCCATTCATTTTCAATGGATGATTGATTTGGTTGCTATACTAATGGACCTTTGGAGTATAAAATATTTAATTTTGGCAAGAGAAGAAGTCTCCAATAATATAGAAGGAAGGACATTGAGATCAAAGTCTATGGAGGTGGTATATTAGTTTATTTTAGAAGATATTATATATTGCTATAGAAGCATTGGAAGAATGAGGGCACACTAGGGTGAGCTTGATATGGCAGAGGCACATGATTTTTTCACAAGATATAAGTTACAATTAAAATTGGCAACTTCCTACAACCTCAAAGCTAATAATAAGAGTGAAAAGAAGCACCTTTTAATCATTCAAGTTTTCATCAAGGCATATACGAATCAATTAAGGTTGTCACCTAAGCTTTTGTCATTTACTTTATGGACAAATAGGATTACTCATAGCATAGTTACTTCCTATACGCCTATGGAATTGATGTTGGAGCAAAAGCCCTTAATGCCTACAAAGAAGTTTATTTGTTGTAGATTGTTTTTGTCTTGAGAAGATGGCATTGACAGAGAGAGATTGTTGGAGCTTTGAATTTGCTAATTAGAGAGATTGTCCAAAGATCATCAAGTTGCTATAGAGAAGATTAAGGCAGCAAGGTTGAAGAACAAAGAGAGATTTGATAAAACTCATTAATTACAGCCTAAGCTAATTAAAGAAAGTGATTGGATTTTGATTTATAATAGTAGTTTGATACACCAACATTCTACTCTTTATAAATTTATATGACATTGGTTTGGACCCTATGTGGTAGTTAAAGTATATGATAATGTAACTTATTTTCTTTAAAAGTTAGATGGGATACTATTAAAGTCTAGAATTGCAGGAAAGCAAATTAAAATCTTCAAGCATTGAAATGGGATGAATTATATGGAAGATTTAGAAGCTTTTGAGCCTCAATATTTTGATCAATGGTTCAAAAGTGATATGGCTAACAATAAATCTGATTTTGATGATGAAGGTGTTGTGGTTTAATTCTTTAACATACATTAGAGTATATACATATTTGGAGGAGATGAATGTCTTGATACACTTAATTTAAGTATATCAAAGATATTTAGAAGGTAATTAGTTTTACTTATAGGAAGGAAGAATATAATGCTAATATATTTACAAATTTTAAATAGAATTTATAATATGAAATTGTTATCTTCAATAGATTATTCAAGCTTTAAGGATATTATCTTTTAAAGTAGATATGTAATTCTATAGTAATTTAAGGTGGATATTAAGGAAGGTTAAGAAAGGAGATTTATTAATATCAAATAGGATTTCTTGCTTAAATAGGTGTGTGTGGAAGGAGGTCGCTAGATTTTTTGAATAGCAAGATTAAAGATTGGTTGGAATTTTCTATGCCATTTATTGGATTTTTATTAATTTATTTTGATTTTGAAAAAATTTAGATCTTTTTGTTAACTTTCTAAAAAGTCTAAGCATGTAAGAAATGGAATTGTGATAAGAGAGATTCAAGCAAATTTGTACAACGAGAATCAATGGAGTTTTCAAACAACAAGTTTCAAAATTAGTTAGAGGCTTTCTATGTCATTTACTACATTTTTGTCTTTTTGTATTGAAATTTGAAAAAAAACTAGATCTTATTGTAAGCTTTTCAATAAGCCCTAGTACGCAAGAAATAGAGTTGTGATGAAGGAAAACCAAGAAAATTTGTGGATAAGAGTTTTGAAGGCTTCAATTATAATAAGCAACCAACTTTTCCTTAATTTGGTTCTTAATTTATTTCAAACTTATTTATTGACTTTGACATTTTGAAGTTTATAGCTTGAATTAAGCTCAATGAACTAAATTTTACCTATACTAAGTTAGTACTAAATGAATTATAGATATTTTAGTGAGAGGAGGTTTAGATTTGAGATTAAGATTAGGGGTTGGATGCATCTTAGTACAAAAAAGGAATTAATCTAAAATTTGAACATAACCTTTGGGCTACTCTTTTATATTTGAATTCATTTAGATAATATTATACTTACTTGCAATCCCATATTTTTATGAGCAAGTTTGTTTTCTTGATAGTAGCAAATATATATATCATTGTGGTCTTATTATAAAATTATATTATCATTGATTAATTATTAATAATTAATTATTATAACTAATCAATTTTTTATTTAAATAATTATTATAATATCTTAATCTAATTTAATAGAATTGTGTAGTTTTTAGATAGATTAAGTATTTCTAAAGTGCTTTAAATAATTTGATTCTAATGTCTAGATTTTAAGTTTTTTTAACTAAGATATTTAAGGTTTAAGTAGGTTGGATATTCCCAACCTACCTTGGACCTTGTTGTTTAGGTTTTTTTATTATTTGGACTATTTTAGTTTGAATCTACTACTAAATTAGTTGAATTTATTAACACCAATTAACATGTGATATAGCTACTAATTTTATGTCACATTGATATTAAAGATCATTTAGAAAAAGCATAGGTTAACTCATCATATTAGGAAAGCAAAGAAAGAAATCTTATATTATTCAAAGATAGTTTAATTATTACCAATCACATTAGACTACATAATACAAGTTAGCATTCTATGCATGAGTATTTAACATTGAATATTCTAAGAATTTTAGAAAATTTTTTTAGATACTACAATTCTTATCATATTAATTATGATAATAAAATAATATTTTATTTATACTATTTGAAAAAAATAAAACTACATTTTTTAAACCAACCTTTAAGAGGGGACTATAACAAAAAAGAATAAAATACAAAAAAGCCATTACATAGTTAGAAAAATTAGCAATGATTCTAAAATTATATTATTTGTTACTTACAGCAAACAAAGAAATGATTACTGTAACGAAAACATGTTTGAAATCTAAAATATTATGTTGAGCCAACTAATAGTATTACTAGTAAAACTTATGAGTTTTAAGATAGCATCATATTATTCACTAGCAGATTAAGAGAAAGACATTGATGATAGAAGAAACGTGAACCACTTGCTGAAGGCGACTGACTTCGGATACGGTTGGCTGCACAGGTTAGTCCTCCCAAACAGCTTCAGAATTTGATTTCAGTGCTTAAAACTCATTAGTAAACTGATTGTTTATTGAAATTAGCATCCATGTGCATTATTATGTCGCAGAAATCACCACAATGTCTTTAAGTAATATGGACAATCATAGTGTTAACATAATACTGGGACTCAGCTACATAACTGTACTAACTATACTGAAACTTCATAGTAATCATGCGTTTCCTTCGTGTGCTATGCCTGTGTTGAAACAGTGAAGTATGGATCACTTTGTGAGGGCAAAAATTATCTTTTTGGATATCCAACGGGAGTGGTACAAAATCAAGCGTGCATGAAATCAGCTGTTCGGTTGCTTGAACATGCGATGTAATAGACCACTCTTTCCAGATAACAGAGTTTCAGAATAAAAAGCTAATGCCAAATCGACTTACATAAATTTTGATACTCCATTAGATGGATATGAACAGAACTTATGCTGTTCATCTAGATGTTTTCACCTTGATCATGATGCACGTGATGTAAATTCTCTCAAATTAGCTCTCTCCACCTCATTGATCGATCAACACTACTTCCTCTGCGCCCAGAGACTAACGTTGACACAGTCAACCTTGAATTCAATAACATAATGTACACTAGTACACACTTTTTTAATTGTTGAAGAGAACTAAAGCAATATCTTCCTCCCTTCATTTGAGGATCCAAGAGCATTCCTTCCGTCTCCCCTGTGAGCTACTTCACACAACTCCAACACTAGATTCGCTTTCTCTATGCACATATTCTCAAGATCAAAAATATTCTCGAAATTGTTACTGCAGCTAATTCCTGTTCATTCCTATTCATGTTCGGACAGTGAACACGTTCTATATGTTTACAGAGACCGTAGAAGAGGATAGTCACGCAGCAGCTCCCGCTCACTTAGTGTATCATTTTCATCTTGCGGCGTCCACAGCACTTCCACAGCCTGAATAGAATCAGCTGAGATGGAACCTAATTTCCGCAGGGCGGCTTTCAGATCAGCGTTGCCATTGATTGCTGGAAGCTTATACTCTCCTTCAGCCGCTACCAGAATCGTCACCTTTCATAAAGAAATCGCAGATAACGGAATTATGAGTCATAGATCAGTCCACTGCGCTTCAATGATCCACAAGGCAAGAATTAAGGAGATGAGAGCTTACCACAATGTACTCGTTGTTGAATCTATCTGCTTTTGGTGCTCCCATCATCCGCTTCCGTAGATTGCTCACATTCACTAGAGTCTCTTCGTCAAACTTGCCTCTCTCTTCCAGAGAATAACTATTGAACCGTTCCTCGGCCATGCTGATTGACCTGTTAATATCATGCTGCAATACAAAACCAACATAAATTTAAGAGAGAATTCGCAATTAACGTGCATTCAAAAAATATTTACAATCACGACCTCCCAACATCGTGCCATACCGATGTAAATCCTGAGATGCAATAATCAGGGTGTCTCAACAGAGCCAAGCACGTTTCTGTGAGAACATAGTGTAGGCCCTCTGCTGTAATGGTATCGGCCTGCCCCGCAATACGGTCCAAGTCACGTTGAAGAGTACGCCCCATGCCCAACAATCCCACCTGATTGCAAATCACAGTGGCCAACCCTACACCCCTTTAGATGATGACACAGCAAGCTTCTCAGCTTCCTCTACTTTTCGAAACAAAAACTCTCTAATTCCTTGGATTTAAGTTTTGAACACCTTAAAATGCTTGCTGCCAGTGTCAGACGAACTCTGAATAGAAGTCCACTCATAACAAACAGACAAAGACAGCATAACAAAATTCACATGCAATCACCCATGTTGTAGTACCTGAAGCTTCAACACGCTGACCTTCTGGGAGCCATTGAGCAATGACCCACCCAACCCCGAACGCTCCGAAACAAACCCGTACACGGCTTGCAAGACGATGAACCCCAAGATGACCAAGAAGAAGATGCTCCCTCCACCTAGTCCAATTCCAAAGAACGGCGATGGTGCAGCGTACAAACCACCACCAAAAAAAGGTGATGGAGCAGCATACGGGACGGCATACGAGAATCCTGGACTTGGCGCAATATACTGCCTGGGCGTGGCGTATCCACCTGAGGGGGATCCCGAGTACGATCGACTAGGGGCTGAGTAAGATTTGCTGGAGAATGAGCTTCCACCCCCTACTTTACCCCCCACTCTCCCTCCACCTGCAGCAAATGCCGTTTCAGCATTGCTCTGTGTCAGCAACAAGCTCAATATGATCACCATCGTTGGCTTCGAAATTCGGTCAACTAGTTGCTGCCACATCTCTCCAGCGCCTTGCCTGTTCACACCATCACCGACATCTTTCTCGCTATGTCTGAGGGCCACCTCAATGCACTTGAAGAAGCGTCTCTGACAGGTAATTGTGACCCTGCGAGTGCAAAGAGAGACAATCCCTGTACCGAAGAGGTGACTCTCAGAAAAGGATGCAGAATTGAGAGCAAGGGCTTTCCAGGGGGCCGAAGATGAGCATGCGGTATTGCCCCTAAAAGCTATGTGGCTAGAAGCCGCAACTGCCACGGCCATGACTTCTTACAAGCCTAAGATCCACTTCCAAAATTCAATGCAAAAACGAAACTGAAGTACAATCGAAAGAGTATACAGAGGAGGAAATGAATAACGGGAAGAAAACACAGGTGACAAGAGAGAAGGAGTGGGAGCTGGCGGAAAATATCTGGCAATGACGGCGACGTGGATGTAAAGTAGAAGTGGGGGAATCACATCGTGGTGGTGGTGTGCAAGGGGGGCCTTGTGCGTGGCTGCCAGGTTATGGTTGCAGCATTGGATTGGTCAGATATTAGAGAAGAACGAGAGAAGCAGAGCAGAGCAGCACGAGAGGAGGGTCCAAGCCATCAATCAATCACCGCGAAACCACCATGAATGGTAGGAGGGAGGACGAGGGGAGAGACTGCCAGACGGAGGAGACGAGACGAGACGAGAGCCACACGGTTGGGTGCCAATGGCGTCGCTGAGGGGGGAGGCCGCCTCATCCGAACCGGAGTGCGCCAATCGCCTTCCTTCCTTCCTTGCCTGCCTGCCTGTCTCTCCCAAGCTCACTCACTGGCAGTCATTGGGTATACAGGATCGGAATCACGCAACATATTGAATGATATAACTATTTGTACTGTAGTACTCCCTCTCATCTCATTTCTACACGCATCCTTCAATCATGCCCGTCCGTCCTTCGTCGTCATTCTAACTTACTCACTCTCACACAGCACCTGGATGATGCCGTTCTCCCCCTCTGATCCCACCGATCCCTCCTCCCTGCCTTCCTTCCTTTCTTCCTTCCTCCCTCCGTGGTCTTATCAGGAAATTGATTACCCGCTGCGACGGGCATTTTCTCTCAGTTAGAGTGAAAGACGTGATAATCTGGTATCTTGGTGTGTGCCAAATCCGTGTGAGGAGGAACCCTTGCCAGAATTGCTGTCCCATGCACGGTTCTCGAAAATCGGCTATCAGGGTTCGGGCGCCATCATTTGAGCTACACAGCCCTGGCATGAAATTTGAGAATTCGAGTATCGAGTCTTGGTGTTTGTTTGTCATTGCGATCATGCCGAAAGTGGGATTCTATACTAAATGTGCGACCCCGATGAAGAGATCTGGACCAAGCTCGACGTCGCAGCATGCATACATACGTACATACATACTATACCAGAAGTGCTGAAGCCGGAACAATCCTGGACTAGCTCCATTCTCCCTCTTTCACTCGTCTCTTCTTCATCCATTCCTATTTTTGTTCACCAAATTTAAAAGCTTGCTGAATGTTTATTAAAGGAACTTCAAGTTCCACCACAGAATGCTAATTATAACTTTTATTGGTGACAAAGTGGCAACACTCTAAGAAGAATGAGATCATATTTCTTAATGATAGATATGGGTGTGGATATTGTAACAATTACACCATAAAAGTAGTGTTAATTGGTTATTTTTAGAAAATTGCAAATTGTGTCCCACTTTACTTCGATCTTTTGGTTAACAAACTTTGTGGTTAAACGGTATGTTAAAGTTGCATTTATTTGAAACATTCTTTCAATTGCAAATTCAAGCAACAATGCAATCTGTGTTGTTTCTTATTTGTTCTTGAACTCTAATTAGAATAGTTTTTTTTAAATTATATCAATTGGTTGATAATCATTCATTCTTGCAAATTTAGTCTTTAGCTCTTGGTTTCTTTATTTTCTATTTAATTAAGAGATGCATCAAAATCAAAATCTATAATTTTGGAACTTGAGTACTATTTAATAATTTTTTATTTCAAAGGAAAATTATGTTTGTAGTTTAGAATTATAAATAATTAGTACTACAAATTATTTTTGATTTATTTTTCAGTTTGAATTTAAATTGAGTTAAAATAAGAACTGAATTAAAGTTAAGACTGTTAATAAATTCTGGTTTTGACTTTAGCACATGTTGAATTTGGCAAAAATACATATGCACTTAATACAACTCTTTGTCCTAATATAGTTTACAACAGCACAAATTTTCATGTGAACATGTTTCTAACTTGTTAGCTAAAATTTTAATAATATTTTAGCTATTTTAAATGAATTATATAAGAAATGATTAAATATTTTAAAAAATAAATCTGTTTTGAAAAGATGACATATTTGTTTGCATTTTAAAAGAAAATTTTAAAAGTTATTATTTCTTTTTATGATATTCCATTGAGTTACATACAATAACTTGTCAAAAATAAAATAATAATATGGATGAAGATAAAGAAACTTATAAAAAAATTGATTAGAAAAATACATATATATATATATATATGTATATATATATATTATTAATACACACAATGTCAAAAGCAAGTATGTAGTACTAAAAACACACATCAAAGATTTTATATTAATTTGATTCTGATAGCAATGGTACTGACAAAGTTGGTTCCCAGCAATAGTTACTAGAAGTTAGGACAAACTAGAGCCATCACCAAGTATTCAATTGTGAATTGAAACCTGCCAGGCTAAGTTGCAAATAGTGCTGGAGTAGCATAGATGCTTGCTCCATTGATCTCCTACAGTAGAATGTGGTTACATGTCCAAGCCCATGTTGGAGTTATTTAAATGCAAGTGCAGGAGCCGTTTGTTATTTGCTGGAGCTTGATTAGGACTCCCATGTTGTCTTTGGATTGCAAAAGCATTTCAGATTTGTAACTTACTCTTATGTTAGGGTTGCCAATAGGTATGCTTCCCACACCTACTTCACCTTTGTAGCATGCTGCTGAGTTGATATTATTGACTTGAAATACAGATTGGTGAAAAGTTAGATTTACAAATTATTGATCACAAATTACAAATGTGTTCCATAGGGTGGAAAGGACCATACCACAAATGAGATGTGATAGATGGCATCATTGGGACTGTTCTTAAGAAATTTAGCAACTAGGCTGTCTTGCCCCATGGGATGTAAAAACTCAATGAATACATTTGACAATTGAACAAAAATTTGTTCACTTTGAGATTGATGTGATCTTGCACATGCATAAACCCTAAACCAGGTTTTTAGGGCTCCATGGACACCTCTTCATTGTATTTCTAATATGAGACTGGCTTGATTATTATTATATGCTTTAATTTTAAATACATATTAACAGATGTCTTACAAGAAAAAAAAAAAAAAACGTAATTTAAATAAATTTTATAAAATGAATTGATGCTGATTTTTTTTAATTTTTTATTTCAAGAAAATTATTTTAATTACAACAGGTGATTGACTTAAAATTTAAAGAAAAAATCAGGTATTTTTTTTCAACTGTATACAATATCAATGGATACAATGTTAGAAATAAAATCAAAATCAATACATATTTTTATAAAGAATTATATATATATATATATATATAGATATATATAATATTTCTTCAATTTCCAGCCACAATACATATTTAAAATTAATTCAACTCATATTTTAAATTATTATAAAATCAAAATTATAAACTTGTCTATTATAGTATTAAAATAATTAGTACCGTGTTGATTAATTGTTTTATTTATATTTTTTCCATATTTGTGAAGCTTGCATTTGCTACACCATGACTTGATTTCTCATTCACCTAAATATTTTAAATACAATTTGTCTATTTTCACTTATCCTCTCTACTCACAACAATAATAACACTCAATATAACATTATGACAAAAGTTGGATATAAGTTTTGTTGTAAATTTTCAAAACAAATCATGACATTATATACATGTATATACATACTCAATATGCATGTAATTTTATTATAAAGTTTTCATTTTAGATATCCTCCTTAAATTTAGAAATAAACTATAAATATATAAATTCCAACTTAACACAATTGCTTACAAAGTTCCTATGACTTTCCAATACAACTATCTAAGAAATAATTTTAGTGACTTTTTATCAAAAAGTGTTCTATTTCCACCTTGCCCATCACCACTTTTGCCAAAGTGCTCCTTGATCTTGTGTACTTTTAGATAGACTACATTACAAATAAACAATATAACTGAAATTCACAAAAGTATATATTTCAACACACATAAAGAATAAAATGAAACTAAAAAATACATACTCACATAATTGTAAATATGCAAGAAGTATATTGAAAATGAGATAATTACTTATATATTTTTATGGCTGAGGGTAAAGGATTTCAAAGTTGAAGTGGTTGGGAAGAGAGAATGCATAACCAACCCTCCTTCCAGGTTTTTAGCGTGAGTCCACTCCTTTTTTTTCTGTATACCGGGGCCGGTATACAGATGAAGGGGCCGTGGTGTCCGAGGGAGGGAGGGAGGGAGGGCTGGAGATCCTGGCGCATGGTCTCTCTCGTAAACTAGTTAGTTAGTGAGGCAGCCCCTACCTCTTCCCCCCCTGCTTCGGGTTCGTCCAATTTCTTCACACTTGGTGAAATTAGGGTTGTGTGTGTGTCTTCCTACCCCCTCTCTCTGCTTCCTTCGCGTTGAGCCAATTCCTTCATTCTTCATGCTTCATGGATGTTTAAGGTTGTGTGTTGCTTCAGCCCTCTCTGCTCTTCCCAATGCATTGCCGTCCTCCTCCTGCTCCTGCTCCTCCCTCTTCGCCTCCTTAACCCTCCTCATGTCCTTATGCCCTTTCTTCAAGCTCCCTCCGCCATGGACCTTGACGATCCTGATGCGAATTCGAAGGAGCGGCGCGAGGAGGAGAACATGATGCGGGATGCATTGGAAGGCCTGCCGGATTGGAGGAGCGAGGATGGTGACTGGGGGAGACGAGGGGATGAGAGGAGCAATCGCATACAGGAGGAGCAGGATTTGGTGGATGCGATCTCCAAGCGTACGCGAGCTCACTACTCGCTCGCTGATATGTCGCTTGATCAACTGGAGACTTTTCTGCAGGAATCGGACGAGGAGGATTATTTCCAAAATGTTGATGATGAAGAGGAGTATCGGAAGTTTTTAGCTGCCGTGCAAGAGAATGTCGGAGCTCAGGATGGTGGCTCGAAGGTGAGGCTACTGAGCATCGTACGCCCTGGACAATATTCCTTTGATTTGCTACTATGTTAGATTCCCTTGGAGATGCGTGCCGATGCTGCTCAATAGATTGATGGCCGAATAGTCGATGCGCTTGAATAACATAATAACTGTAAGTCTTCATATCGATGTAAACGGTACATTTTTTTAGCTCTTTGTCTTAAGTTTCAATCTCCAGGTGCTGTGAGAAGAGATAATACTCGAGCTTATTCTGGATTGAATCATGACATTTCAGAAGCGCTTTTTTGAAATTTATGTCTTGTATGTATGCCACCATAAAGCAGGAGAAAGTGATCGAGTCCAGCGAGAGCGAGGATGAAGATGCTGACTTCGAGGTTGAAATTGAGGAAGCTCTGGAAAGTGATATCGAAGAAAGCTTAGATGGTATTAGTCGGAAAAGAAAACGTGCTCGCCGACCCGTAACCAGAGAGAAGCGGCGAAAAAGAGAGTCTCTACAAAATAGAGTGCTCCTTTCTGGGCGCTCTAAGGCTCCACTCCGGCCCTTATTGCCCTGTGCTCGGAATGTCTCAGTTTCTAATCGGAGTAGGTTTTCAATAGGGAGTGCGGCTAGACCATGGATAACTAATACAAAGATACATCCTTTAGTGTGTGGATTTACAGCTCATCAAATCGGGCAGCTCTATTGTTTGATGCATGAGCATGTGCAGCTACTTCTGCAAGTGTATGTTATGTGTAAATTAGAACCAACAATGCAGCAGACCGCGGTAGATACGTACAGAATGTTGATGGAACTAGTTGAAAAACGTGAGGCTGTTTTATCGTGGAAGAGATGCGCATTCCCTGATTTCTGTTTTCGTCCACCATATATCCACCCTTCTGTTGCTGAGGACGGTGTATCTTGCTTTCAAAATTTCCCGTCCAAAACTCCGCAGGTTGTTGGGAGCAAAGAAGATGTTTCTTCTGCCCGCATGACATCTAGTTTAGGTCCTGGTGACTCTGGAATGAGCGTAGAATCTATCTGCCCAATTGATGGTAGACACTCGGGTGCAACCTTTGCAGAGTCTCTGAATTCCTCTTCAGGGCAGATAGAGACAATCGACAATGCCTTCGGAAGTGAATCGGCTTTATCTGCGTCTCCAACTATTCCGGTGTCGCTACCTTTGGAATGGGTGCCGGCGAGCTCTGGTCCTGTAAGATCGTTAATGGACGTAGCTCCTCTAGCACTTGTAAGGGAGTTCACGGCAGTTGTTGAGAAGTGTATGTTCCATTGTTCCTTCGGATTTCAATTTCAGCTTAAACAGCTCAACTTTGTGGGTTTAGAGGGTGATTGCATCTTTTGCCACAGCCATCATTCCACTGTAATTTCGGATTGTTCTAAGCCTATGATTCAATGCAGTTGTTGAAACCAGGAAGCAGCATTCCCAAGATGAAGCATCAGAGCATTCATTGATACCACTTTTTTCTGTTCGGCTGCAAGTAAGTGATGGTTCAAAATCAACATGTGAACGGATCAAGGCACGCTCCTCATCTCCTCGTCTGAAAAAGACAATGGCAGCAGCACTTGTGGAGAGTGCCAAGAAGCAAACTTTGGCGATGGTTCCCAAGGACATCGCTGTAGCTATGGAGCGATTTTGTCCCCTCTTCAACAAAAGTCTATTTCCGCACAAAGCACCTCCAGCCGCTGTTGCCAATCGACTTTTGTTTACAGATGCCGAGGACGAGTGAGTCCCATTAGTGCCTCTCAACATTGTCTAATGGCTTTGGTGATGGTTATTATTGTCTTGCTCGTCGTGTTTATGTTTTTGCCCACTCTTGAAATGCTAGGTTATTGGCGATGGGACTGATGACCTACAACAATGACTGGAAGGCAATTCAAGAACGGTTTCTTCCATCTAAATCAATGCATCAGGTAAAGTGTAATCGTACAGCTTTTCCATGTCGAAAGATGAATTGTTTGAGCATCAACATCGACGCTTGCGTTCATCTGGGTGTCACGAAGTCCGAGTTCGTCAATCTGAATGCTGTGAATTCAATTCATGATTTACTTGACTGTTCCTTAACGTTTATCTCTATTTAAGTATTACTAGGAAACAACAGCAACTTTAAATTCTCAAATACTCTATCCCAATATGAACAGTAGTTCTGGATATTGCAGAGGGTTTAATAGTTGCTTCGTCCAATTTAACTCTTTCCCGTTACCGCCATGTTCATGAGATATCTTATCTTGGATTTCGATCTATGCAGATTTTTGTTAGGCAGAAGAATCGCAGTTCTGCAAGGGCTCCCCAGAATTCTATAAAGGTGTTCACTTGACAGAGTAATCTCCCGGTTTTTGGTCCACTACTTGTGGTTTGTAATTTCCTATATTGTGATTATTGATACACTGCTTCGCCCTTGAAGCTAATGAGTGGGAAAGGTTGGTTTTCATCATATAATTTGTACACCTAATTGCAAGTTCATGATCCATCACGAATTTAATTTCAGCGTCTTTCAACCATTTGTCATCTTCTATATCTTTTTCTTTGATACAGCATGTCATCCCAGACTTGTCACTGACTACTGGCATACTGCTTGAATGTTTTTTTCAGGCTGTGAGGAAGATGAAGTTGTCTCCACTGACTTCAGATGAGATAGTTTGCATCGAAGAGGTGAGCTACATCCTTATTAATCTGTTGTTAATGAACAGCCCTTCACGTAAAGCTAGGACAGGTTGGACCTGTCATTTGATGTTTCTTATAAACAACTTTTACATGACCTTTCAAAATTGCTGTGATGTGCCGTCAAGCAGTATTGGTTGATTATATTTTGTTTCGTTAATCCTACGAATTTATCAGGCACTGAAGGTGTACAAATATGATTGGGCCAAAGTGTGTCATAACTGTGTACCTCATCGGGACCCAGCGACACTTCCTCGACAATGGCGAATTGCCCTTGGCACTCAAAAATCTTACAAGTCCAACATGAACAGCAAAGATAAACGTAGGCTTTGTGACGCTGGAAAGCGCGAAGGTTTGACCGGCACAGTTGAAAACTTCCTATCCCTGGTACAGTATTCCCGATAACCGAGTATGCTTTTCTGGTACAGGACTGTAAATGTGTATTGACAACTCAACATGAATACACGAATTGTAATCACAATAGATGGTGTTCTATGCAGGAAAAGGTTTATTCGGAACCCTGCAATAAGGCTGGCTGCAGCAGACATAATGAAGAGATGGTGAAATCGCAACCCCATGATGGGTTTTCAAGTGATTTGTGCACTTCAACATCCAGACGCATGTCAGGTAAAATTCTTACAGATACAATCGGACCACTTGCCACTTATTCAAGGCAAAGAAATAAGGATGGTAATTGGCGAACAGATTCTTTCTCCCGATGTCCTGGTACACATGACACTCGGTCGAAATCCTCTAGATGTGTAAATTCCAAAGTCTACACTTCACAACCTTGTATCTCTCGTGCTACAGCCGAACAAACTGTAAAGCTAGCCCCTGGATTGCCACCTCTCAAACTTCCGTCGACTGTGCGGGTCCTGACTCATTCCGAAAAATCTCAACAGCCAGTTCTTGATGTTCATCGCGGCATTGCCAAGACTGGTTCAAAACACAAATCAAACAATTCCTGTTTACGTGGACAAAATTAAACAAGTTAGAAGAGTGCCTGTCGGGTTAAATTCCTTCATATGAGAGATACAATCATTTGAACCTGTCGGTAAGTGGCATGAAGCTGCTTTTCAAATGCACAGTTTGCGGAGACAAATTTGGCATTTCTCGTATTCAGTGTCCAGGGCAGGATTGCGTAAATACGACGGAGTTAACTTGTGCAGTTACAAGTCAGGCACGATTATACATCACCTGGTCTTCACTTGTGTTTTAACAAAGATTTAGAACTTATAAGATTTTTTTGAAGTTCGATCTTGAACACTTTCAATACTGTGCATCGTTTCAGATCAATGATAGTGTGCTTTCACAACTGTAAAGGATTGCGAGACCACAGATTCAGTATTAGCTTCTCCCAGTTGTACAACTGATTCGTATCTTCTTTTTCAAATTGTTCAAATTTAAGGAAACAACATTATTATCAAGTTGGTTACTTGAAACCGTTCTTGTGACAACACTTGATCGAATTTCGTTATCAGAATGCAATTTGGAGTTCAAAGGAACTTTATCCCAGGCTTGTGGGCTATGAAGGTCAATCTAGCTAGCTAGATTCTGCAAGTATAAATTAATCATGAAATTATATTGGTTGTACACTTCAGATTTGTTTCTTTGGTTGAATTTATTGAGTGTAAATGTGTGCATGTTCTTAAAATTGGTTATGAAGTTGAATATATATATATATATATATGTGTGTGTGTGTGTGTGTGTGTGTACCTGGAACACCATGTTAGTATTACACTAAAATGAGTTTGTAACCCTGAATATTTTGTTTTGTTTTGTTTTTGTTTTTTTTTTTTGTTTTTTTTTTTTTTTGGTACATCACAACTTTTATGGACCGTTTACAAATATTGGTTTATAGTTAATCAATAATATTTCTTTCTGTTTTATACACTTATGCAATCAAATATGATATTTTATTCTAGAAACACTTGGATGTCCAAAATCTTTTTGTTTGTAAGTCCTCAACTATTACATTTGAAAATATTCAAAACTTGTGAATACATTAGTCTTTACAACCTTATATTCATAAATTATTCAATGGTTAAAGAACCACCACATGTCCATTCTAAGATACAACTGTTACAGCTACTTATTCATTTTTTCTTATTTTAATAAAAACTCCATTTTTTTACCACTGTTAAAACATATCAACCAACACTGTTGTAAATATTTGCCGATGGTGTTAGGAAAACAAATTTGACATAACTGTTGGTAAAAATAATTGCCATGACAATCTATACAATCACAAAAAGCTCTAAACGAGGAAGTGAGCAAATATAGAGCATTACTCACTTTTTACAAACCTTTGTTTCCTTAGTCAACATTCTTCTAGTTGTTACCTAATATTTTGTATTACAGATATGTATGTATATATATATATATATATATATATATATAATTTAAAGAGTTGAACCAAGATAAATTGATTTTCCCCCTTTATTGTCTATAATACTAATTTTACAGTTGTAGTAAAATGTCCAAAATTATATAAATAACAATAACTAGTCGAAATTCACAAACTAAAAATGAATCATGATAAAGGTTTATATGATTTATAAATAAACAATGTGTAAATTTTATTATCAGTGATGATATGTATGTACCAAACAAGACAAAAATAATCATTTCTAAGGTCAGAGTCACCTAATTTATATATGTTTTATTATTATTACTATTTTAAGTTTGGAAAGCAAGTATTAAATTCCTCTGTATGCATATCTAAATTTACCGATTCTCAAATTTGGGTGGTTCCTCAGATAGATTAAAAACAAAATTTTAGAAATTTATTATTTGCAGCTAAGTTTATCATAGAAATTCTCTTTTCTGTTTAAATGCATAAAAAGAGTAATAATAAAATAAATTCAAAATGTATTTGGTATGGAAATCCTTTTGCTGGCAATTCTCATTGATTTCAAATCTTTCTGAACAATAAGAAATCACACTATTTTAATGAAGGTTATTTTACACATCTCTTTGCTTATTACACTTTAAAAAATGAAAAAAATACATATATTCTAAAATAAGACAAATATTTAAAAAGAAAAGTCATTCAATTTTATTTATCTTTTGAAAAATTGCAAAAGAAAATTGTACTTCAAATTCTATTTAGTTTCTTAAAATTATGACCACTGTGTTGATATAATCTACTTTATTACATGTATTTTAATATTTGTAAATAGAATTTTAAAATAATCATAAGTTTCCTTTACAATGTCACTAGCACTTCACCAATGAATCCAACAAGCTCTGAAAAAATGAAGTTTTTTCAAGTGAGAATCATGCTGTGGAATCTTGCATTGCAATTCTATTATTAATTAAAAACTTATTTTTATTTTGAGTTTCATCATTCATATTAATATAAGTTCTATAAGTTTAAGGTGCCACAACAATAGAATAATAACTGTATTAATTTTAATAAATGTTTCTATTTCCACTACAGTTTTTGTGACTACCACCCAAACCCCCCATCCACCACATGTCACCTTTGTTCAAAATCTTTCAAATCAATCAAATTTTCTTTGTTTCATATCTTTCAAACCATAAATTTTGATTAAAAAATAAATTTCATTGAAATCCTATTAAAAAAATATAATTTAGAATACTATATATTTATAATAATACAAAAAAAAAATGGAAAAGCCTTTGCAAGTATAGATATAGTTGAATATGGTTTTGCAACTCTTTAAATGAAGGCCAGGTCGTGCCCCACCAAAAGAACGAACGAACGAACGAACAAACGAAAGAACGAACGAGTGAACAAACGAGCTAACGATCGATGGAATCCGGGGACGAAAGATGGACGAATGAATCCAGAGGATGAAGAAGGGGATGCATGCACAGGGGACATCATCATCCATATGAAGTACAGACATGCATTGGTAATCGATACCTCATTAATCCTATTATAGCCGCCGCCCTGCCCGGCTGCCCTCTTCCTTCTCTCCTTTTCTTTCTTGTCCATTGTATATCCGTTTTTCTTTACACTTACTTTTTCTTTATATATACTTTTCTGAATTTATAGTTTTTAAAACATTTTGCTTTCTGTCTTTTCCTTTCTACGTCTTTCTTTATACATCATTTTCTTTCTCTCTTTCTTGCCCTCGCTCTCTCTCCCTGTGTGTGTGTGAGAGAGAGGGTGGGTGTTTGTCTCCTTGGGCTTGCGCTGTTGTGTATGTGCACTTGTAATTCAATCCACTCATACTCTACTCGGTAGAGGAGCCATGGCGGCCTCCCACTACTGCGCTCTCTCCCTCTCCCCCATCCTCTCTTCTCGCTACCATCGTTACTGCGTCGTCCCTCACTCTCTCCCACCCTGCTCCGCACTCTCCCCGCCTTCCCCCCGACGCCAGCAGCCCTGCCTCAAACTGGGCGTTGATGATCAGGCTCCCATCTCCCCTTCGAAATTGCACATCTCTCATGAGCAATTGTTACAGTTTGAGAGAGTGGGGCATGTCTGTGTGCGGAAGTTGTTTGACTCTCAGGAAATGGGAGGTTTGATCTCGGCAGTGACCGATGCAGCTGCTCGGGAGAAGCTGAACGCTTACAGACACAGGGTGGCAGTGTTGTGCCCTGGTGTGGATCCCTTCTCTTTGCATTCCATCGCTGAGGCTGAGACTGTGATTCGCGAACAGGTTGTGCTCCACGAACCCCCCCCCCCCCCCCCCCCCCCCTTTGCAACCATTTACAGCCAAGTGCTTCGAGGGTATGGTGATTCTTGAACTTTCTTTTAACGTGGAAGTGTGTGTGTGTGTGTGATGGGGACAGGGGACAGATGAACTGGGTTTCCTACAAAACTTCAATCTGCATCAGAAGTCGCATCAAGTCAGACAGTGGGCGAGTCATCCCCGTATGCTGGCCATGGTAGCTGAACTGCTAGGTGCACAAAGGGTCTGTCACTGGCTACCCACAACCTAATCCTTGAGCGCAATTGAAGGCCATTGACATATTCATCAGGTGCATGACCTATTTGCATTCATGGCACCACAAAATCTTTTTTCGAACCCGCCACTAGAGAGGAAAAACAACACGCTCGAAACGTAAAGAATGGCAAGCTAGGCTTGACAGAAGATAGTCTAACCACCTAATGTCCCAGTGTGGCGTAGAGAGGAAACACCACTGGTCATCTTCTTCAGGGCCCTAATTTAACATTTAAGAAGTGTGCACCGATTTGTGTCATTACTTTCGGACATGCTTGAAAGGGCTTCAGGATTTTAGTTGCGAAGTCGTCGCGAATATATAGCCATTGAGAGGGAGATGTGGGCGCAGGTGCGGCTCTACCAGGACTGTCTGTTCCAGAAGATGCCAGGGTTTGGGGTTACCAATTGGCACTCGGATCTAAACATGGTGCCCCTGGATACCAATTCATTTCTCACCGTCTGGATTCCTCTCCGCTCGCTCGCCAAGACAGACTCTAGCCTCCATTTCGCATCAGGTCTGCTCCACAGCCTTTACTCATCTCATGCATTTCGAAGGCACTGGGATAGAGTACCTCATGATCGTTTTGTAAAAGAGTATTGAATGTAATGTGCAGGCTCTCACAGAGATTTCGCACTGGCGTATTGGCAGAACAACCAGGGAATGGCCAACCTTGAGAGCAGGGGCTATCCTGTGGTAGATTACCCCTGCATGACTCTCGGTGATGTGTAAGTCCCCATCCTCCTCGCGATTCAATTCGTTGTCGTGTAAAAGTGATCATCCTCATAATTGCAATTGCGAATCCATTAAGGTGTCCATGTTACGCATAATTTTTCTCCGTCAATTCTTAGAGCAAGTCTACATGAATAGATACATAGTAGTGACAGGATGTTGATTAGGCCGGGATATGATGGGATCGCAGGAGCATACACCATGGGTGGACTTTACATTGGGCTCCAGGGCAACCAGGAACTGGCCCAGCTCGTGCAGCATGGACAGTGAGCTACTTTGCAGATGGGGCAAAAGTGCTGGCGACTCGGCATACGAGACGAAAGCTGCAAGACGAGGATGGGTGGAGTTACCAGGCATGGCGAAAGGATTTGAAGGAAGGCCAGGTAGCGAGGCATCCGTTGCTTCCAGTCGTGTACCCAATCACCATAGACGACTCAAAACAGCAACGACGTGGAACAAAGAAGAAATGAATTACTTCATGTAAGTCGGCTCTTTTCTGTTATCAAGATAGACTTTTCTGGAAATGTTGTTCATGGAGTAGTATAGCAGGTTGGATCAAGCGGCAGTGATATTCTTTTTATATTATCTAGTTGTATGTGTGTATGAAATGAATTACACCGAAGAGATACACTATATTGGTCTTAACTAGGTATTCAATTACGTGTACTGTTTTCCATGTACAATATCGAGTTGAATGAAGTAGTAAACACAGACTGGTGTGTTGCCACATTTCTAAGAAGCAACGTTCTGAACAATACATACATGCATGGGAGTGTCTTGAGGCATGAGTAGTAATGAATGATGTCAATCAATAAACAAGTGTCTTTGTCTTATCATACCTACACCTATAGTAACCAAGGAGAAAGGAACAAAGTCTTTCTTCATACAGTGAGTGAAAGTTTCTGACATGAAACTAAATTTCTGCGTTTCAATCTCAAGTGCCTTACTCTAAATCCTATCTCCTTATTAATCCTAGAATTAGTTTATAGATTAGAGCTCATGGCAAATATGAATGGACGAATTAAAATTTTAAATTAATGTTGACTATTCACACAACTCTATTAATGTGTTTATATATATATATATATATATATATACACATACATACATACAAGGGTGTGTGACTGAACGAATGTTGTCATTCTTGTGAATGCCTTCAAAATGTTAGTATGGTTATTCCATGTGTTTTTTCGAGTTCAAATTGTTACATATTTAACTTTTTTCCGTCTAGTTACAGTTGTATTGGTGCTGTAGTAATTGTAGTGTAATTTATTTATTTATATTCTGAAGGTACTATGATTTGTATGAAAAATTGAATATTTTTTAATGTGTTCTTTCCACCATTTCCATTCAATTTTATGATTTATTTGTATGTATATATATATATATATATATATATACATGAAATAAATTTTGTTCTGAAGTTTTTTCCCAATAATAACTCCCCAAAGGTTTGCAGGGAGGTATCAGAACACACACATATATATATGTATATATATAAAAGAAGGGCGGGGGGTATCAAAATAGTTCACTGTTCTCATTTATGTACCATGTCAACTTCACTTTTATATACCATACTTTCAACTACCACCTTTGTATACTTTTATATGAGAACATTTATATACCATGTCAACTGCAAAGTGAAGGAAGGAGGGGGGGAGGTTAGGCTAAGAAAGGGTGCACATGGTTAGGAAGTGGGGAACGGGGGAAAGGGGGATCTGATCCGCCTCTCCGCCGCAACACCCACAATGTTATGTTGTGTGTGTGTGTGTGCACGTTGCAATCTGTAAATATAAATATATAAATATAAACTCGATGATTCACACCATACATATTTTTCTATTATTATCCCACCCTCCCTTGTGTCAACCTTCATTGTTGATTGATTGTGGGGTGGTGGTGATGGTGGTGGGATTCCCGGAGTCAACCAGTCCCCCTCCAAAGCCATTTCCTCACCGCACCGAAACACCAGGCGCAAGTCTCGTAAATCACACCTCCCCCTCCCCCTGCCCCTATAGTTCCCATCCTGCGTCTTAACTGGATTAAGTCATATTAGTCAAGTTGACTGAACGCTTTACCACACTTTTTGTAACTTCTCACCGCTGCTAAGACCCATTCGGAACATGAACGACGACGCCATTTGTAGACGAGTCGGTTTCAAGGTACCCTAAGAATCCATACTCCATTTCCAATCGTCTTGTGAGCCGACAAGTAGGAGTTTCAGTTAAGCAGACCATCCTTTTGAGGGAGTAGTGGATGGGTTGGAGGCGGCATGTATTAAAACGAAGTGAGGCCACCAGCCGCCAGGGAATTCTCGCCAATTGCTGCAATCTCTCGTCAGGAACTGTCATTGGGTGGATTCACTGGCTGCACCGCTAACATACGCCCATTGTGCAGATTTCAAAAGCTACACGTATGATTTCCGTGCTGACTTTTAGACCTTCCCTCCTTCCCTTCTTGTATTTTGTTTTGTTTTAATTTGTTTTCATATAGAGCGAGTCCGAGCAATCCTTTTGAATTCCAGTGTATTATTCAGGTTTTGACAGGATATCGATCTGCAGCGGTCGGGTGGAGCTCGAGGTCCACTAACCGCTGCTACACATCTCAACATTGTCACGATAGGATCATCAGGAAGGATGGGAGTCAACGGTGCCTACGTTTTGCTGGGATGCGTTTTCGGGTTATTACTTCTCGCTCTTTCAACTGCAAATGCTTACGACTATGGTGACGCATTGGACAAAGCTGTAAAATATTTTGAAGCTCAAAGATCTGGAAGACTGCCACCCGGTCATCGCGTCTCGTGGCGCGGCGATTCCGGCCTTCACGATGGGCAACAGGAAGGAGTATGTCGCACACTCTCCAATTCCAGGAGCATTTTTGCAATGAGCTGTGAGTAGAGCGAGAATGTCGCGAGGGAAGGTGCCAGGTTGCTGATAATGTGCGGTGTTGGTTTCTGTGTCTCTGTAGCTGGACCTCTCTGGGGGCTATTACGACGCGGGAGACAATGTGAAGTTCGGTCTGCCGATGGCCTATACTATCACGATGCTCTCATGGAGCGTAATTGAATACAAACACCAGCTGCAAGCTTCTCGACAGCTTGACTATGCCCTTGAGGCGATCAAATGGGGCACCGATTACTTCATTAAAGCGCACCCGGAACCAAACGTCTTGTGGGGCGAAGTCGGTGACGGCGACAGCGATCACGACTGCTGGATGCGGCCGGAGGACATGACCACCTCACGCAAGGCGTATAAAATTGACTCAAACAACCCGGGGTCTGACCTCGCTGGGGAAACATCCGCTGCTATGGCCGCCGCATCCATCGTTTTCAAGCAATCTGATCCGGAGTATTCAGCTACCCTCCTCCGACACGCCAGAGAGCTCTTTACTTTCGCTGACACTTACCGGGGGACTTATGACAACAGCATTCCTGTCGCAAAAAAGTACTACAAGTCGTGGAGCGGTTTCAATGTAAGTAGTCAGAATCCTGCCTGTCTTAATCTGTGAATATGTGCTAGTTATGGGAATCTGTATTCAGACGTTGCAGGTGTTGGTTGGTATTGTATCAGGATGAGCTATTGTGGGCAGCCGAATGGTTATACGACGCCACAGGAGATGCTCAGTTTTTGGAGTATTTTGGTGGCGTTAACGCCGCAAACCTGGGTGGAACGGGCTGGGCGCTGAATCAGTTCAGCTGGGACAACAAGTACGTTGGTGTGCAGCTGAAAGCTACGAAGCTTTTACTCGATGGGAGGGTTGACCGTGCCTACATTCCCACTCTCCAGCTGTACAAGAGTAAGGTCGAGTACTTCCTCTGCGCCGCGCTCCAGAAGAACGCCGGAGAACAGATCACGAAGTCTCCAGGTGGTATGTTCTGGATCCAGACCTGGAATAACATGCAATATGTCACAAGCGCAGCGTTTCTCCTCACTGTGGCATCCGATTACTACGAAGCTGCACATGCCACCCTCAGTCATTGCACATCGCCCGTGACGAACTCAGAGCTACTTGCGGCGGGAAAAGAACAGGTGGATTACATTTTGGGCAACAACAACCGAGGCCAAAGCTACATGATCGGGTTTGGAAACTCATATCCCCAGCGAGTTCACCATCGCGCAGCATCGATACCCGAACCTGTGGCGTGCAAAGAAGGGTTCGACCGATTCTACTTCACCCAAAACAACAACCCTCATGTCATCGAGGGTGCAATCACTGGCGGACCCGACGCCAACGATAACTACAACGATCAGCGTAACCAGTATGCCATGTCTGAGCCTGTTCTTTACAATACTGCGCCTCTGGTCGGTACCTTAGCTCGCTTGAGTCAAGGCAGAGATATCGCCGTAAACACTATGGGTGAGCATTGCTTCATACCCTGATGCAGACATTTCAAATTTGAATGAGAGTCAAGAATTCTTTTTTTTTCTCATTGAATCATGTGGTGTGCACTGCAGCAAGCGCGGCATTCGGAAGCGGACTTAACCAGGATGTCGTCGCAATCAGGGGCTCTCACGAGAGCCGGCGAACGAGGAGACGGCCGAACAGGAAGCGCGGCCAAAGCAATGACTGCATCAGCATAACTCAATCGCTCATCGACAAGTGGACCGCGGGACGTCATGTGTACTTCAAAAGTGCGGGGAAGATCACAAACAACTGCAAGACGCGGATAACGGGATCGAAGTTCGTGGTGCGGAATCTGTATGGGACTCTGTGGGGGCTGCACAGGGAGAGTGAGAACGGCAACATGTACACTCTGCCGGACACGAAGGGGACACTGGAGGTGGGCGAGAGCATCTACTATTCGTACATTCAGAAGCGCCCCTTCAAGGCCAGAATTGTAGTCCTGGCGGCGTGTCCTACGTGCGCAGCGCAGCATTGAGAGCTGCAATGCGGCATTCATGCTCCGTGTCGGTGCTGCCCCGCAGCGAGCGAGAGAGAGGGATGAGCGAGTGAGGGAGAGAGCGCGCTTTTGGATGATGCCCCCATACCCGCGGGTCTTCCGTGCCCCCCTTCACCTTTGCTTTAGGGCATACGTGGACCGTCCCACACGAAACGGGCTTTGCCCCCACATTGCCCAAATCCATTTTCCACCTTTTTTTTTTTTTTTTTTTTTTTTTTTAAATCTAGATCCTTTGTATCATACACTAAATATTTTGCTATTTAATTCGCACTGATTCTTCTTCTTCTTCTTCTTCTTCTTCTTTTTTTTTTTTTTTTTTTTTTTTCTATTATCAACTTTATGATCATTTCATGATATATAATCCTGAGAAAAAGAAACATACATCACCAAGAATTTTTAACTCATACATACATACATTCCTTATCATTAAACATGTTGGATATCATACACAAAACTAAGTGTTGTTGTTTTTTTGTTGATATTCTTACCAAAATGTTAATTATAATTGGTTATATATATAATTTATAGGTGATGCATCATGTACTAGTTGTTATTATTATGATTATTATTATTTTTGGAGTAGTTTTGAACCACCATCTTTTTTTAAGATAAGTATGAAAAAAATTAATATTAAAAGAAACATAGGCAATTTTTTGGATGATAATAAAACAAATATTCCACAGAAGAATTAAAAGATTGTATCTTTAAATGTGTTGCATGCCAGAATAGAAAGAGAAAAAAATTAAGATAATTCTTGCATCCAAGCAAATCCTTAAAGAGTGCATATATATATATATATATATATATACTATCACTTATAACTTCTTTCAATAAAAAGTTCAAAGTTGCAGAATTCTGTAGAATTTGCTGAAACTCACTGAAAAAGCTGCTTGGGCGGCAAAGTTGTGAGTAAATTTCGAGAAAGAAGAGGAAACAATGACAGTCGCATTTCCAACTCCTCTGTCCATGGAGGGACCCTGCAAGAAGATAGTGGTGAAGAACTTAAAGAGGCGCCTCCTTGGACACATTTATCGATTCCGCTAACAAGCTTGCCGAGGATGACATTGTGCTCTACTTGAAACCCTCACAGCGCGAAACCTCCCACCAAGGTCTACTCCTTCAATCCATCAGCTCTATTGCGCATCTCTCTCACGTTGCAACACAACGTACAATCGTGGCGCAATGCCACGGGATTGCCTACCACCATCACCATGCGCTGTGCATGGGCGGCGTCTGTCACCTCCACAAGTTTCCGTGACAACAGCATGGGTTCAATTAGTATACTTCGTGAAGAAGTATTAAGAATAAAGGAAATGAGAAAAAGGCGCGGCAGGTAGTTTTTGCACTTAAATGTTCAAGTGCAAGAGTGGATATGAATGTGAAGCAGGTGAGTAGTAGTAGTAGTAGTATTTATGTGTTTGTTAATAACAATCCAAGGAAATGAGAAGAGAAAAGAAAGAGGGGGGGGGGTATAATAGCGACACTTCGAGGACGCTGAGAGAGGAGGGGAGGATGAATATAAGTATTAATTCATCTATATGTAAGGGAGGCTTCATCCATCCAACGGGGGGGGGGAGCTCTCACTCACTGTCAAACCTGGTCTCTCTCTTTCTCTGTGTCCCTCCCTTTGTTGCCTTCGTCTTCGTCAATTTCTACATCTCTGCCCCCCACTCGCATCCCTCTCTCTCTCTCTCACTTGACTCTCTCCTCAATTTCGCCCTCGGCTTTGATTGAGTTGCGTCGTCGTACTCGTGCCCCATTGCAGGATTCTGCGGAGTTTCGTCCCAAATTCGGGTTCTAGCGGTGCTGCCGTAGGTGCTAGTCTGCTTGATCGATCGTTGTGCCAGGTTTTTTTTTGTCTTTTAGGGCGTTGAGGTTTATCGAGGATTGTTGGAGGTCTTTCAGGGATCACAGGATTTTATTTTTGTGGTACTACGTATTGCAGTGCGTGAGGTGATTTTCCAATTTGATTTTTTTTTAAAAATCCTTCTACACTTGAGTTTTGTTTATTGAAGCAAATGAAGAGTTGCTTTTCTAGTCTGTGGATGGACGGTAAAATACACTATGTGCTCCCTTGTGAAAGTGGTTTCATTTTAAACAGAAACATTTGTAATCAGTAGCAGGGGAGGGATGGACTTGGCGTGAACTTGGGTTGGTTGATATCAGCAGCTTTTGTTGCAATTCATTATCGAGGCGAAATGGAGATATCTTGAGCAATTCCAAATTTAGGGTTATGAAGTTTATGTGAAAACAAGCGTGTGTGGAGGCAATAGCCAGTGAATTTGGAGGATCTGGAGAGGTGGTATTTCTAAGTAGAATATCTTAATTTTTTTATGGTTCCTCCCTTGGCAGTATTCGCATCATTCATATCAAGAGCCAACTGCTGGTGATTGAACAGGTTTCATTTTGGGAGCTTTTTAGTGATAGTATGAAATGGTCGCCAATGTTGATGCTGCTGGTGGTTTCGAGCTCCAGGCACTAGCTGGTATACTCCACAGAATCTTTATCCATGCTACTTATCTTTCTCCAGACACTATGTCAGGTCTTATTTTCATTGTGAGCGTGCCAAAACATCGTTCCTCCAATATGGCCGCGGCTTGAAATGTCGGTGTAGTTTAGACTCTTTTCAAGCACCAATTCTTCGGATTTTTCTTTGCTGTCATGTTTGCAGTAGCATGTGACGCGATCTTTGACGGTGATGTGATGGAGGATCCTGCTTACCTTTTCCCTGACTTTCTTGTCAGAAAACCCCCCAGCATCTCCCCCTTGGCACCAGAAGTTTCAAGACCCTGACGATGGTCGACAACGCTTTCTTCTTGAACTCGAATTTGTTCAGCTGCTCGCCAACCCTACTTACATCCACCGTCAGTCCCAGAACTTTCTTCGTTCTTTTAATGATATTTTATGCCTTCAATATTTTAATGTCATGTTTCTCATTCTTATCTTTGGCCTATTGCTCTCACAGACTTGGCACAGAATCGCTACTTCGATGATGAAGCGTTCGTAGGCTATCTGAAGTACCTCCTGTACTGGAAACAGCCCGAATATGCTAAGTACATCATGTGAGTTCGTAACACCAGATCCTTGACGCTGAACCTCAACGCGTGCCTTCTTTGTGATATCTAGTTGTGACATTTGAAATACTTCACGCTTTGAACAACTCCGTACAGTATCTTTGAATTGTTTGTTCTGAGTCTGGATGAGATCAGATTCCAGTGGTGTGGATACTTTGTCGCTGTTGAAGATAAAAGTAGGCGAGCACAGGGAAAGTTTCATGTCTTTGTTTCCCTTGCAGGTATCCGCATGCATTCTTTTTCTTGGATATGCTTCAAAGTGCGAATTTCCGTGCAGCGATGGCTCATCCTGCAAACAAAGTGAGGCTGTGTTTTTGTGGTCGTTATATGTGCAGAATATTGGAAGTGTTTAGTGTCGATTTATTTCTTGTATCTGGTTCACTAAAATGCTTTCTAATTTTCTCGTGTCCCCCACTTAGAGAACCCTGTCGTGCGCTGAGCTAACCATTTTGAAATATTACTGAAGAAGCAAGTAAAATTTAGAGAAACCACGTGCATTCGAAGATCACACAAACAGACCAATGCTACCATTGTTCGAATTGGTATTCATTATGGTTAGTGTTGTATTGTTATGGCAGGAGATTGCACATCGTCAGCAATTTTACTTCTGGAAACACTACAGGAATAACAGGTTGAAACAAATACTGCCTCGCCCCTTACCGGAAGCACCTGCTCCACCTCCACCTCCCCCTCCAGCACCCACACCAGTAGTAGTCGCAGCAACTGCAAAGCCCGAAGGATCCACGAGAGCAGGTGCCGGCGAACGGAGAAAACGCAAGTATGCAAACTCGTAGCACCTGAAGATAGTTCCTCGTGGTCACATGGAAATGTAATCAGTGCAGACATGCTCAAATCTGTAGAGCCAAATGGAGTTGGTTGTAATTTTGAATGAGAGGACTCTTCTTTGGAAGTGTGTGTTATGTAGGGTGATTTATCCGCAAAGTTCCCTGGCTGCATTTTATGCATTAAATCAGGAGTAGGTGTTGTTGAAGATGAAGATTGGTGCATCAAAGTGGTCCTGTTTCAAGAAAGTCTAGTAACCTTCACAATCTGTTTGATATGATGACGAGATATGGTGTGCAGCCTATGTCGCATAATCCAGAAGTTGGTTGAATAGAAGGTCTGCATCTCATGTACGAATTACTGCCTATTTATTTATGAATTTTGAGAACGCTGGGATGTTCCTGTACTCCAGCTGCATTGGGTTCCATTGCTGTGTGGATGTAATTCATGTCCAAATTTTTCTTCGACACCGTCTCGCACGATATGAATTATTCCCTCGCTCTGGAGCTAATAGGTTACACCGACATCACCTCTGGCCAGTCCTGGTCAAGAGCTGCAAGGCTTTATGCTTCACCTGAATCTCATACAAAATCAAGCAGAATCATGGGTTATCCTCCAATCGGTCAAAGATCATAGTAAGGGGAGTAATAGGCGAAGAGGATAGCTCAGGGGAAGAGCAGAGGAACTTGCGACCATGGACCGTGCTATTCCACAATATCTCAGGCAACGAGGAAATCGCTACTGTTGTGTGAGCATGACGATCAGAATGACCGAGCCTGAAACATCAGCTGTTCGATTCAGCGCGTGAGCATTGGGGTGCGACTTGTAAGCACGCTGATTCCAGAGGTCTGAAATTGTCGTTGATCCTGCCTCACAGCAGCCTAGAAGCAGAGTTGGGAAGCTTGTCAACACTTGGAATGGCACGTTTTCTTAATCGATTCCATGAAAGGGTCTTCCGACCAAGTCGATCTGCCGGAAAACTTTAATGCCATCCACGTTTTGGGAGTTTGCAACAACCACACCGGTCGGCTACGAGACCGAGCTGAGCGACGCACAATCAATTGAGGAATTGGACGGGAGCGCAGAGAATCGGCTCTCGGAATACATGAATTATTAGGGTTTACTCGTTAAGGTTTTTGTTCAGGCTTGCACTCGAATCTGTGAGAAGTTGTTTTGTAGAATAATGGTTTTATGCATAATTTTTCTGTGCGGTAGGTTCCTGGTTATTTTATTTAATAAAAAAACTAGGTACTGGTTTTTATTGGATTTTATGTTTCAAAAAAGCTTGTGTGTTTTTGGAATTTATCAAGTGTTCAATACTTGTAGCAATAATACCTAATAGACAAACATCTTCATGTATTGTGCTAGTTTTGATTTTCTCAGCAAATCAAATTGAGATTGAAATATCAGTTAATATTATTGTACGCAATTATTAGAAATGTGTGATTTAAGAAAATTACATTTGAAGCTGTGAAATACATGTCAAACAAGTAAAACTAAATTTAAATTCTCTTGTGACAACAATTTCAAAATTAGCTTGCTAAGAATGCTAAAAAAATTAGGATAAAGTTATTTTATGAATATATACATCAAAGTAAGAGATTTTTTCTTGTAAATCTGTTTTTCAATTAAAATTTAATTCAGTGTGATGCTTTTGCAGATTTAGACAAATCAATTTATACACTAATTGTTTGACTCATATATTTATCATGTAGTAACACCATTTGATATGTTATTAATTTTTTCAAATTCATGCCTACTTAAATCATGATTGTGATTTGTTAAGTTATAAAAGGTATGACATTCTACACTTGAAATATTTCTATATAACTTACAAACTTTACATTTTATTTTTATTTCTATACAAAGAAGATATAATACCTCTTGCACTTTCATAAGTGGAATTTGACTTGTAACTTCAATATGCAAAATGAATTTACAAGTCATTCATGTAAACATAAGAAAAATGTTAAATTGACCCCAACATTTACTAAATTGACTTACCTTTCAAAACCATCATTAGACTCCCCCAATCCTTCCACCCCTTTTCTCTATTCCTTCCATCCTTGTTCACAATGCCCATCTTCTATTCTCATTCCTTATTATTCTACATGGCAATAATAACCTTAAATTGAGATATTTTTTTATAAAATTATTTTGAGCCTAAAATGTTGTTGATGTTGCATTGTAATCTTCTAATTGTAATGAAAGAATAATATATATATATATATATATATATATATATATATATATATTAAAAAAAAATACTGTTGCATTAATTGATTGTGTTTTGTGTACCTTTGGAATCTAAAATTTTCCTACTAAAATTTTAAATGTGCAAGTCTTTTAAATAGATATTATGTGTAAATCCATGGTTGAAGACTTAGGGATTCATAGTTGGTTTCATGAGTAAACAACATGAATTGCATTAAAAGTTGTACATCATTTTCTGTAATATGGGATTGGGAATAGAAGACATGCAATGGAAAAAAGAGTAGAGTGGGGGAATTTATGATGGTTTTGATAGATGGGTTGATTTAGTAAATGCTAAGATCAGTTTAACATTTCTCTAAATACATTCATGATTTCTGAAAAATATTAATGATTTTTGGGATATAATTATTTTTTCTACAAATCTAAAAATAAAATAAAAAAAGAAAAAAAAATTACTATATGGATGTATGGGTAATAATAATATGGGTGTATTTTCAAATACTTTTAGTACATTAATTTTAGTATACGCTTGATTTTATATGCCAAAAATTAACAAAGTTTTGAGTAAATCAAATGAATTAGGTTATTGTGTTATAATTTTAATTATGAAAAAATCTTAAGTTTTATATTTGTAAATGCTTTTGAGAAAAGCATTCCTAAACAAACAAACATAAAAAATAAAAAAAATAAAAAAAAATAAAAAAAGAAAAGAAAAAGAAAACATTATTGTCATTGAACACAACATTTAATTTCATGACAAAACAAAAATAAAATTACTTCAATAAATACATATTTAGATAAAATAATTGATTATATAATTTAACATATATATATATAATTAGTTTTATAATTTATAAAAAAAATATTTAGTTATTGATTTATTTATTATTGATTAGTCTTTAAATACATTTAGATTAATGTTTAAATTGAATGTAATTATTTTTTTATATTCAAATATTTAGCTCTATTAATTAGTGAGCTTTGATGTTTACAAGTGAATTTTTATCATTAAATTAGTACTCAATAACTTTTTTTTATTTCTTAGATATATAAATAAATAGATAATACTATAATCTTAAATTGAAATATACAACTGATTATTTTATATAATAATAATAATTATTATTATTAATATATATATATATATATATATATATATAGTATTTTAAAAAAGACATAGATTCCATATTTTTTACTTATATGTTTTTCATCAATTTAAATCTCTTTTAGAATGTTAACGAATAATGAATTATTTTCTTAAATACTACTACATGTAAATTTTCTTAGAAATATTCATTAAAATGTAAAGATGCATAAAATGTACATATCACTCGTCTTTCCAATAAATTTCAATTTATGTTTTAGTTCATTTGAAAATAACTCTGAAATATGCAAGCTACCTTGTTTAAGACAAAGAACCAACTTCTTTACTTCCATTAGATTATATAAGAGCACTACCTTATAATTAGTCCAATCACCCTTAAAGATGTCATTATATAAATATATTTATATCAGTGTAAACACAAATATAAAAAAAATTAAAAAATCAAAAATCAAACACTTGAAAAAAGAAAAATAAAGTATTACAATTGTACCAAAAACACTTAAGATTTTTCTTAGTTTTTTTAAATAGAATTCGTTGAATTTGAATAAAAAAAATATTCTTCAAAGTTTCATGTAAGGCACATTGATTGAAGTCATTTTTTACTATAAAAGTTCATTATTAACCTACGGATAAAAAATAAAATCATTTGATGTAATTTGTTGAGGCTCTTTAAGATTTTAATGCTAGATTATAATATTAATTAATCTTAGTATACTCAAAGACTATTGAAGCCTATAACAGTTTATTTCTTTATTTTATTCTTTTTTATTTTATTAAAATAAATCTTCTAAACTTACATTAATATGTTGAATTTTTTAAAAAAATCTTGTATAATTTTTGGAAATATATTTATTCTACATTTTTTTTTGAAAATTAACTTAAATTTTACATTTTGTGATTTAATTATTTTAAAATGGAAAAATATCATATATACCCCTGAAATATGTTGAGATATCAAGAATACCCATGTATTCTTGGTAATAGCAAATCTACTCATCACTTATGTCGTAATATCAAAACTACCCCTCAATTATCTTTAATTGTGATTAAGAGGTACTCTCAAAATTATTCTTTTTTAAGTGCAATTGGGAGCGAACGTGCCTACCGCAGACAAATCGGCGCGCACGCGAAAAGGATCAATTTGTGACTTCCACCCTCCTGGTTCTGCAGTCGATGAAGCTAAAAAGAAGACTCAATCAAAGCCTGAGAAGCGGCAGGATTTGTGGAAGGCATGGGTGTTGAACATATTGGAAGTACTGAAATAGGCGCCCTCTCGGTCAGTCAATATGAATTGATCACCACATATGTAATAACCTTTGACGAGGTGCATTGGTATATAAGTCTGGATAGTTTGTAGGAGCATTGACCTGGATATGGATTGATCTGGACATCGACCATTCATGGTAACTCTTGTGTATAAATACAGTGAGTGGCGTGAATACAGTCAGTTCGCTTTTTAGCACCTGTAGTGGTGTCCCTGCTTATCAGGTGACTGTTATTTTTTCTTGTGTCATTTGTGTTTACTCTATTGTGGTTACGATTCACCAAATAGAGTGTGTTGTTGAATCTCTGTGAGGTATCAGAGTTGAATGTGTTTACTATTACATCGCTGAATCTTAGGGTAACTCAATAGTGGGTTGACAGCAGCATGCAGGATTTGAAGCCCGATAGCAGTGAGCCACTTCAACATGTGCAGCTAGGTTAAGGCACAATTCGAAGGTTTGTTGCTCCTGTTGTGATACATCTTGAATCCGACAAGTATCCTTGCTTCAACAGCACTAATCTCGAGTATCAGTACGCGATCAACTCTTTCAACCCTCTGGTTCTTGCCAACTACGCGCAGTTTCTTTTTGTCGTCCGGCGTGACAACAACAGGTATGTGGGTTTTCCTGATTTTTATGTCAGAGCTGAGGATTATTTCCACTGGGCTATGCCAGCGGATCCCCTAGATTCGACCTTTCTCGGGCGCTTCGCTAGTTTTTTATGGCTAAGGCGGGGAAATCGATCCGCAGACAAGCGAGGGTTCAAGGCCGCCATAGCAGCCGATCCAGACAACTCTTTCCCTGCAAGTAACTACGCAAATTTCCTATGGCAGTTTGGCGAGGAGGGTACATCTGAATCCTTGGCTTCATGATCCCATTCGCGACAGCTGCAACCCGCGCCGATGTAGGGCTCAATGTATAAGTTCCTGAAGTGAAGTGTGATTTCCTGACGTTCCTGAAGTGTGAGTTGTAGACATGGATAATTTTTCTTAGTGTACATTTTTTATATTTTGAGAGAAAGCTATTGATTGCAAGTTGTAAGATCAGAGTAACACCATCCCAGAACTGCAGCGCTTCTGCACCAAGAGTTTTTAGTTGACGGTGTTCTAGCTTGTGAATCTTAGCATATAGCAAGAGCTGCAAATTGTCTGCGAGCCTTTGGCGTAGAGGAAGACGGTGGTTAAGTCGTAGTTGGTACATTTACCAAACAGGTGGGATGAAAATGTACATTGTACCTTGTAAATTACACGATGAGTGCTATTGAAGATCCCCCGGGGCCCCAAGAATTTCTTACATCTTGGTTATTCTCCGCTTCATCTGCATTGGTGTTGAAGAAAACAGATTTCTGCATGTTTGTTTGTGAAATCTGGTTTTGCATCATACTGATAGAGCTATGCGTCAAAAACCAGTTTTTTTTACAACCCATTACAAGCTGATCAATATGTTTCGGTGAGAGATTTTGACAAAGATATTGTGCACAGGTGGGACCCAGCAACAATGTTGCGGGAATCTCCGTCTAGAAAACTCCTCCAAACAGTATCAGGTGAGTGTTGTATCCTTCAATCGAGTGAACTTCATGTGTCAACTTCATGCAGCTTCTAGATGCAAGTGGATATCTCGAGAGCAGGCGGAAGCACCACAACCAATGAAGCAACAACCCAGCAGAGTCTGTTCTCCACAAATTTTGGCACTGCTTGGGAGCTGTGGAACTCATACATAGATTATCACATCTCTCAATGTCTAGAGGTTAATGGCAAAATCCGGTCAGGGTGTGTTGGATACCAACATATAAGAAAACACTGGAAAGCTTTGAAATGGAATTGTTAGCATGAATATGAACCATAAGTCCCAACCCAGAATTTCTGAGGTTATCAAATGCACAACTTTTACGATGTGGTGGGTCTGAGCTCAAGGAGAATGATTTATAATTTTTGATCTGCCTATACATTGAAATGTACCGAGACCAATATCTTGAAGTTTGTGCTACAGGTCTCTATGATTTGACCTCTTCTCACAGCATCTTTACACAAACGAGCCAGTGAGGTCCTGATTCGAAGGCAATTTTAAATGCACAAGGCTCAATGTTCATTTACAAGAGGCCGTGATACAACGTCAGGTGTGTTTGTCTGTCTATCTTGTAGTTCGGAGTTGGTCCACCTCTAATAGGAAGTATCACAATTTCTATTAATCTGAGCTGCATAAAGTCGAGCAGCATCGACTTGATGTTACAACATGTGAGAAGGCCGTTGTGATTTACCTTTGAATTATGTCGACCTAGCTATGCATGTTGAAGTGATACATGTTGAAGTGATACATGTTGAAGTGATACATGTTGAAGTGATGATACATGTTGAAGTGATACATGTTGAAGTTCATATTTGACATTCTCATAAGTCTTACTATCCACACTTACCATCTATTTTATTATGTTCTTTGGTATTATTAGAATTAAAAAAATAAAAAATAAAAAGGTAAATCTAACCAAACAGTGCAAAGTATACAAAAATTAATTTAACTGCTATTAGAAAAAATATATAAATATTCATTTTAAATATTCATTTTAAAAATAAAAATAAAGTACTGAGGCACAAAATGGGCCAAAAAAATACTGAGTGAAATATGTGCCAATTACTTATTCACTCATTTAAAGCCGATCAAAAGTAAGTTAGCGTTAACACCCGTTAGGTCTCCAAGTAATGCCTCCACGGTGGATCGAACACCGGACCTTCAGTTTACAAGACTGACGCTCTACCACTGAGCTATAAAGGCAGCGGGACCCGTCGGCCGCATTGGAATATTGCACGTGTATTGATCATGTAAAAACTTGTTCCCCAACACCATTCCTCGTCCACCATTCCTTCCTTCCTTCCTAGATCTGGTTCTGAAGCAGCCACAGCAGTTCTCACGCTAGGGATGGATGGATGGAAGGAAATGGATTCCTCCTTATTTCTTGCATGCATCTGGTGTTGGGATTTCATGTCCCAGCGCTGAAGAGTCGGTCAGTCCCACCCAGGGGAGGAAGATGAGGAAATTGAGACTGCGACTTCGCCATGGAGAGAAGGGAGGGAGAGACAGAAGGGAGAGCCACGGCAGAAAGAAAGAAGGAAAGAAAGAAAAAAGAAGAAGAAAAGCTACGGAGGAGGAGGAGGAGGAGGAGGGTCGGATCGGAGTGGCAGGGCAGAGCTAACGGGGGCGGGCCTGAGACCGGGTGGGTTGAAAGATGGATGGATGGATGGATGGCGTTGAGCTCGTCCACTACCGCCACCGCCACCGCCACCGAATTCATCCATCCATCCATAACCACGACGGACGGACGGGAACGGACGGACGAGACAGTTCTCGCAGCGCTGTGGTGGTAGTGCTACTCTGCTGCTGCTCCTGCGGCCGTCGTTGTCGTCGTTTGGACGACATGCACAGTGATCTCATGTTTTCTTCCGTTCAGTTGTTCTTTACTTCCCTGGTGACATGTTTGTTGCGTAATAATGCTGAACAAAATAAAACCCCGAACATAACCAATCCGGACTGATTAGCTTCGTTCTGTCACAATGTTATAATCTAACATAATCGTACGTTATGTTATTGTACGTATTACTGTTACGTATTATAACATACTAAATAGAATATGTTACATGTTCACACCATCAATAACATACAGAATCTTATTAGCTGACATATTGATAACAGACGATCGTATTATGGTGTAATTAACTTCGCCATCGCTGCCAGACACAGACCATGTTCAATATATAGATGATAAACTTAATGTAATGTAATGTAATATATAGATGTATATATGAATGAGTGGAATCTAGATTTACGAATTTTGATAAATGGGATGAATGTCATAAATTTTGATAAGGGTAATTGAAGAATTTGTAAATTCCCTCCTGTAAATATTCTGCACTGTTCTGATTTGAGACTAAAACCAGAAAGTTTTTAATTCTTTCATGCCTGCAATCATTTCAAGCTTGAAATGTTTGTGCATGATCATCCCCTACACTGCAATCAGTAACTCGGATCAAAATCAACAGAGAAATAAACCCTCTATTGTTGCTACTCATAAAATTGGGCTACATTTTTCTTCTCAAGTATTGATAAGACGAAGAATGGAGGAGTAATATAAGTAAGTTAGTTTACGAATGAAGTTTTAAAATAGTAATAATAAGAATACAGGAAGCCTACTCAGCAATACATATACATACGTCAATGAAATACAAATGAGCATGCCATTTTTCCACCCTCCCTCACTCCCCTGCATTCCAACGTGGTGCGGTGATGTGAGGATCATATTTTAGCAACGGGCTGACTGGCACACCTCCTTCCGTATTATTATTATCATACACAACATGGAGAATGAACATACCTATAAAAGATGCATACGCGACAGAACCTTCGTCAAGAGCCCCGGTCGACGAGAAGAGCAGGAGCCCGCGGAGTGCTCGCTGGACTTTTTTCTCTGTCTCTGGCTAAGTTCGGGACAGAACGTTGACATCGTCGTCGTCGTCGCCGTCGTCATCGTCATCGTCGGGGCCAGGGCTGGAGCTCGGGGTTAAGGTTTGGGGCAGACCTATCTGGCGCCCACCCGCCCGTCCGCAGGGAGGGGGAAAGGGGAACGGGGGCGGGGGAGATGCAGTTCGGATTGTGCTCGCACACAGCGAAGAGAGCGAGAGCGATTGGGGAATGTGATGGTGTGTGTGTGTGTGTGAGCGAGTGAGTGAGTGCGTTGGCACCACTGCCGCTTTCCTCTCTCCCCTTTCTTTCTCATCCAGGTTCGTCACTCCACAGTAGCCTCCTCCTCCTCCCTCTCTCCTTCTTCGTCAATCGATCTTCCCTTCATCTCCTCTTTGCCCCATCGCTGCTCCATTTCTCTCCCTCCTCCCTCTACTGGCTCCTTTGCACTCCTGCCTATTTTGCTTGCCTGCTCTCTGTTCTGTCGTCGCCAACCTCTGTTCACTCTTCGTCTCGTTGTATACTACTGGTGGTGGAGTCGTCTCTTGTTCTTATGTTGTTCATCTCGTCGGATGTAGTTTGCCACGCATTCTTAGGTTAGAAGTTGGAAGAAGGAAAATAATTCATAATCGATTTATTGATTCTGAGGAAATAGCTTCTGTTTTCGGTTTGTTGTTTTTCCTAGGGTTTTCTTGTCCACTTCGATTGTAAAGCGGGCGTCGCGTTGGCCATGAGAAGCCCCCGCTCATCATTTTGGATATTCCACGTGCTCAGATAGACCACTTGAACCGCAGTACTAGGTGGCCATGGCCAATGCGGAGGTCTTCGATTCTTACTTCCGCCGAGCAGATCTCGACAAGGATGGTCGCATCAGCGGCCAAGAGGCTGTCGGCTTCTTTCAAGGCGCGGGCCTGCCTCAGATGACACTCGCCAAGGTTCTTTTTTAAAAAACTGTTGTTTTGTGACAAACCTCTGTAATCGCTGTGAATTTGATGGTATTCTTAGGGATCTTCGTGTGATCCATGCACGATTGCAATCTCCATGATGAAAACAGTTGGTTTTCTTGTCGGATTGAAATAAGAAAATGAGATTGTGGATTGCTGCAGATCTGGCAATTCGCCGATCAGGGGCGAACCGGTTACTTGTCGCGAGTGGAATTTTATAATGCTTTGAAGCTAGTGACAGTAGCGCAAACAGGTAGAGAGATCACACCCGAGCTCGTACGCGCTGCGTTGACAGGTCCTGCTGCTGCACAAATACCACCTCCGAGAATCAACACGCCTGCAGGTCAACATGGCGGACCTGGTGGATCGCCTGCACCAGCACTGAGTTCGCAAGGAGCTCCTTCGGTGAGAGCTCCGGGGCCTGCAGCGGCGTACAATGGATTTGATGTGCAATCCCGTAGCTTGCAGGGTAGCAACGGTGGTTTGAGGCCTGTGAGTATGCAGGGTAATGGTTTGTCAAGCTCACAGGGGGTGTATGGTGCCCCTGTGGTCCAGAAGTTTTCTCCGCATACCAACAGCGCGCCTAGTGCACCATTGCCCCAAGGGGGATTTGGAGCACCGGCCAGGCAACTGGCTCCTCAGACAAACAGCCTCTCTACGGGCGGCACTGGAGTGCCACAGCTGATGAATCAGACGAGTAGCCTGCCGCGGTATCCTCCATCTGCGGCACAGGTTCAGGTACCGCCCGCGGGACTTGCACAGCAGGGTTGGGCAAGGCCTCCTGCTTCGGGTGGAGCGCCAGTGAGACCGTCGCTTGGGAGCTTGTTCACCACAAACTCTGCTTGGCCATCTAAGGATGCCAACCCAGAAGGTGCAAACCAAGGGCCTGGTTCCACGAGCGTGTCTGCTGGTCCAACTGTGTTAACAACGCCGAGCGCGGGTCAGTCCAGGCCCTTGACCCCGGGTTCTGCAGCATTAACTCCTGCTGGTTCAAATGCGGGCTCTGGAACGACATCGAAAAGTCAGACACTGGATGCGACCTCCACAAATGGCGGCGGGTTCAATTCTGGGATCGATCTGTTCAGCAGCGGGTTCAAGGCCACTTCTGCGGTTGGCACGCCCGGCACTTCAGTAGGTTCTAGTCCTGCCTCAAACATGTTCCCAGGCGGTCAAGCAACAAAGCCTGCTTCCGTGACGCCTCCTGCTCAACAAAATAAATCGGCTTCTGCGACACCTCCTGCTCAAAACAAGCCGGCTCCCCTTGACGAATCGATGTTTAGTGCTCCTGCGGTTCCGTCCATGCAGGGCCCTCCTCAAAATGGATTGATGGGCATGGGAGCAGGAGCTGGGTCGAGGCCACATGGGGTACTTACGGTGGGGGATTCGTGGCCCCAAATGTCGGCGAGTGACGTGCAAAGATATACCAGAGTGTTTACGAAGGTGGACACGGACAAAGATGGAAAAATCACAGGCAATCAAGCTCGGGAACTGTTTCTGAGTTGGAATCTGCCTAGAGGTACTGTTTAAGGAGTTTCAAGGTGCAAATTGGGTTGGAGACGTGTTTTTGAAGTGGATGACCGCTGTAGTGGACAGCAGATATGGGTTTCTGACGGAATGTGGACCTTTTGATTGATTCAGGGGTTTTGAAGCAAGTTTGGGATCTTTCTGACCAGGACAACGACAGCATGCTGTCTTTACGCGAATTTTGCACCGCACTGTACTTCATGGAGCGGTTCAGGGAAGGGCGGGTGCTCCCATCCACACTGCCTTCAGGCATTCACCCAGACAATTTGCATGTTCCTGTTGCATCAATTCCCCAAGGGCCTGCTGTACCTCGGGGTCCTGGTGTTTCTGAGGGGTCCCTTGTTCAGCAAGGGTCTGGTGCTCAAAGTGCTCCTATTTGGCGTCACATACCAGGTTTTGGATATTACTGCAATCTTTTGGAGTCTGTGTTTACTAGTGGTGCTGGGGCTGGAATGTGGTGGTCGGTTTATTAAATCTTGGGCAATTTAAGACATTCTGATGGGCATTGAAGTTTATTTATTTGTTTATTTATTTATCCTTCCCCAGTAGCACTGTATTGCAGGAGGTCGGAATTTGGTTGTTGGTGTGTACCCAGGAATGTTATTGTCTGATATTTTGATTTGCAACGCCGAGCAGGTGCTCCACAGCAAGCTAGCGTTGCTACGGGGGCGGATCCTGCAGGTGCTCCAATGCCACCGGTCAAAGCTTCCCCAACACTTCAGATGCCAGAACGAGCTGTACCTGCTCCAGGAGAAGTTGCTCCAGCGGCAGTTCAGGAGCCTTATAAATCCAAAGTTCCAGCCTTGGAGGAAAGTTTAGTTGGTCAACTGAGCCGTGACGAGCAAGAAATGTTGAAGACAAAGCACAAAGCTGCTGAAGAGGCAGACAAGAAGGTACTGCGAGGAAGTCCACTTGGTCAGGAGGGTGTTGAAGGAATTCTTTTGCGGTTATTAGAACAATGAGTTCACTGAACTGTATCGTCATCGTAGGAGTCGATTTTTGTTTTTTGGCGAGAACTAAACACGTTTGCAGTTTCGTAGTTTAGACTCCTTCGAAATCCTCTTTTTCATGTTGATACATATTGATAGTCGGGCATATATTACTGAGTGAGGCCTTGCACTTGCATTCTACCCCCGGTAGTCCCACGATCAGTCTATTTGAAGTACCTTCGAATAATTTGAAATTAACAGCGGAGGATAGCACTCAGAAATCCTTTCTCATGGTCTGTATTGCTTTATGCTTTGGGGTCAGGTGTTTGAGCTGGACAAAGAAATTCAGGACTACAAGGAGAAGACCGAGTTATACCGAACAAAATTGCAAGAAATTGTAAGCGACTGGACAGGAAATCTCTGTTTCTTTTCTTTCTAAATGGCTTGCGAACTACCAATTAAAGGATGTATTGTAAACCAGTGTTAGTATTCTAACAAGTTTCTGACCCGATTTGGCGTTTTGTCCATGCTATGGATTCGAGATTCAACAGGAGACTGCATCTGTAGGAACATTAGGACGTGAGAACTTGGAGTGATGTGTGCACTACTTCACTTGAGGCTGTGTCTCGAGGGCTAATTCGTTGGAATGGATTCCTTTTGGCAGATATTGTTCAAAAGTCGGTGTGACAATCAGCTTAATGAGGTGAAGGAGAGCGTGGCTACAGAGAAGCGTGAGGTTTGTACCCTCGTTTCTTCATCCTTGTTGATGATGTGATGGCTTTTTATGTGCATAGTTTCGAATGTATTATATAGGACAGTAGTTACTTGACTTCGTGTAAAGCTGGGATCAAATACTATCAGTTAAGTGGATTTCATTACCTTTTGACTATGTGCTGTCATTCAGATCGATACTCTGAGCAAGAAGTACGACCAGAAATTCAAGCAAGCAGGTGAAATCAGCTCAAGACTGCAAGCTGAAGAAGCAGCTTTCCGAGATATTCAGGTCTTTCATTTCTCGCTATAATACCCTTATTTCTTATGCTGAAATAATTTTATCTAGCATGCATGCGAAATTTAAATTAGTCTCTATGGGTTTTATGTGAAACAACCAACTTCTCGCACTACAGCTGTGGATTGCTTTTTTCGCTGATCTTCTTATCTCTTCCTTCCTCTCCCTTTCCATTACTAATTCTTGAAGCTGGAGTATATCGAAGTCATGAATTTAAATTGGTTAATTGTGCGTGTTGCCTACAATGAGATGGATATAGGCAGGTATTTATCTCTCCAATGTTTGTGTTACAGGAAAAGAAAATGGAGTTGTACACTGCTATTGCAAAGCTCGATAAGGGTGGTGATGACAATGAAACTCTTGAGGTCCGTATCTACTTATTTGGCTTATGCTGCGTTCGTTTGCGAAATCGGCTGTAGTGCCAACTAATTTGAATCTTATCTTATTTTAAATACTTACCTGTGTATATGCTTAAGCATTCGCACAAGTACTCATTTAGAAGAAAACATGTTAGTATTTGGAATAGTTTATGAATATGTAAGTCTAAATTTGAAGTTAACTCATACATGAGATATCTTCTTCTTTTTTTTCTTTTTTTTCTTATTTTTGTTTTCCAGAATCGTGCGAATCTCATTTCAGCACATCTAGACGATTTAAAGAAGACTCTCTATGAGAGAGGCAAGGCGCTTGGGGTAAAGCCAAAGTCTGCAATCCCTATAGAGGTGTCCACTGGTACGTATTTTTGTTCAACATGTTACTTAAACTCTGGTAGGCTGTCGTATTGTGCTGATGATTCTTGGTTCTTGTGCTGATCTGAACAGTTTTGGGCATCACCGCCTTAATTTGATGCATGTTGTCATTTCTTGCTTCTGTAACAAATATACTACTGCTAATTATTCGGCTGTTAAATCTTTCTTAGTCCTGCTATGTAGTATCATCTATGTAGCTTGCAATTGTACCCCCTCTTGAATGTTCAGAATATTCCTCACTAGTTATTTGATGATTCATGTATTATGATCTTCTGGTTCATGGGAAAGGAATGTTTGTCTCCAGTGACTATTGAATAATCAGTATCTGGTTGTCTTAGATAAATTTATCGATGCGATGAACGAGTTGGTTTTGTGGTCTTTGGCAATCAGGTTTTGAAGGAGTACCGGACAATGCAATGGAATGGGTTGAAGATTGGTTCAACTTTACTGATGAAGGTATGTGCTCCTGTGGTTTTTTCCTGGTCATAAGGTTTGGTTTAGTTTTCTTGTTGTAAGGACTAAAGCTTTTTAATCGATGATGTGACTGCTGCTAATGTTCATTCTGTAGGTGCTATGGTTTGACCAAGCTTTCCTTATTATGTGTTGGTTGCTGATTTTTTAAAGTATTACGAAAAGTGTACTTTGATTCAAATATTTTTGATGTTTGTCCAATAATTTTGTGTTAGCGTCTGTAAAGATCCCGTTTTGATTATACGATGCTAAGCGAATCTTATTTTGGTGATGGTAGGATTTACGAATGTGCGTGACATCATGGATGATATGGTTGAAGTTCCATCCACTACCAAATCTGCATATTCAGCTCCGTGGGGTAACGGTGAAAGCTTGTTCGATGATGGCTTTGACTTCTCATCGGAACCAACCATATCTGATTTCAAGACAGGGCAAGATGAGGAACCGTTCTCTACATCGAACAAAGTTCATGCAGACTTCCGATCTGCAGAAAGTACTGTTTTCAAAAGTGATTTCGACTATGATCCTGAGCATGATGTATCTACTTCTGACATTCATCATAAAGACAATGCGTTTGGCGCAAGGCTTCCTAGTGCAAGGTAAGCTCAATTAAAACGCTTTGAAATCATAAGCTAATACGTTCTGAAGATGCTGTCAAGGATGTTCATTGGCACTGTTTCTAAGCAAAAGAATAATGCAGGTTTGACGAAGGCGAAGCTGGTGGCAGCACATTTGGTGGTGAAGCTACCTTTGATACTGTGTCTGAAAGGTTTGATTATCTTTTTACCTTTCCCCACCACTTTTCTTGTATTTATGATGTATATTGAGTGAGAGTGGAAACCTTTGAAGCTTCGTTTACAATGATCATAGACTCGAATCGTTTTGGTAATTAAATTGTAATAATTCTATGTTTTCTGGTGTTCAAAAGTAAAATCTTTAATCCTTTGTGCTGTTTCAGTGGATTTGGCCAAGGACGGAATTCCTTTAATTCTAGAGATCCTTTCGGCGACAGCAGTGGAGCATGGGCTATTAACGACGACGATTCAAATGCAGATTTTCGCGCTTCTTGGGTACAAGCGCGCAGTAGTGCTCCTAGTACTCAGGTAGTGCCTCTGTGCTTGTGTGATACACTGGTATTCCTCCGCTTCTTGCTGGTGTGTATGGCGATACTTTCATTCAAGTATGCGACATCTTTAAGAAATTCTCTGATTCAATTATTCCAATTGGTCATCTTTTCAGATTGTATGGTTATTTATTTATTTGTTTATTTATAATTCCAAGTACAGACGCAATCGATGCACAATTTCACGGATTGATAATGGAGAAAATTGTTTGTATTATTGCACAAGAATTTCAAATTGCTTTCAACTACATAGCAGAGTTTTAATGCAACTTTTTTGCCTTGTGCCTTCGTATCTGATCATAAAACAATGACCCTTGCTCGCAGACCTCAATGGACTTATCTAGCTCACGAGGGCAAACGCGTTTTGGAAGGGAACGAGGCTCTATTGCTGACTCGCTTGATCTTGATCCCCTAAGAATTTCAAGCCCTAGAGGCAACTTGTTTGACGGATCGATACGCATTCCTAGTCCTGGCGGTTTTGACAGCTCTAGAAGAGAATCGGTTTCGAGCCCAGGCGCAAGGGGCTTCGGTGGACTGTCTAGCCCTGGTTGGAGTTTTGACCGCAATGGAAATGGTCACGATGATTACAAGAGCGCGTTTGGAGCATTTGATTCCCCCAAGTCTAATGCGTTCGGGTCCCCCAGGAATGCATTTGATTCTCCCAAAAACACCTTTGGCTCTCCCAAGAATTCTTCTTCGTTTTTTGGCAACTCAAGCTTTGATGCTACACCATCTTTCTTTGGTGGAAGTCCAGGGGGCTCAAAGCGTGACAATCCTTACTCTGGCAGCACTTTCTCGCGATTTGATTCATTTACAGGTCCAGGCAGCCCTGCAGCTCCTGCCAGAGGATCAGGTTTGATTTGCTCCTTGAATGGTTCCGATTAACTGAATATGCTCAATTTGAATATGTTGCAAGAGGCAGCTGCAAGCTTTACGGTTGTTAAAATGGAATGCACCATCTATGCCAATTCAGGATGTTCACTCCAGTTCTCTTGTTTTGGTCTAGGAGGAAGTGATGACCATCACATGATGGGATATGACGGAGAGAAATCAATTCAAAGATTTGACTCCAACAGCATGAAGCCTGACCGCAGTCGTGGTTTTGGTTCTGATGATGAATCCGACCCCTTCGGAGCATTTGGCGACTCTGGACCCTTCAGTGCAGGAACAGCGAAGCAGACCAACGTCTGGAGCGCTTTTTAGCAGTCTTTTCGTATCTAATCTTGTGTTATAATTTCGAATTGTCTTGCGAATCCAAGACGTTTATGGGCTCAAGTACTTGGATCGTAGAGGGCAGAGGGAGTCATCTGTGGAGCACATTTCTTTCAGAACTCTTTAGCAAGCAATCAATAATTCAGTTAGCTTTTATCATGAGTGTTTTTGGGATCATTTCCACTACCTCCAGATTATATTCTGAAGACTAGCAGTAGACTACGTAACTAAGCAGCCTGACATCCTCTGAGAGTCAGCACACAACTCTGATTTGTATTTGCAATTGCAGTAATAACGGTGGATTTTTTTGACAATATCATGACTTGCCATTCCACCTGGCTCGGAATTCCTAATGAAACAACTGGTTGGTTGCTATCTTTTCCATTGCTTCATCTCGTTCACTTGGGCTATTCCACAGTTGTAGATTTTTGTCAAGGGGCTTGAGCTAAGAAAGAGGGAGTCTCGCCATCGCAGATGAAGCCATCACAGGAAGATGCGGTGCGCATCTCATTGCGCATTCGCAGAATGTCATAGGAGAATGTGGACTCGCGTGTTCCCATGAACCCCACCCCCAGGACGCAAATGGTCTTGTCCACCATGGCCATCACGGCCAGCTCTGACTCCAAACCATTTCGCCACAAAAGAGAGTCCCATTTGGCTTCCGCTTCGTGGACCTTTGTCCGCCTCACCACTGTCACTCCCGCCAGTTCCTGCTTCAATATGTCGACTTCACTAGCTGGTGCATCCGTGCTCAGGTATACCACGTCCGCTCTCGCTTCCCACACTTTCCTCCGAATGCAACGGGCCGCTTGGGGGATTGGGTAGAAGCAGCTCGGGGACTTCTGCTTGTTGCAGAATACCAGGAATCCGTGCCGCCGAAAATGAAGCGACAGGAAATTTGGTCCCAAGTACGTCTGGACGAATCTCTCCGCTGTGACCACGATGTTCCGGTTGGGCAGCACTGGGCTCACAGTGCAATCGTGCGCTACTGCGAAACCGTGAGAGTCCTCAACGGCTGCGTAAAATAGGTCACCTACGGCAAGAACTTTCGCATTGCAAGCAAACCTTGAGAGGATGTCATCTTTGTGAGCTGCGGGTGGATTTGAAGAGGATGACCATGCATCTTGTCGCTCCCCAAATGTATACCCCAGCGCTTCCCACGCACGCGGATGATCTTTGTCGAAGTGACAGGAGTGCATGTAGCAGATGAGCCTGTCAACATGTAGTGTCTCGTTCCGCAATTCGGCGAACTCTTCGAAGGTGATGACGCTGCTGTTGCCGAGACATTTCTTTAGGTGGGCCATATCGAGCAGATGCTCATATTTGTAGTCCAATTTCCCATGCGGCAACACGAGCGTCCGGTTTAAGAGTGCGGCGAACCACATATGCTTCCGGAAGCAGATGAGGTGGTTCGTGACTTGCCCAGTCTGACATATCATCAGTAAATATCGGTCTGCCTTTGGTCGCCACTGAATTCCCTCTCCGCTTAGCTCTGCACCTCTCCTCTTTCTTGCGCACGCAGCCAGAATCGCCTTTTCTGACGCATTTCCATGGCTCTGCATTAAGAGACTTTGTAATTCTTTATTGACTGTCAGTTGCTGTTTTGCGAACTTCGTATTGGTAATGGATGACAAGGGGTTGTTAAGCTCTGCAAGAAGCTCGACTTCCTGGCGATTTAACACAGCCATCGCCTTCGAAGAAGTCGCGACCCTTGAGCTTTCTTTGTCCCAACGCGATTGCCATGTCCAGTGCGTGATGGAGCTCGAGATTAGAAAGACTAACGCAAGAGCTAAACTTGGTAGGAGCACAATCCAGTCTCTTCTTTCCATTTCCTTCAATTTTTCCGGCGACCTCCACCCAGCTTCAACTGCGACAGGATTACTCAATTGCACCTCATTTTACCCGAAGTGTTTTAACCCTAACCATGCACACGAAATCAAACACATGATAGTGCTGAGCTGCAGCACGCAACTTATAAATGCAATTGGGCATGCAAGGTTAGCATAGACCATAGGCTGTGCTAATCTTTATAATGCATCTCCAAATGTGACTCGTTACCATTGTATTGACTAATTGGCTACCGTTGAACACATTTCTTGACAATGTTTAACGATTCATGTAACTTAACGGTGAAGTTCGCACTGATATAGATGAAGATCAATGTAAGATACGTGTCAATCAGATCATTCGGAAACCAGTTAGCTTAATAAGCTTAAATGATCTGCAAACCATGGCTAGGGAAAAACAATACTCTTGGATGGGAAAGTGTCAATATCGCATAATGCATTGCTTCGTTTACAATTATGTCGTCAAAGAAAACGTGATGGTCGGTTGCATTAAAACAGGTAACACTGTACATACAATGCGAAATTCAACGAAGTGGCTCCCTACACTTCTGCTGCAGAACATGTAGTTAGAGGATAACTCGCCACCACCCTAGCCGCCAAAACTTCTTCGTCCCACCAGAGAAATCAATGTGCGACAAATAGAAGAGTGACGGTGACGAAGAATCAGTGGTAGAACTCCTTCATCAACGATTGAAAGATATTGAGCGTGCGAATGGCCTGATCCGTGTGCTGCCCCATCTCGTTCGCAACGCCTCCCAGCCCCGACACATCCAACACATAGTCCTGGGCGGCGTTTTGCGCGGGGCTAATAACGAAGTTGCTCACCGCGTCCTTGAGGAAATGCTCGCCCACTTGCTTCAGCCCAATCAGGATCGCTAAGATGGCTGTCCAGTCCACGCCCGGGGCGATGTCGATTACGAGCTCACTACCTGCCCCAAAGGCCGCGTTCATGATCAACGTCTTCATGGATTTCTCCACCATAGCGATCCGCTCCTCCTTCTCATTCACGATCTGCATCGTCCTCCCCGCCAAGTCCACCAGAATGGTATACACATCATCCTCTGTCTCCCCCCTGCACACCACTAAATTGTGCCGAATCGACATGGACTTTACCCTAGACTGCTTGGCAATGTTGAAGAAGGTTTTCCCCCCACCGTGATCCATCACGTACTGCCGTCCATGGACAGAGAAAGTCTTCGGCTTCACTTTGAAACTGGGCATGCCATGGTAGCCCGTCACATGGCAGATGGACTCCCACTCGCCGAGGATGTGGGTACGGTTCCAAAAATCGTTCTGGTGAGAAAGTCCCAGTGGATCCATCATCTCATAAGGGTTTTTACCGTAATGGTGCGAGACGCACACGAGCTGCCCATTCTGCGCATTGAAGATGCGATTGTCGTCGGCTGACAAATGGGCTTTCTTGAAGATGAAGCGTCCTGGGGCTTGCAAGAATTTCCCCCCTAGGGTTAGTCCGCTGCTGGGCTCCTGTGGCACGAGTGGCGCCAGAGGCGGTCCCACTGCAATCTCCACAAGGAAATTAGGATCGTTTATGCGATCCAAGTCAGTGCGCTTCGCCATCACTTCAAATCTCTGCAGGAAAGCTTACAATGCTGAGAGGGCTTGTCTCGTTCATGTAGTTAGTCATAAACCCCGAGTTAGTCCTGCATGTTCATCAGCGTCTACATGACTGCCCTTACTACGCAGTTCATTTTCGAGTGATACATGCATGCTACTCCTGCCAACAGTGCGAAGCCCTTCAAATTCCCAATTCAATACCACGCTCGATCGACACCATGAAAATTTCTACCCACACTACCATCGAGTATCAACAAAGCTAGATGAGCTATGAAAAACACAACAGAGAGCGGCAGAATTCGTACAACAGTGTGAAGGGCCAACAAGCACGTCAACTTGCGATGCCGATTGGTAACCCGTCCAACTCCACCACACTGGACACAAATGCACCTTTCCAGTCCATCACAACCTCGAACGGGAATAAATCGGGTGGGGAGAGGAGTGCGGGCATAGGGACATATAGCGCCATAGCCATCGCCAAAGGTCGGTGGGAGGAAAGCTCAAAAAGAATCCAGGTTGGCAAACGACAGTCCAGCAGTAGTCTTAAAACAGAATCACTTTTCCAAATGCACATTAGCCGTGTTTATTTTGGAAATAAACTGAGACACCACCAGTCTACACATTTCTGGTCAGAAAGCCTCGCAGGGGCCAATTACATGGAGACATCATCACCTCTGTGCATCCAATTTTGAATCAAGTTTAACTCGGGTTCAAGTTCTTAGATTATATAGGTGAAATTGCTCCGGTAGTATCAGCATGGTATGGGATTAGTTTGTTGCTGTGATTGTAGTGAAACCTCAAAACAGGAAACAAAGCGTAAACAATCGAATGCCGCCCATGAGGTACCTTCAACTGCAAAGTCTCCATTCACTTTTATGATGTGACGCACGATGTTCGTATCTACTTTAACCACCCACTTGTCCTACCAATGCATGGCAGGATTGTGACAGCAACAGCAAAATATTTCAGCATCCGCAAAGTCACTAGGTACGCATTGGAAAGATGGGAGTTAAAAAAGTGAAATGGTTATAGCGGCAAAAACAGGACTCAGAAGAAGCCCACTTAACCTGCAGAAAAGCGTCCAACATTGGACTCGTCAATGCAGCATGTAGAAACGACGTTGGCAAGACAAACAGACATTTCCACCAGCACGAAGAAAACGATTTGAACAATGAGGTCTTAAAATTTCTGAAAAAGATAATGATTTAAATGTGTGATTTAAACTGATTGCATGTAGCGGTGCCACCAACATCATGATCGAACACACTTCACTCTTGTTTACATCTATTTGGCACCACCTCCACTCCTGATTCTATATGGAAGACCTTGCGTAGCATCTTCACGAGGTTTTGCAGGATCAATGAGAACACCGAATAACTATTCTCCACCTCATTTTGTCAGCATTCTTACAACTACGTAAGTCTACAAGAAACTGTATATTAGCTAGTAAGAGCTGCGCTGCTTTGCAGCAGAACGACGGCGAAGCTGTGCTATTGCTTTGACCCCAAGAAAAGTTTCACATATCTGCGAAAAAATATGCACCTCAAATCATAACTAATCAGCCACATGTGGCACTGTATGCAGTGATTGATTCTAAAGCAATGTAAGCACACCCCAGACTCCGCATAAACACCTCGAGAGGGTGACAATAAATATTTTTACTGTGCCTACATTAAGTGTCATCTTGATCACGTCATCACCACATCGAAAGACCAGATCGAAGCGGCTTTTTCAACATACTGATCATCATACAAGGTATTAGTATGTCAAACAAACAAGACCCGACTTACAATCTCGTCGGTAGAACAAACACATCTTTGTCATCACTTGGAAGTGAATGCCCCTGCTGTGAGGGAAGAAAAATCGTAGTCAGCTCCGCTAGGTTTTGATGAATCCGACCCATTGGAGATGTTGCTGCCTCTTGAGTTCAACGAATTCAGTGGACCAAGAGAACTACCTGATGTGCCATTTCCGAAGTCCATTGGCGCCATACCTGGAATATAGCCTGCCATTGAAAGCCTCTGCATAGAGCCAGCTCCAAACATTCTGCAAACATACCAACACGATAAAATTAGTACCCAGACTAACAGACGCAGTCTACAACAATTAGATAGAACGCAAAAATGAGGTGAAACAAGTCCATGCCACACTTACCCTGCACCTCCTGCAGATGCCGATCCCATGCCCACTGACCCTGGTTGGGCTGGTCGAACTCCATTTATGATTGGCTGCACAAACTCGGAACAAGATGACCAAAATAAGAACCCTGATGGTCAAAAAGACTTAATCTGAACATTCGTTCACAAAAACGCATTCATAAACAAGTTTTTATTGTCATGTAGTGATAACAAAAGATTGTAAGCGTAGTTAACGAGTATAGCAGCAAAACTCGTCTCATCAAAAAAGAGTGCCAAGCCCAAAGAAGAAGTGTTATGGTTTCGCGTACCTTCGAAAAGGACGATCCTCCATTCTGAGCTGCTGGCTTGGACATCAATCCACCAAGCCCTTGGAGATCGGCGGCAGGCCACTGTTGGCCAAAACCACTCCCTTGCGCACTTCCCACACCAGACTTTTCGGTAACAGTAGACTGATTTTGTCCTTGCATAAACGCTGCAGGCTGCATGTTCTTAGCAGCTGCAGCGGCCATTATCATTTGCTGTTGTTGATGAAGCAGCACTGCCATTTGTTGTTGTTGAGCTGTGAAAGGCGATGCAATCGAGGTCTGCAGTTATGAGCATAATCAGAGCATGAGTGCATCATGATGCAATCCAGGGTCGTTACTCATTCCAAAGAGACTCCACATACAGCTCAGATAATGGAACAGAAGCATCAGTTCCCATTCTGTGTTAAATTACTGAAGAGCATTTCGAAGAGTACAAAAGGAAAAATTACTGCACTGCGGACAACAATATAATGGGGAAAATACTAGTAGAAAGAAAGAAAAAAATAAGAGAGGAGAAAAGGTACAATCTAAACCATTCAACGTTCTAAAATGAAAACGGAATTTGAAATCACTCGTCTTGTAACACAAAATGGCAGGAATACTACAAGATAGGGGCGAAGTGGTACATTTTCAAAAAGACTGAGTATGCTGTTTACGTCCTTGGGGGGCTGGGAAGACTTGGGCTGACTAGCAGGTTGAGCAGCTGACTCAGGCTGTGCTGAAACAGCAGGAGAAGCTGCGAACAAATCTTCCAGACCAGCAGTTATGCTGTTCTTACTAGGTTTCGAAGTAGAAACCAAGCCAGTATCACCAGCTGCAGTTGTGGTTGAGGTAGCAGAAGTGGTTGGAGCTTCAGCAGTAGCTGCTGGCAAAGGTTCTGCAGCTGCAAAGAACCAAGTGCTCAACATCGATGAAGAGGAACGAGGAAAGGTAATGTTGTAGAAATATGAACAGCGTAAGGCATCCGTAACTCACATTGGAAAGCAGCCCAACCATTGTCATCTGCTGCACCATTACTTTCTCCGTCAATATTGAGTAGATCGAAGAGATCTGTTGGAGCTTCCACTTTTGTTGCAGGTACAGCGGCAGTGTTTGCATCGCTTTTCTGAGATGGACCGGCTTGTGTTTCTTCTTTATGCATGACGGGATTTATAGAAGACTGAGGTGGACCCCTAAGGGTAGGAGGGCTTGGAGCGGTAGCTTTCGACTTCTCCTGCATCAGTAGCCCAATTTAATATTTAAAATAAATATCTAGCAAAGAAAGTTCCTGGAAAGGTAATTACAGCTCGAGAACTGCAAGATTTGATGGGCTTGAATGAAGATTGGTACCAAATAGGCAAGCTTCAAATACACGTAATCCTGAAAAATGAAAAGGATAAGCTGAGAACAAAATTCCGAGTAAGCTGCAAAACGACTAGATAGTGTACAGAATCCCCATATGGTGGGACTTTTAAATCCCATAAAGGAAGAGCCCAGAAGTCACCTTCAGCTTTCCTGCATTCAGTTCAGCAACAATTGGATTGCGAATAATTGTTGGTCCATCTAAGCGAAATGTAGCAATATTAGCAGTGCTATCGTAAGCACTTTGTCGGACCCCATCGTGCGACAAGCGCTCTGGGGTCTTCTGTTCTGACCCTCTTCGTCCAGTCTCATCTTGCAACGGTCTTCTGCTTGCTGCTTTCGTTTGACTATTGTTACCTCTTCCAACCCATCGCTTTGCTTCATACCTTCACAAAAATGAATTCAGAAAAACCAAGGCATAAGTATTCCGCACAAGAGATACTATAGTATGACGAAAGACATTCCGTTCAGTTTCCGTTAAAAATATTTAACGACCACTCTAGGTTGTAGTCAAAATGTAAAAACCCTCAGCAAAGCCAGTTACTTACTTAGCACGGATGAAAGTCTCAAGTCCACTGCGATCATTCTCACCCGGGCGCTTGAACGATGGTGGTAACTCAGCCTCCCAATACTCATTGGCCTTAACATTGCCCATGCCTGATCAAAAGACAATGCCCACTTAGAACGATTTTCAGTTGGCAAGATTCAAAAGACTGATACAATTTTCCAATCAACTTATTTTTGCCAACCAAAATTATCGAATAATATATTTTTAAATCAAGTAGAAGGGAGGGAGGGCGACGAAGTAGGAATAGATCGCACTAACACTGGCACACCTACTACCGAAGTACAACATTCACATTAATACACATAAGATCCTGGAGTAGCATACCCTGAATGAACGCAACTTGCTCGGGTAGCCATGTGTCTAACGTTACAGATCGAACCTGTCACTCAACGTAACAGGTCAGAAAAACATGCAGCTTGAGGTAGAAGTTCTACGATCAAACAAAGGCATAACAGAAAAAACGGACGCACAGTCTTGCTGAGGTAATTGCGAACGGAAGAAACGAGAAAATCTATAAAAAGATACCTTCGAAATGTGAACGCCGAGGCTACGATGAATTCCAGAACACTGTATGCACACGAAGATACCCAAATTTACACTTGCCCATCTTGGTCCTCTGCCAAAACAAATCGTTCGCGCGGTCAATCAGTCACGAACTCATCAATGGATCACTACGTCACAAAGCACTCAAATTAACATGCAGGAAACACCGCCCCGCAAAGATGCAAAAGCAACCAGAAAAAGCTACTAACTTGCTGTGGCAATCCGCACACTCGCGATTCTCCGGTAGCTTCATCATAGCCTCCAACATCTGTAACAAGCGACAGAAATCAATAAACAGATGACTTGGTCCTCCTCGAGAAATATGGATACGTCAGTAAGAATGGGAACTCTAGCCTCACAGAGCCATATAAGACAGAAATCAATGAAATAGTGCGAGGTCTCCACTACATCCCAGCAACTAGAACAAACCTCTTCCAAGAGAATACTATCTAGGAGATCTAGTGATCCAACCCTAAACGCGACATCAACACCTTCGGAAAGGCTAATTTCAACCCCTCACAGCAAAAATACACAACTGGGAAGTAGGAATAACCCTAATAAGATGCTAGGGGAGCGAGCGTAGTGCTAAAAAAGAAAAATCCAGATCCAGACGAAACCAGCGTATTCACGTAGCGATGCAAGGGGGAGGGGGGGGGGGGGGGGGACGGGTTGAGGAGAGGACAGAACGAGCTGGCTCGCAAGGGGAAAGAGCAGACAGCAGGATACCTTCTTGTGACGCTCATTTTGCTCCTTGGTGACGAGCGATTTGTCATTGTTGGCAAAGGCCATCACCTTGAAACAACGTTATGAATCAGAATGAGAAAATCTCCCGATGCGCTCTGCGTGATTCAATCCGAGAGTGAAACTAACTCTGTAAGTGCAACCAATGGTGCTCCTTGGTGGTTTCGAACCTGATGGCGGGCGTCAGAACGGAACAAGAGGAAACGGAACCAAGAGAGACCAGAATCAGACAAAGCAGGCACTCACTTAGTCGGGACGAAATACAAAAAGGGGGGAAGGAAGGATGGAGGGGAAAGGAGGGAGGGGTTAGAGGAGGAGGAGGTGGAAGGAATGGAATGGCTGGGGGCCGAGCGAGACGGGGCGAGCGGGGGGGAGCAGAGAGGGGGGGGGGGGGGCAATAGTCTTGGCAATAGCTGCGGGCTTCTTCCCTTCCTGGATGGAGCCTTGACGACGATGGCGATGACGACGACGACGACGACGACGACGATAGTAGGTGCTCATTCTCTTGCAACCCCGGGGGGTACCACCACCCAGGGGAAGCAGAAAAAGACGCAGCGGAGAAACCCCCCCCCCCAACCCCCGACGAGACCCGGATCCTATCAGGCAGGTATCTCGAGGGTTTCTGACCCCCCCTGGTCTGAGTGAGAGGTGAGCCTGGCTGGACCAGGTCCTGAGGGAGGGAGGGGGGCCGTGCCAGCTCATGGCTGCGAGGGGTCGACTCTTCCACGCCATGTGGTGCTGCTGCTGCGTTGTCCCCTCCCCCCGGCATCTAATTGCCGCTGCCTTTTGTTAGCGTCGCGTCTACAGCGACATTGGCTGGCGTCACACTCTGCCGTCACCGTACGTTCGCAGCTCCTCCGTCCCCGTCCTCCCCTCGCCCTCGTTCGGACTGACTCCAGTAGCCAATTAAGTAATTGGCTCCGTGCGGTAGGGTGCTGGCTCCGCCTCCACATATAATTCTCCTCTCTCCCTCTCGTCATCTTAAAATAATGGAAAGGAGAAAGTACCTGTCACCTGCTTTTGATGTCTATGATTTGGATATTTTAATATAATAATGATAATATTAATAATAATAATACTAGCAAACAAGTGTACTTTTTTTTTTTTTTTTTCTGACGATGTGCCAACACAACGCACTGGATATCTGTAAGTATGTGCTATTGTTATGATTTTTCACAGAATTTGGGTTTCTATTTACTTTGCTCCCCCCCTTTTTTTTTTCTTTTTCCTTTTTTTCTAATTCTCGCCCATTTTCCCCTTACTGTATGCATACGTGTGCATATGTACTTGTACATAAATATGTACTCAAAATGTACGCATGAGGTTCATTTTAAGGTATTCCGTATATAATTTCAGATCTGAGTAGTTTCAAATAGCAATAATATCCCATGTAAGATTTTTGACCAAGCCGGAAAAAAAAAATCTCTAATATTGAATGTAGTTTACCTTTCCGCAATAGAGTCATTGAGATTTGTTTTTTATAACCAGAGAGCAGAAAACATAAAGCAATACTATGTACTCACACGTAACAGAAGCAAATCAACACAACCGAATCTCGAAATGTGAATTTCAAAATTAAGAAAATTACACAAAGCCACGCATAATTGAGATTCTTAATTGTGCATCCGATAATACTTACGGGAACATATATATATATATATATATATATTCTTACATATCAAGTTTGTTTATAATAAAAGTTCACTATTGTGTTTTGACATTCTCCAGTCAATATAGATATTTAGGAAAGTACATACATCCATACATACATCTCTCTCTCCCTCCAAACATATACAGATCCAACCATCCATACATTCACCCTGCATTCATCCATTCTCACATTCATCATTACAATACTTCATTCGTCATTCATTCGTGTGTGGAGTCCATGGCATCAGCGATATTCAGTTTGGGACATTCAGCGGGGATTCCGCTGCTGCCTGATCCGATTCGGCATGTCGACATGATCAATGCTTCGGTGAGTCCCCTTTCACACCGCGGCCATGAAATCAGCACCGATAGAGAGTGAGCGAGAGACAGAGAGAGAGGGACTTGCAAACACCGAACGACGCAGCGTCGGAGGAGAATGGGAATTGTGGTTGGAGGAACAGAGGGAGGGAGTCGCGGAGTGTATCGAAGAAGAAGAAGCAGAAGAAGCATTTAGAGGGACTGGGCGGAGGGAGGGAGGGAGGGAGAAGCTATGGAGACTAATGGGACACCCCGTGGTAATGGTGGTGGTGGTAGTGGCTATGGTGAGGAGGAGGAGCATGGCCCTCTGGCCATGGCGCTCCTGCTGCCTCCGCTGCCCTCCCTTGTGTCTCGCCTTCGCAATGGTCGCGAGGCTCAGGTCCTGCTTGACCTCGACTCCATCGCCGCCTCCTTTGACTCCCTTTATCGTGCTTTCATAGCCCTCGCCAATGCCTCCCATCACCTGCAAGGCGCCTGGGACCAGCTCTGGCTTGCACAGGATCCGTCTGTCGTCAAAGCCATTCCTGTCATTGCTCGAGAGATGTCGCGCCTCAACTGGGCCAGGGCAAAGCTCATGGAACGGATGGACTGTCAGCTCCGGTTGTTGCACTCGTGCGCGGATGCGTTGCGTCACTTCGTGGAGGTCAATGCCACTCTTGCGGAAGAACTGCGCATGGAAGGCGTCGAGCGCCTCGCGGTCGATAAGGAGCTTCTAATGGAGATGGAGCGCGGCATTGAGCTGCGCGTCCGGCGTGTCTTAGAAGGCTCTTTCGACGTCTCTGGAGAGCCTTAGAGCCCGTTCTCTGCTTTACGAAATTGGTTCACTCGAACAGTTGAAGCGCCTCCAAGACGCACAGTGCTGCAGCAATCGGGGGTTTCAAGTTAACTGTACTTGAAATGCAACATGGTTGTGCGTTTTCTATGTGGGAAGAGAGGGTTGAGTTATGGTCGTGGAACATTTTCCTCCGCTTCTCTTGTTTGATGGTGATCTGCTGCTGGACAAATGTCTTTTATGCATTTGCTTTAGAGAAGTTGATATGCTCCGTACGCCAAGCTAATCTTGGAAGCCACTGCTTCCAGAACTCCTGTGCTTACAAGAGATTTTCACACGTTCGCACTAAATGGTGGAAAAGTTCAGGAGGGGAATCTTGCTCACCACTGGTCCACCTGCGTTTGTGATGAGCGACGAACGTTAGCTGATTACCTAGAATTCATCTCCGAGCAATTCAAACCTCAAGACGGGTTACAACTTCAATTCAGATGGCCTGTTTTAAGTGTTCAGCATTCAAGAAAGGCTGTCAAGTTGTTCGGCGATAACATTATCGGCACATAATGGGAGGTGCTCTAGTATTGCTCTCATGGTTATCAGGAATTCAAAACTCGGTATCAAGGGTTGAGTATATCGCGTAAGAGTGTAGTTTGCATTTTCGAAGCACTTGGTAAATGGAAAGCTGGGCAAGGGCGGCGACGGGCAATCGAACTTCTCCGCAAATCCGATTATGCACGTGGTGTGGAGCGACATCCGCTTTACATGGAGCTTGCCAATAATGTATGTAGCATACCAATGGTTCATGATCAAGTATCCGCGAACTTATAGCTTGCCGATCTACGCTGCTCCTTCTGCAACTTTCCTCCCGAGACAAAGATGCTAATTCCAAAGAGAGTTGCCGCAAGGGGCAACAGCTGATTATGTCCTGCACACGCACGACATGCGCCAAGTAACCGCAAACTCTCCGGAGCTGAAGCGAATCACTGGTGAGATGATTCTAAGACCACCAATTGACACTTAGACTCACCCTAATCTTGCACTCCAGAACATACTAATGCATATTTTATAGCGAAACTTGTCTGTTTTCATGGAATGGGACACATGGAAGAACTGTTATGTTTGCATGTACAAACCTATGCATTTAGAAGTTTCTTCAATATAAACACACTGTGAAGCATCATTTTGTTATTTTCTATAATAAATATTTTCATAAAAGTTGTGGATTTTTAGGTGTATTAATGTAGAAGACAATTCAAACCTGATTGTCTCACTATATTTAAGCTTACCAAGTTTTTCAATATATCACTCTCAAGCTTTAGCAGTGTTTACACATTATCAGTCTTGTATGTATAATGAAAATGCAAAGTTATGGTTTGATTCACATCTCAAGATTATTAAATGTCATCTGGGATATTATATTAGCTATTTTTTTAACATGAAATTATCTCACTTGAGCCTCTGTGCAAAATTGTGTTTAAAATCCAAACATGAGATTGTTTTATCTTGTCACTCAATCATGATTAGTATAGTGACTACTTATTTATTATGCCTTTAATTTAGTCCATTGTTATTCAAGGTATGAAAAGAAAAAAAACATATATATTCTAGATTAATATATTTAAAGTTATCACATATCATACATTGATATTGTTAATGAGGTTATAATGCCTACCGTGAATGAAGCTATTGCATGGGTTTATACTTTGGTGCAGAGTAATTGTAAGCTTTTCTGAGTATAGGCAAATGTTACATGTAAACTTAAAATATATTAATACTAGAAAAATGTTTATTTGAGAGAAATCCATTCTAATTTCTGTGAATATCTACAATAATATTTTTGTAAAAATAAATCTTGTATGCATGTTATTGATGCAAAAAAATCCTAATCCAATTCTCATTAATTGCAATATTTTATTTTGAAATGCAATGTTGGTAACATTTGTTTAGCCTCAATTTATTTTTACAAATAACATATTGTTTTTAATTTTTAATTAAGTAATTATACTAAAATAAAAAAAATCAACTCAAGCATCATAGATGTAATATTTGGAATATAAATTATAAAGGTGACACCTTGCTCTAAATAGAATAAGGTTTTAGAATTACAATGAAGTCTTTATTATAACCAAAAATTTCAATTATTATTATTATTATTATCATCATCATATAATTATTTCTATATTCATGTCTTTTAACTTGTTTTTCATGATATCTTTGATTATTATATCTTATTTCAAATTCTACATTAATATGTATATTAATAATATTATATAACTATTTTTTAAAAAATATATTTTTTTTTATATTTAAAAAACCAAAACTTTATAAATATGATCTATTTATTTATTTATTTATTTATATATACACATACATAATTTTTCAAATCATTCTTTTGTACATAACTTGATTGAAATCTACACAATTCAACTATATGTTATTTAGTATTTGATAAAATTGTATATTTAATAAAACAAAAATAGATTAGAAGATATTGTTTGTATGCAAATTTTATTTTATACTAGATGGATAGAATTTAATTTGGTCTACAAGGACTAATATGATGTAAGCATCACATTTCAAATAAATATTTAAATAATCTTGAAGATTAGATGTTAGATAGATGATTTAGACATTTGTCATATAAAAATTATGAATTTTTTTTAAAATAAAGATAAATAAATTTATTATTGAATGGAATTACCATAAATATTTTTATAGTACTTTTATTAGAAGTTTCTAATCAACATCTTGTAAAATTCAGTAATAAATAAATTTAGTTTTATAATCATATTTTTTGCTATTTAAAATTTATGTGAAGAAAAAAAATGCTAAAGGCAAAGATTTTTTTTGTATTTTACATAATTATAGATCAAGTCACTGAGAAATTTCTTAAAAAAAATCTTCAGTTTAAATAATAGAGTTTGTTTTTTAAATTATTTTATATGACTGTTAGATGAGATTAAGTTGAATATTAAAATAAAACAAAGTATACAACTAATTCTTAAATAAGAAGTAAAATAACACAAGGTTATCAAAGCTCGTAAATATATATATATATATATATATATATATATAATTTTATAATATTATAGTATTTATAAAATTCAAGGATGAAGCATTTACATAAAATGATTTCAAGTAAATAAAAGAGAAAAAAAACAATTATTATACTATAGAAATTATAAGATTTATTAAAGTTTTTTTTGTTTTTTTTTGTTTTTTGTTTTTTTTTGCAGTACAACCTCTTTGTATTTCTTAAATATTTAAATGAATCTTTTAATATATTTTTATTTAATTTTATCATATATTATTATAATAGAAAATCTATCCTTATATTTTAAATTTTAATCACTTAAAGTTATTTTGTAGTATTGTATTTTTAAATTATTTTTTTAAAAATTCTTTGTCAAGATTCTTGTAAATTATGTGATTTATTTTTACAATTTAAATAAATATATATTTTTAGAAGAAAATGAATTATTCTTACAAGAACTTTAAAATGCATAATATTTATAAATTCCAAGTATAATATGTAACAGATATTGTTTATATTGTTTAAATAATTCAAAGAAAATAAATTATAGAAAATAGGACTACATTAGATTATTTTAAGATACTTCAAAGAAACTAATTTTGACATAGATTGAGCTTTTGGTAGTGTCATGTTATAATAATATTTTTTTTAAAAAAAACTCTTGTTTCTTAGAAGTCAACATAGAAGCATTTATCAACTTTGGTACTGGACTTAGGCTAATAGTCCTTATAAAACTTTCTCGTGACCTTACTATCTAGTATATTTGTAAACAAGATTAACATTAGCTTTAATTTTGTCAATATTGAAAGACATTAGTTGTTTGTGACAATGTATTATTGTTGCTAATAATCCCATTGCCATTGTCAAAGCTCTATTGGACTTTTAGTCACATCTTTTATAAAATGAGAATATTTAATTAACTTTCTAGGCCTATCTCATTTTAATTAAGGATTACCAATCAATTAACACTTGCTCAAGGTAACCAATTATTTGCAAGCCATATGTCATATGACCTTGTTGAGATGAACATTGTTCTAAATGAGATTTCATTATTAAATAATGAAAAACAAGTAATGTATAATGCAATTATTGTTACATTGTTACTCTTAGGTGGAAAACAATTCGTTCTACTTTTAAGATTATATTCAATCTTAATAACTATGCAAATTGCAGGATCATAAAAGAATAAAAAATAGGAAGATTGCTTAAATTTGCTATGATGTTGGTGTGAACTAAAGCTCCAATAACCAATAAGATAGCCTTTGAAGCTCTAGATATGTTGCTATATGATATAACTTGTATTATTCAGCCATTTAATGAAAAACTTTTTGTATTGGAAGATGTCTTCCAACAAATTTTGTTAGTTCTTTGTTGTAGAATAAAAATAGATATTATTAATATATGCTTGAAGTTCTTTTACTTATATCCATCTATACAAAAAAATGCAACTCATAACTAATATGAGATTGCACCAAGCTAATGGATAAGGAGGAGAAGAAAATAGATCTTTAGTAGAGTATTTGTTTTGTATTAGCAAAAGTAAAGAGAGTATTTACCAAGATATAAGGAAAAATATATTTTGAATTCTTGAAATAATTACTATTTATAGAAACATTGGTCTATTGTCTAAAAAAAATCTATGGCAATATTGCTAATCATTCTAATGATTACAATTTTATTATAAATTACGCAAATTTTATTCTCCACAAATTCATCTATTGATGCATTCAAATTTCAAATCTTATTAAATTTTCATGATTAAAGGATAAAATTTCTTTCTACTAACTCAATTTTCTATGATGACAATGATAGTCAAACACTATTTTAAGTTGAATTTCTTTATACTCTTTTTATAAAATGGATTGCTATCTCATCCACTAAAATTAAAGATTGGAGTTTTAATAATTGTTTTACTGAACATGGTAAGAGAAACATGTTAAGAGAAATATTACATGTTCCAAAGATGCTGAATTCTTTGAAAATACTAAAAATGTTTTTTATAGTAAAATACTTGAACACTAACATTCCCCATAACTGTCAGACTATGAAATCTTTACATTTGTTTTTTATTTGATGCAAAGCAAGGGCCCCAACGCCATTACTGATTTGAGGAGGAAAGAGAGAGTGTGGAAAAAGGGTTTTCAGTTCTGATGGGGCTTTGGAAGCACGGTCGTGGGTCCAATGCCCTCCCATGAGCGCGAAGCAAGAAAGGGTGCCACGTATTGGAAGACGAGAAAAAGCCTCCCGTCGGACGAATTCTCCTGCTCGTCCGTCCATCCGTCTGTCCGTTGAGCCTACCGACAGGTGTGAGACCTCGGGATATTGTTACTATTCCTCATGCGATGCACTTGGCTATGCGCTTTCGTGTCTATTTCTCTCTGAGAGCACTAGCCATGGGTGCTGTTCTCCGCTGGGAGCCGCATTACGTGCCTTGGCAAAGCGGTGCAGGGCTCTTGGTGTGGCGGTAATGCAGGTGGCCGTGCTTTTGGGAGAGAACCCCCCCCCCCCCCCCAACTGGATATTGATGCATACTTTCCTGCGGACAAGATTTTTTCGTTCACAAGTCGGCTTACAATAGCCCTCCAAGGACGAAGGAATTTTCAACTGGGTTTTGTTTGGCACCCTTGGAATGGACAGAGCGATAGGAAAGCGTGTTCCATGAGCAATTTGATTTCCTGCAGCCCAGCTGCAACATTGAAATTTCGGGTGTCATGATTTGGGCTGCAAGTGCTGCCATACCTCTGTCTCTTTCTCTCTTTCTTCCTGTTCGAAACCTTGGTCTCAATTATTCTCATCCTTCCGGCTTGCGCCTCCGCGTTGCATTCCTTGCTCAGAAGCGATTAACCCCCGAAACCGGGGTAGATAACTGCAGACCCCCGGAGTTCTCAGTCGCGATGGACACATCCTTGTGGTCAAGTGTGCAAATCCCCTATGGACATGTCCAGGACCTGCGCAGTGCACATATAACTTCATTAATCCTCGCACCACTAAAATCTCAGGGTTTCTCTGGTAAAAGAGCATTCGTAAATCACCTGATTGCAAGACTTCCATTTCATGATTGCTCAGGGAATTCCCTCGTTTCTCAGTGACGTAAAGTTTGTAATGCGACGCAGGCTTCGTGGAAAGAGGATTTTTCTAGATCTTTTATTTTACTTTATTGCTCGTGTGGAGCTCCTAGGTTGCTGGAGATACCGATTCAATCATCCACAGAATCATTATCGCATCCTCATGGGTAAGATTCCTTGCAAAGTGGCCGCTGCATACAAACCGATCACAGACAATCTATGACACAGCTGGCAGCGTCGCTCGTTGCAAGGAAGGGTTCCGCCCGCCATGAACTTACTATTCCTCATAGCTACTCGGAATTAACGCTCTGAGATAACATTGTTAATCAGTCAATGCAACTGTAGCATTTGAAATCAGGTCCGTCTACACACATGGCGTGCACACCATCGCAGCAATGGGGACTAATACCTCCTTCACGTCTCTGGGAGGCGTGTGGACTCGATCTCGTTCTGTACGCGGGCGCAGCACAGAATCTGGGGTGTACATATTCCGCTGGTACGTGTGATCAGCAACAACCGTGGTGTTGGTGGAGCAGTTGTAGTGTTAAAGTGCGACATTGTTCAGCTGAAGCCAGTCTGTCTTTTAAATTTTAGAAGACTTCGCTTGCAAACAATCAGTAATGAAAGGATCAGAAGGAATCGCAGTATCTCATGAATATGGAATGGCAACAAACTCACGCTGCCTCCAGTTTAAGCTGCGGAGTGGGTAGCATTCCCCCTCTGTTCGTGGCGAAACGAAGTCGCGATGCCCTTTGGGAATTTGCAGGTTTTCCTTGACAGCCGCATTCTGTGGTTCAAGCCCACCAGTTCCGGTGATGGGCGTTTGAGACTGTGCATGGTGGGTTGGTTCTAGGGTTTTGAAAAACTATTTGGGCACTTGTATCCAAAGGCCCTGTCCTGGTAGGTGTTGAAGGGAGGCTGAACAGATCCAGCCCTAGCTATTATGTATGTGATGCAGGATGAAGCGGGGGCGATCGCCTTGATGATCGTCTCGCTGTGGTGCCTCGGCTCCTGGCCTGCGCTGTTCAATTTGTTGGAGAGGAAGGGGCGGATTCCCATGCACACTTACTTGGATTACACTTTCGCCAATTACGGAGTAGCCGTCCTCTTCGCCTTCACCCTCGGGGACATTGGCCCTGACACGCCGGAAGCGCCCAATTTTCTGACCCAATTGTTTCAGGAGAATGGCCCCTCGGTGGCGTTCGCTTTAGCTGGCGGGTTGGCTTTGTGTTTAGGCAACATTTCCTTGCAGTATTCGCTAGCTTTCGTTGGAATTTCTTTGACGGAGGTTGTTTCTGCAAGTGTCGCCGTGGTTCTAGGTGCTCAGCTTCTTTCCTTCACCTCATTCTTTCGTGAACAATGGACAACTGTGAGGTTTGTTCTTTCCTGTCCAAGGCAGAAGCAGCAGATAACTTTTACACGGAATAGTACAATTTACATCAACTCGTTTGTTGCTGTATCAAGCTAAAATGGTCCCATGCGCAAAATCCTTTTGAACACTGCAGTAATCAGACTGACGAAGTGATTCGTGGTTGGACTCGTTGCAGGAACAACTGTGAACTATTTTCTAGACGATGGTTTGAATCGTGCAAGCATCTTGTTTCCTGGGGTCCTTTGCTTCCTGGTGGCAGTTGTGTTGGGTTCATTCTGCCATGCCTCAAATGTGGCCGACATTCAAGCTAAACTTAAAGCTGCGGAGGCTTCTGCACAAACGTGAGCCTTTCTTTCACATCTTCCAACTGCAGCGTGATTTTTCACACTTGACGTGTCGAATCTATTGAACTGCTCACACTGTCGCGCTTGTTACAACCTATTCCGTCTCAGGCTGGAGGACAATGGAAGCTCATTCAAGAACTCGGAGGCATCTGCACCTCTGCTGATAAACCATCCAAGCAACCTGGAAACTCGTGAGTGGATTTTCGGCACTAGTTCCGCCCTCGTCTGTGTTTCTATTCATCCCCTTAGTGGCGTTGTATTTACCTCATATTTGGACCATCTACATTACCATAAGATGATGTCAGTTTGGGTCTCAAAACAGGTTTAATCAATCAATCATAACATGACATATCATTTCTCAATTTACGTGTTTCAGTTCTGAATTTATTTATATGCCGAATCTGTCACCAATGCATGACAATTCGCAATTCCTTGAAGGATCTGGACAGTATCTACTCGTCATTTTTCGTGTGGTTCTGACTCGTGTACTGAAACACAAATCGTAATGTTATCTGTCCCAGATTCCAAGTACTGTGCTGATCCAGAGATAGGGGGGAGCGCGGCCACAGGAGCGGAGTATTTTGAAAGTTTGGAGTCCCATAGAGCAATCAAGGTCAAGGGGAAGAGTGTCTTGTTTGGGCTGGGGATTGCCTTCTTTACAGGTTTATGTTGTGCAGCATTCTCTCCCTTGTTTAACTTGGCTACAAATGATCAGTTCCACCTTCTCAAGCCTGATGTGCCTCATTTGGTGGTGTACACAACTTTCTTCTACTTTTCCACTGCTTTTCTCATCTGCTCAGTTCTCGTGAATGTGTATTTTCTCTACCACCCGGTGCTGGGTATTCCCAAATCCTCACTGTCCATGTACTGCCAAGACCGCGAAGGTCGCCATATTGCGGTCATTGCTGGCCTGTTGTGTGGTATTGGGAACGGCTTCCAGTTCATGGGAGGTCAAGCTGCTGGGTACGCTGCTGCGGATGCCGTACAGGTTCATGTTCTCTTCCTTTGCACTTACTTCACAATCACATGGCTAGTTGAGGGTAGAACTGAAACTGGGGCAATAGTCACACCATGAACCGATGTGCACAAGTTGATTTCTCTGGATATCCTTGCTACCCAGTTGTCTGTTTTGAGGTGTTGACATGTAGAAACTTTGATACGAAGGTTACAAGATTAACAAACATCTGAACTGAAACAAACTGACCAAGCAGTGGGGCTGGGCTGGGATGGTGGCGCAGGCTTTACCTCTGGTGGGCACGTTGTGGGGTATAGTTCTGTTCCGAGAGTATTATGGATCATCAGGAAAGACCTACTCTCTCCTGATCGCCATGCTCTTCATGTTTGCAACAGCTGTGGTGATGCTTGTGGCTTCTTCGATGCCACGCGATGGGTCTCGGACTTAAACCCTTCACACGGACCCTTCCTTCACACATGCGTGGCTTGGCTACTACTATGGTTCTTTCAGTAAATAGATTGATTGATTGCACAGAAAGTACTTCAAGTGACTTAGGGAATTATTATTGATTTGTAGTGCACGTCTAGTGCGAATTAATTACACGTTGTGTTTGTTTGGTGAACTTTGGAGCATTTTCCTATCTGAAAAAAAAAACTCTCCTGCCTAGGAGACCCTAATTCTTCAGTTACTTTTTCATATGAAACGAGATCTATTTTTAAAAAAATACAAAAACAAAACCAGGCCGATCATGTGAAGCCTTCTTGCAGCGTCAAGGAGAGTCCATCAGCATTGCTGCTGGAGCTGCTGCGCTAGGGCAGGCACTAAGCTTTGTGATGCTCATCTCAATTGATACATTGTTCCTTTGAGACTAGCACACAGAATCTTGCTAGAAGACGCGTTCAAGTAAGAGCTTGCGTTTGGAAGTCGGTTTGTTGGATTTCGATTTTTCATTTTCTAGGTTTTTTTTGTTAATGCTAATCTAACGATAAGTGGCATAATGGTACCACCTTGACAAGGCGCGACAACGCCAGTACGACGGAGAGAGCAGCCAGGACACGCGCAAGGTACAATGCACGAAGGGAATCAGGCAAGAGACGAAGCACGGTCAAAAGGCACGGCGGGAGCACCCACGATAATCCATTGCGTCACGCACACATGGACTCATTCCGTAATGCACAAGGGCTTCTGATCCAAAAACACCAAAAGGTTCCTATTGCAGCTCTGGACATGCCAAAGATTTGCCAGCACGTCTTGCATCTGCAAAAACATTACCTAATAGCTTGTTTTGTAAAGAAGGCGGATGACATGACATGGATGGAACAGTGGATTTCGGAGCTTAAAAATATCATTCAAGTTCAATTTGCGTCACATCAAGAGGCGAGATTTGAGTACTTCTACATCCAATTCTCTGCACCGGCTGTGACGTAGAAGACGCTACAACTCAAACCGTGCTAGCTAGCAGCGGGCACGATACTGTTCCAAAAACAGATCCTCGCTTTCAACCCCCGCAAACCAGTAGGGTTATTTGTTCCCATGTGGATTGTCCTCTAATTTGTACTCTTGGAGTTCTAAGGTATGGAGGAGAAACTAACCAAATCGATGGGACACATCCTTGACATTGATTACTCAAAGACCGAAAAAATCCAAAATTTTGTTTTACTGTGGAATTAAATAAGGGATGGATCTCCTCTCTCTTAGTTCCTAGCGGGGCAGGGAATTTGGAGAGATATTGGTCATATTTGAAAACAATGATATTAAGTGCAGTAAGTGTCTCGACGTAAGATACAAGGGATTGGAATGTAGATCGCAAGGTCATTCCATCTGGACACGTTCAGTAGCACCAAATCCAAGGTACATAGAGGTATCCTGAGGCGATCAAGGGCGAGCAGCCTTGTGATCAATGCCGGATCAAAAGTGAGACAATGCAAGGGCCTCAAATGATGGTTTTGTACTGGTTACCAGAAAGAGTGCCAAACAAAAAAAAGCCAGGCTCAAACGAGCACACAAATGGGGCAGGAAGGAGCCGGAACGAAAACAGAGACGGGGATTGCAAAGCTAAACAGAGGACATGGAGGTAGATGCACAATGCGCTTACCAGAGCCTCAAAAGTTGGACAAGGTGATCAACCACCCCCTATCCAGCTCAGGACTCGGCCATGAGGTAGGAAGGGCATCATACTGCCCTTGCCCCCGCCATTGGCACCAGGGCAATATCCAATCATATCACCTAATTTTCTTCTTCCAGCTCCCTCGATTCCCTCAGCACCAGCTCCCCCGATTCAACAACAATTGATGCAGGCCCTTGCGTCACCAAAATCCCCGCTGGAGTTGACTGATATAAAAGAATTGGAGCTTCTGGTGCAATGGACATAGACCACACTAGCTCGAAGACAGACCTCACCCCCTCCAACAAAAACGCGGTGATCGGGATAGGAAGAGTGTGGGTGCCGCTTTCTCCATCGCATTAGCACCCCCCTACTACAAAGGGATTTGTCTAACCAAGGATGGATAGATCAGAATTTGCAAGCAGGGCAATCCGAGTGCCAATTACGCGCCTCTAGGCTTATTAGGTTCTATGATAAAAGAGCCAAAGAAAAAAAAGGACAGTAGTCTTGGAACCAGCAGCCAGCACTCTAGCGTTGCTGGGTTGCTTTGAGGTGCCCCCAAATAGGATTAACTTTAACTCGGACTTTGACGATGAAATTGAGGAATTCCTCAATGGGTTCAAAGATACAAAGAAGACGATTGTTGAGTATTGAATTTGAGAATACTTCAAGCTCGAAATACAAATTGGCTGGACTACCTACTTAAAATATCTTACTCCAAGACTACATTCATAAGTTGTGTTGAAGTTTCGTTGCCATCCTAAAACAAACAAGCCAAGTTGGGTTGAAGTTGCATTGCCATCCTACCACAAACAAACAAGCAAAGTTGGGGCCAAGTTTCCTTTACTTGCAATGAGGTAGCTATGATGGCTAGCTCAATGATTCAATCCTTGCATTGGAACATTAAAGGAATTGGAAAGTTTGGAAGAAATAACTTGAGCATGTGCACAATTCATGGTTGAAGAAGAATTTGTGTGTTTTAAGGAATAAGATCATGAGATCATAAGATCATTCAATACCTCTTTTGATCTTGTTTTTGCCTCCCACTTATTTTGAAGGCAACCTTTTTTGATTTTTATTGAAAAATATTGAAGAATTGGTATAAAAAATTAACCATTTAAGCAATGCTCTAGAAATTAGTACTAATATCCTTCTTATCTTTCTTATCCACCACACCATTCCTTGCCTTATACATTTATTATTGTCCATAGAAATAGGAATATATATATATATATATATACATACATATATTTGTATCCAACTTAAGACTTATATAAGAATAATAGATTATTATATTTGTAAGAAGTAGTTTACTTATTTAATATTATTATTTTCTTATATATATTTCTTTAAAATATAAATGTAACTTTAATGTTCTTCAATGAAATACTAAAATATATTAAAAAAAAAAAACTTTCAAAATTTAATATCTAAAAAATAAAACCATATTTTTTAGTTATCTTATTTATATTTTTTATATTTTATTTGAATAAATTTTAAGTGATTTTCTTCTTGATGTGTTTTTTTTTTTTTTTTTTTTTTTTTTCTAATTTCTTTTATCAATGAAATTATTATTTTTTAAATAAAGTTTGAAAGTCTAAGATCTTTGATTAATGATTTTTTCAAAATATATGTTGAATCAGTTTATTTATGAGTTTTCTTATATGTATCATATTAAAAAATAAACTTTGTAATTTAATAGAACTTTAAATTAAATGTTTGTGTTCATATTCTATATATCTTATTAAAATTATGAATTGATACCTAAATTTGTTGGCCCTCACTTCTAAAGTTAAAATGACCTCAAAAGAGTAACCTTAATTCCTAATAAGGCCTTGGGCAACCTCCTTGAAGCCTATTGGGCATAATTTTTGGCGAATAGGATTGGAGATTTTCATCATCCATCTCCATTCATTCATATAGATGCCCTAACTTCTCTTTTTGCTACCAAGATCCCTCTCCAATCTTTTCTCTAATAAGATTTATATAATTTATGTCCTAAACATCAAATAAGACTTCAAGGATCATCAATGTCTAACAAAGGTGACTTTAAATATGTAAAAACTATTATCAATATAAAATCAACCTCAATAATATCCTTTTTAAATCTTACATTGACTTGGATTGTGTAAGGTTAGTTGATTGATCACATGCTAACTTCTTCACATTGATGGGCCAAAATTGACTCCTAAGCTTGGTTTCAAACTCCTTCTAGTCACCAAATCTGCCTTGAGTTCCATAGCTTTGAGCTCAATGTTGCCACCAAATGGCTATTGCACCTCTCAAATAATTAGAGGCATATGTAATTCTTTTGTTGGTGTTTGCTCCAAATAATTGGAAGTATTGTTGCATGCTAAAGAATCAATGTTATACATCTTCTTGCCATAAGGTCTCAAAGTATATATCATGCTTGCTCAATTTCAGCCTATCAAATATCAACCTCCTTATTTTAGAAGCTTCTATTTGCCCATGCAAAGTATCTAATTGGCCTAGGAGGTGTTGTATCTGAGTCTCAAACTAGGATTGCTCTGCCATGTCTCTCATGGTGCAATTTCCTTGCTGAACTTTGTTATTGTAATGCCTTCTCTCCTTCTAGTTGATTTCTTAAAGTATCTCATTCTAGCTCCAAAATAGTACCCGATGTGATTACAATAATTGACTAACTTCACTGAATCACCTAAAGAATCAAACCCCATCTAGACTCAATCTATAGTATCTTTTCATTAATCTAAAATCAAGAAAATCAAATCTATACACTATGTCTCTTTTAATATCTCTTGCATTCAAGTCTAGCATGTTCACTTGCTCATGCTCATTTTTTGACGTATAAGGAGAAAAAGAATCAAGAGCAAATTCATACAACTCTAAATCACATTTTATTACAATAGTATTAGCAAACTACTGAATGATGAGTTTTAATGGTTATCCATGGTTTGACTGTTTATGTATTGCTTTAGAAAGCAAACATTGCATAGATACTAATAGAACTTGATCAGCTTTCTTATAAGGAGCTTTTTTTCATCAACGCCTTTTTCATTGATTGGTACAATGGATCAACTTAAAGATGACCTTCAACTTAATTGTCTTCAACTGCCATCTTGTAAGTAAAAATTTGTGGTTCTTTATTAACTGTCAATTTCTCCAAAGTAGACAATGTTCCAACTAATTCTTCTTCTACTCTATTGAGCTCCTTAAATTTATCTTATTCTTTTTCAACAAAATGCTTAGTCTCATTGAAAACTTAAACATGTCATTTATTGCTTCTTTGATTGCATTGGCCTCTTCTAAAACCTCTCTTTGTCCTTTTACATGGTCATCAAATAGAAGACATTATATTTTGCTACTTTGCCTTTTACTACTATGGTGGAATCACTCATTAGTGTCATTTTCTTGAACTGCTTGTTCTTCAACTTTTTTTTGTACTCCCTCAAAACTATTCAATTCCTTGGGTGATTCAGTCAATAGTACCCGATGTGCTCACCAGTGAGTGGGAAAACAATTTAGATGAAAATGGAGCATGAAAACATAATGTGGTGAATGATTGCTTCAGGCTGGACATAAAAATAAATAAATACAAGAGTGGTAGCAAGTAGAAACAACCAATTATTTATTCAATAAAACTTGTTCTTGGCCTGAAAAATCTTTGTTGTATGATTTTTTGCAACTTCTTCCTGGATTCTAAGTCATTTTCAACTTTTATTAGTGGATATATATACATATATATATATATATATATTTGTTTTTTATTTAATTATTTATAAGGAAGCCAAGGTTTATGTTGATAATAACTTTGTGAATAGTTTTGATCCTATAACAACAATCAAAAAAGTTTGTTCTGAGACAAATCAATCAGGACATGAGCTGAAAAGATGAGGTGGAATGCATGCTTTTCTACATGGCAAAAACTATCGTGTCTCCCAAAATTAGCATGAGACCCACCTCAAAAAGTGATTTTTTACAAAAATATAAGAAATTGTGTCAAATTATTTGTCAAAAGTGCACATCGAAACTTTTTTTTTTTTTTTTTTTTTTTTTTTTTCTTCTTCAGTATCATAATTGCAAAAACCAAGTTTTGTGTTATTATATTTTGAAGCAGGGGACATTGATGTGACTTTGACCATGGCATTTCAATGTGCACTCTTGGTTTAAAACCTCTTAGCAAATAAAAAATATATATTGTACAATCTGCATTCCTTATATATATATATATATATATATATATTGTATAGCTTAAGTTTTGACTTCTAGACATTTGTAATATTCATGGTTGTAAAATAATATGTTTTAAAAATTGATTCTTAATTTCAAATTATCATTATACTTTTATATCTATATCAATTTTTAAAATGAAATTATAAAATTGTAAAATTATAAAAAAATAAAAATAAAAATAAAAATGATGAAGATAAATATCCTTAATTTTGCATCCTTATATATAAACAAAACTAAAGAAACTTTTTAGTAGTTCATAACAAGTTTTGCTGTATCTGAGTATCACTCCATAATTATCTAGGCTAGTTCAAACTAATTTAATTTATGAACTTCATTTGGAATATCTTTGAACAAAACTTTTTAGTAGTTCAATAACAAAAATTAGTCAAGTTTTTGATACTGTTTATGTCTGTTTGAAGTTTAGTGTCAACACCTATTCACAAAGAATTGTCTAAAACTTGACCAATGAAACTTTTATTACCACACAACAATTATTGCAACAGAGATTCCCAACATAAATGCAAATTTTACAAAAATTCACCCAAGTTAATTTCAAAAATAATGTTTCTGACTTGGTTTTATTGAACACATATAATTAAGTATAGTATTTTGGTGTGGTTATTACTACCACTTCTGACTCTCTACGATAATTAGATTCCCCGTTTTAAGGTTTTCAGCCATTGATTGACTGGCCCAATTTATGTTATTTGAAACATTGATATCTTGACAGCATGTATGCGTCAGATCACAGCATCAAACCTTATATGCAGGCTGGTGTGAATTAACAAAATTTTGATGATTCTGACTGTATTCACAAGAATGTTAATTTTTAGGAGCGCTATCTTATTTTCGGACTGGAGTAAAATTGGTTTTCCAAAAGTTCAAATTGCTTCCAGGTTATACAGTACACAGATTTCAAAGATCTTATTTCAAACCATGTTTTATGCATCATCCAACTAGTGGTCACCGAGGCCGGGATGTGTACCACAATTAAAATCGAGTAAATTAGGCCGGTGACGTGGCACACAATATGTCAACATGGTGCTCGGAGTTGTCCCACCAACTGCTTTATGCAACAATTCATTGGGTCCTTGCACATCAGATCACAGATTGCATGGGATGAATGATAGTCTCATGTTCCAGTTGGTATGTTAACAAATCTCCCTACCCCTAGAAAACATCATGGTCCTCATTAACAGAACAATCCAAACACCAAAATGCCTAACTTGCTCTCTGGGCAGCCTCCTTAGCAAGAACACGTTCTCTGATCTTAGTTTTGGCCTGAGACTTAACGCCCATAATACCACCGCCCCAATGCCTCCTGTGCTCATCGTACTTCTCATTGAAGTTGGCCTGCATACATATGCAACATAAGTTAGAGACACTACCAGTTTCTGAAGTTAATCATGAATCATCCAATGATGAACTAGAAAACACGTTCAATAAGTGAGATCAAAACACGAGCTCCAGAATCCGCTCCAATCAAATTAAATTATTAAGGCTTGCGGACAACTTAAATGTACAAACCCTATTGTTTGCATGCACATATAAGGCGATTAGAATACTGTACCTTCACGGCTTCAATGATCTTGGAGAATTCGTGTTTGTCCTCGTTCTTCACCGAGGTCAAACACAAAGCTGTAGCGGTCTTCGCGTGAACTATCTGTTCAAAAGCAAACGCTTCCTCTTCATCAAAAAATTACTTGCACAGAGTACGATCTTAACCCATCTAAGCCATGAGGGTCAAAATATCCATATTGAAGATATAAAGAATGTTGATTAGAGGGAGTAATGCTTCACCTGCCCCAGGCGCGACTTGCCCTTCACGATGCAGTATGGCACACCCATCTTGCGGCAAAGCGCGGGTAACCACACCACCAGTTCAATTGGGTCAACGTCGTGGGCAATCACCACAAGCTGAGCCTTGTTCTGAGGCAATTGGACACCAGATTTTGATGAGCACAGCTGTCGTCAAAAAGTGCAGCGCCAGATACAATAGAACCTAACATCTCCTTGTGAATCATACCCTCTCTCACAATCTAGAACTCAACGATGCACAGATACATCCGCTACAAACCATGAACTCATACCTGCTCAATAAGGTATGTGATGTGGTTGATTCCGTATTTCACAACAATGGGCTTCTTAGACTCCAGAGTCTTACCCTCAGCCTCAGCCTTGGCCTTGTTCAGGAGGCGTTCCTTCTTGGCGGCCCTGTCTTCGGGTCGATACTTCAACAACAGCTTGAACAAGCTGGTGGCTGCATGGGACAGAAAATAGATGGCAAGTACATTAGTTGTCATTTTCATTGCAACTTGCCAGAGAGGAAGTTGCTCAATAAACCATGAAGGCAAACGTCTTCAATCCTTAAAATAGCAGCTTACCGAGGTTCTTATCCAGGGTTTTCGTGAACTGGTTCAAGGCGGGAGGGACCTTCAACCGCTGGTTCAGCACACGTCGCTGGCGCTGAATACGCACATACTTGGGCCATTTCACGAATCTGTGAAGATCTCGCTTAGGCGGTATGGCCCCTCCTATACCGAACTGCTTCGGCCTCTTCTCGAACAGAGGATTCACAGTCTTCACTGGAGCCTAGCCACATTACCAAAAACACCACAATTCATAAGATAAAAACATCATTCCACATTCAGAACTATACCCAAGAATATTTCTACATGATCACCCTTCAACACCGTAAATTAGTTACTAATTCAAATCGCACCTGCTTCTTCAGCGCGGGGGCTGCGACCGGAGTCTTGAGGGTACCCCTCTTGGGAGCCTGGACACCAATCAGGGCACAATTGATCAAGGAGAGAAAATCCCACAAAACTATAATAAAACAGCAAAATTCCAAACAAGACATATCACGCAGAATAGAACTTGAAAGGATCAACCACTTCAAGAGGAGTTAGGGTTTAGGGTACCAAGGATTAGTATGCCGAGATTTTAAGCGTAAACTGACAAGTAAAGAGTGATGGGAAGGTAGGCGAGAACAAGAAGGCTGCAGAAAGGGTTACACTACCATGATGCAGAGTTGAAGAGGATCGAGGCTAACGCAGAGCTGAGGCGAGAGGCCTGTGCAGTTGAAGAGAGAACTAGGCTGGAGAATGCCCCAGTGAAGAAGTTCCTCGTCCCGAACCTGCCCCAGACCTAAAGTTTCTGCGGTTCGGAAATGGCTGGAGGCTGAAGGGTTTCAGGCTTGGTTACTTCGGCAAGTTCGCCTCGCTTCATCGCTTTCAAGGCCCCTTTTCGATACCAGCATGTTGAAGATTGTTACCTATATCTTTAAAAATCCTCAGAGATGGAAATGCTCAAGCTTTGCAGTTGGGTACTTGTTGTCAAGCAACACATGCTACTGCATTCCGGAAAAATTCAATTCTGCTGGGAAATTGGTTTACAGAGACTGAGACAGTGAGTGGAAAACAAATAAAATTGCATTATGAAAACCTCTTTCCCGATTTCACTCTGCAGGCAAAAGTTTGTTGGCCGAATTCGTGGTCCTATTCACAATAGTAGTTTCTGAACGTGATCATCGATCCAACATCTGAGAAGTACAATTCGCTGGACAATGTCCTGGAGGGTGTGGAGGAGCCTGCCCAAGAGTGCACGACTGTCTCCGATTCCGACGTTGACAAATGGTTTTGGCGAGCCAACATATCCTGCAGAAGCTCTTAGTGGCAAAAGCAATTGGTTCATTGTATGCTTACTTTTAGTTGCAGGAATCTTGTAGCTGGTAAACGTTACTTTCGTTTTCATTTCTTTTTATTTGCAAGTGGGTAGTGCTTTGTTTCGAGTAAATGAGTCCTAAGGAAGAGCCGAATTATACTAAATCACAAGTACGTGATTCTTGTATTTTCATTCTGCAAACATTATGAAATGAACACCTATTCACAACCCCCAAAAGTAGAACAATAAATTGAAAATTTGATTATCCACAATTTGCTAAGAGTCATGGGTGCTCAGTAACTTAAAAGCCCCACGGACAGTGGATGCTGTTTACAAGAATCTCAACACTGCTGACTTAGCAACATCCTCGTATGCTTTCTACCTGTGATAGATCAGTGATAGGAGGATCTGCGTAAAGATTCCAACTTGAAATGTACATAGTTTGACAAATTTGAAGGAAAAGCTGGCACAGATTGCCGATCAATTCCTTCCGCTACCTACGCAATAGGTTGTTGGCGCAAAGGCATTAGCTGCATTGACAAAGCCAACGGAACGTGCGCCTTCACAAGAGTCCCTCTGTCTGTGTACTCCTGTATTCCAAAAATGCCACTCACATAAGTCTACAATAGTCAGAAATCAAGACCTTGCTCATTTTCTTTTTCTTTTTCTTTCCCCCTTTCCCTCACTGTCTTTCTAAGTTATAGTTGGTAACTGCTTGAGGCACAGAGAGCACAAGCATCATATGCATGAGAGATCTCCAGTATGATAACTTCGAAAGGACTTACTGACCTCAAGCTCTACAATACCCAAACGATGGATAAGATTGACAAGCTCCCCTTGCCCATACGGTACTACAGCCTCCACACGCACCATCAGGTCCTGCAAGTTGGACACAAAATTAAGAAAGATAAACTTTGAACATGAGAAAACCATAATCCCTATGGACTTAAACTATGCGCCACTAAGTCTCGTCCCTGACAGCTGTTGGAAAACCCTCATCTAAGGTCACAGTCTCATTGTCCAGTACCAAAATCATGATATTACAAAATACGCCCAACAATTGTACGCTTTTTATTATCAATTTACCTTGAGCCTGCTCTCAACTGCCTCGTAGAACTCTTCCATGCCCTCGCCCGTCAAAGCAGATATGCACACTACATCTCCACGCTTGGCAGCTTCAAGTTTCAGTAATTTAGGGTCTTTTGCCTTATCAAACTGCAGATCGAGTAGCCATAAAACACAACAGCTGTTTCAACACGATGCAGGGTTGCGCAGGTAGTGACCAGAAATGTGACTTCTCAAATAAGCTAAACTCCAACAACAGACTAGAAGCAACCTGCCAAACTTTAACGATAGATAAAACTGAACTACACACAAGAGGGAGATTGTAAACTCCATCGTAATTCGAGAATACATAGTAAACAAGGAAGAGCAACATAAAGACCAATTACCTTGTTCCAAACACATAGATAAGGGATATGGCCAACATCGAGGTCAGCTAAAACGTTGTCAACTGCTTCTCTTTGTTGGTCTGCCATTGGATGACTGGGTCACACCAGTACACAAAACCACGATTCAACATAAATCCAAATGGTCAGGAAGGAATTTCAAGAAGTTATCAGCCAATATATCTGTTTGATATCGTGCCTTACAGAGTAACCTGCAGGACATACATGTTCTTCCAAAATTTCAAATTACTCCTATTTCTTGCCCACACCCCTTTCATCATCAACCGCAATGCAAGAGAATTTTGACAAGGGGCAATAGTGCTAAAAAAAAAATTGAAAATGAGAAAGTAATAAGATTACCTGATATCCATAACATGTAACAACAGTGAAGAGTCACTAATCTCCTCGAGAGTGGCCCTAAAAGCTGCTACCTGTTTCAAGTAGTAAAAACCATAAGCTAAAATAACCGTAAAGTTAATGACAATCGCGAAAACTCTTGTTAAGAAAAGCCCTGATTCTGTTCATTCTGCAGTAAAATTCCTCAAATAGGCAAGACTAATGAATAGGCAAGCCATTGCTAATGGAAAGGAAGTTCACAAATAATATCCTCTTTCAACTATTTGAATAAGGGGCGATAGAACATACAAGCTGTGTAGGAAGTTTTTGAATAAATCCCACGGTGTCAGTAAAAAGACACTCCTTCCCATTCGGCAGCTGTCCAACCAAAAACCGACACGTAAGGGTAAGTAGGAAGACCAACAAGACCATAATAAAAAGATGTAAAGCGTTCGCCTCGTTGGAACGGTAAGTACACATGTATGCAGCTATATGCAAAGACTTCTTCCAACTCATAGCCAAACAATTGCCCCAAAGTGCAACAACCCGGGGGTCTAAACTATCTGATAGAGCCAATTTGAATCAGAACTGTACCTCCACACGCCGGGTGGTAGGATCCAAAGTTGCGAAGAGGCGATCTTCTGCCAAGACACCAGCTCCACTAAGCCTATTCAGTAAAGTACTTTTTCCTGCGTTTGTGTACCCAACCTGTGTATAAAGACGAGAAAAGCGTCAACTTTGGGAACTTGCGTTCCCGCAAGAAAACACCGAAATTGCATTAGACAGGCAGAGTCAACCATTTCAAACTCTATAAAGATATTGAACTACAACGCTAAGTGCAAGGGTAAATGGACCTCTAGAATCGAATATTAGATTGATTCAATCATAAACCTCATGTTTGATAGCAATAGCCACGTAAAAGGCTCTGACAAATGGATGATCGGGGTGTGATACAGATGCGGTACCAAAGAGATAACAGGTATCGGAACCGATGCTCTACGATCACGGTATTGTTGCCTGTGACCTCGCACGGTATCTAACTGCTTCTTCAGCTGGGCAATCTGCGAAAAACCCCCTAAACTCATCAGAATACAATGAAAAGACATGCCCCTAATAACCATGCGAGAGGGTTATGAGTTTTAGAATACCAATGTTTTGTCTAAAGAAATACCCACCTGAGATCGAAGGATACGCTTGTCAACTTCAATCTGCTTCTCTCCCATACCCTTCACTAAACCTCCAGCTTGACGCTCCAAATGGGTCCACATACGTGTCAATCTGGGAAGCTGATACTCAAGCTGGGCCAGATCTACCTGCATCGAAGACATCGAATGCAAAGGAGAATAATCTTTCTGTGAGTACTAAACATGCAGCCGCCACTCAAACAAGCTCTTTACTAGCTAGGGGGAAGACAAATGCCATTGAAGAGACTCATTCACAAAGTAGATTCTATGTGTGGTGCATTGAACCTGCAATGTGGCTTCACGTGTTGCAGCTCGCTGACTAAAAATGTCGAGAATCAATGCAGTTCTATCGCATACCCGAACGTCACCACCAAATGCCTTCTCAAGGTTTCGAAGCTGCCTGTCATTAACCACTCGATATCCCCAAGTTCAGCAGATATGATTGGAACGGACAGTAGCAACTCTTTGAGAGTAGGAACAACAAATGACAGGAAGCTGCCACACTCACCCCGGCGATAGCTCATCATCAAAAATGACCGACTCCACTTTAAGTGCTTTCACCGCTGTCGCCACTTGAGACACCTTTCCAGACCCAACGTAAGTTCTTGGGCTCGGATTCTCGAGCCTGTTGAAGGATTGCTACTTGTGAGTATGCGGAATTTCAACAGCTCTGATTCTCAAGCCTGTCGAAGAGGTGATTGCTACTTGTAAGTAGACGGAATGCTATGCACCTACCATGTTCTACCCATAGCAGCATCTGCACAAGCTCAAAGACTATGAAATCCGACCCTCATCTGCGAATTGATTGAAATTATGCCAAATACAGCAAGAATTAGCTTCGAAGGATAAACTAGGACAACATACTTCTGATAAGTGGTTCCCACAACAGTAAGTCCTGCAGTGTCGGCCAACTGCGCCAGCTCCTCCAACGATTCGGAAATACCGAATGCGGATCGCGCTCCAGTATTCTTACGCTCTATGCCTACCAAATATGCTCTCTCTTCAAAGACCTGCATAGTAACCGTTGCAGAATTACAAACGCAATTGATGCACACTGCTTATTCGACAGTTTTAATTGACGCAAACTAACCTAAGAGCATTAGTTACAACTTGTCGAATTGTGCATAAATTGCAAGAGGGCTCAATCAATCAACAAACCTCTCTGCCGTGCTGGTATCGAATTCGCTTCAACAGGTCTTCCTCCACTTTCTGAGTGGCTTGCGGGAAGATTACCGTAGTGTCGGAGCTCGAGCCCACCTCATTTCGCTCCCAGTAGTCATTCTCCTCCCCGTCTCCTTCTCCTTCCTCAAAGCCTTCTCCAGTTCCTACGACTTCACGCTCACAATCCTCCCCACCTTCCCTCAATTCTGCACCCGAGCCGCCATTCACGCTTCCATTGACGACCTCATACCCACTGTTTCCTTCCTCCCTCAACCCTCGGTTCATATCCACGAACTCCTCTTCATCATAACTTCTCCTGCCTCCAGCTACTTCGCTGCTTTTCACACATCTCACAACACATCCACCCCTCACGTTTCTCCCTCTAATTGCACAGTTAAACGAACTCAATCTCGTGCATGACTCAACACTCGCCACGTGATTTAACAATCTGAAGCTCGAGGAAGCAGTAACAGCAGAGACACACAACGCCATAGCTTACCAGCAGGTCCTTATCTACAGCTTGAAATTCACATAAACACCTCTCAATCCTCAAGCACAATTACTAAAATTCTAAATTCAAGCTCAAGCTATGGATATGATGCCAAATTCCTTGATCGCAGTTCAATCACAAACTGCAAAGGTGGCTTGAATCTGCACGATGCTCGAATAAAAATCCAAGCCTGAGCTTCGGTGCTTCCGAACCTTGGTAGCTTTTAGGTCTGGCACTTGTCTCCCATCTATGGATGCTTTAGTCTTTGTCCATGATTGCCTTCTCTGCACCACAGCTGCCGAGGTTCTCGCCACAGTACTTCAATTACAGGGTTTAATTTTGGCTTGTGTCGCCGTTTTGGGATCAGTTTTTGCAAATGTGAATGGAATTCAGTTGCTCTCCAGCTATCGATTTGGAACTCCGGATCGTTAAGCGTTCAAAATGCAAGATTTAAGGCTTTTGGTTTGTGGGCTGACGTATTGGTTCGTGAGCACTGCAGACGCTGAAGAGGAGAAATCTCGAGAATCCGGCCGCAGCGTTCGTGGTGCAGAAGAAACACGCGAGTGAGCTATACAAACGTTCGGATTTAGGGCTATATGTGTAGAGTTTCTTGTCACTGTGAATGAGCCTTGAATTGATGGTGCTTGTGCGGTGGATTAGATTCCGACAAAGACTGTCAGTCCTCTTTCCGAGAAATGTCTGCAGTAATTTGGTTTTGGCGGGCTCTCCCGCCCCAGCGAGACATCCTTCAATTCATGAAGTGGCCCAATTACGTGTACATTCAGCGCCTGCGACGTGTGCTGAACCAGCGCTTGAAGGGACCACCTGCCCTCAATCAGTTCCACTACGATGGTCGACGAGAACCTCGCCATTAGCTTGTTCAAGCTGTCATTGAAGTATAGAACGGAGGAGGAACCTGCCAAGAAGGATTTTTTTTTTTTCTGAAAGAGGCCAGCAGCCGAGGCTGAAGGCAAGTTCCTGAAGTCTAAGAAGCGGGTGGTGGTCACATATGTCATCAATCTCATCATTTACCTGATCAAGTAGATATCGTCACATGATTCTTGAGCTTGAGGTACACTTCCAAGTTGAGACAATGTAGACATTCCATCGATTCCCGAATACAAATTCAAAGAAATGTTCCGAATAGCACAATATTTGCTCGATTATGTAAATTCAGGTCAGGGCAAAATATGTGGTGATTGCCCACAATGTGGATCCTATTGAGTTGGTCGTGGGGCTATCCGCTCTCCGTCGCAAGATGGGAGTGACATAATATATCGTGAAGGGCAGGTCGCGCCTTAGACAGGTAATGTTCTGCCCTGGAACTAGCTTGGTTGGGCGAGTGGATGTGTATGGGGAACTATTTGCATGCATCATTTTAGGCTAGAGATGCAAAAAAATCAACGTTCATGCTTGCAGATTGTGCATGTCAATAACGCCACAGCTTTTAGCTCAACGTCGGTGAGAGTTGAAGATAAGCATGAGTTTGCCAAAACAGTCGAGGCTTCAAAGGTATATGATCTTCGTTCCTCAACCTCCATGAGATTTGCACGAGTTCTGTAGATAGTTTTTGGTACAACCCGTATTGAAATCTGTATAACTGGATTGGCGTACATTGAGATTAGTATGTTTTATAGAGCAGAAGGAATGGGTCAACCTGGAATCATGTTGGGCTTTGTTTTTGGGTGCATAATGGTAACTGATACCATATGGATTTCATATTACTATATATACTCGGAAAAGTTGTCATATTGTAAAACGTAGCAAGCCTCCAATAGATAGACTTGTAAACAAGAATTTCCCGGCTATGAAAAGAGTTTTGCCGGGCTATTCTCATGATTAATATTGAAGAACAGACTGAAGATTGGAACCCTTCCTGTCTCTGTTCATACAAAGATTTTTCGCAGCAGCCATGTATAATGACCCTTGAAATTCCTACTTTTAAGCTTTCGCGAAGAAAGAACCATCGTGCCAATGCATTGAATAAAAAGCCAGAATCATATTGTTTAATCATCTACATAGAGAGCACCTACAACTGTGTCTTTGACCCTGTGCAGGGCAACCTCAACGAGAAACTCGATGTATATACAAAACAATAGGGCCGTGGTATCATGGGTGTCAAGTACCGATCCAAGACCAGAGACCGAATTCTTGCCAAGTAGAACAATCACCGTAAACAATACTGAACCTCCCTACTCCCTCTTTGAGATGGCCGTCTACCATAGCTAAGAAGCATCCCTTCATGTGCATACCTTGGAAGATGAGATGCGGTACACGCTGGAAGGGGAGTTCATCTGGAACCTCAAGGAGAGTGAGTCCCTCACCTAGCAGGGCTCCTTCATGCATCTGCCTATATTCATCACTCAATACCTCTATTAACAGAGCAGCCGCACGGGCACAGATGATGTCCATTATGACTTGGAGGTTTTCGAGCAATGGCACCTTAATGCTGAAAAGCAGTGTATGATTATTAACAATTGCCTGCCCATGTTACCAGTCATTGTTTCACGCGATCCCTGCTGCTAACCCAGAGACACGATACAAGATTTTTCCACCTGCAAGGGAATTAGGAGCATTGTAGCAGTAAGCACCCAGTTCTACCTAGAATTTTCCTTATATTGTTTTCCAGCATATTTGGACCTCAGTAGGAATTCTGCCTTCCTGATGTAAACTTGACGATAGGGATACCCAGGAAAGTGATGATAGAGTTCTGTCATTCAGTTCAATCAATGTCCTACGAATCGTATATCTACATGGACGAAATTATAGCCAAGAATGTGATTGATTATTGCAGACATGGCGCTCTGTAAATTAGTCAAATTCCAATCTTGTTCTGTAGGATTCCCCACATGTGAAATTTTTATCAATACATTTCAAGATAAGCAACTGGGCAAAGATTCTCCAATCCACATTGTTGAAAACTTAGTGTCTGCTAATTGGCTTCATGGCTTGACATGTAGTCTGGCTCGTGGTTAACAGCCTTACTCAGCGGTTTTCGACAGCCTAGAGAGACACATCTGATCCCTGCTACGGAGGTGTTCTTAAATCCTGCCAATTGTCCAAAACTTCTTATAAAATATTGCTCCTCTTCATATCTCACTCCTCTTTTCACTGGTCCGCTATACCCTCAATGGATTGGTTGTGGGTCATGAATTCTTCGATAAGCAGGAACTCAGGCCACTTCTCAACGTTGTATTCTCGGCACTAAACACACCACCGCGCATAGCATGTTGTTCTAACGATGAAATCACCAGCGACTAGTTACTGTCCGGCAACATACTACTTACATTGAACCATGAATCTCGTAGGCGATTCCCGATTGTGCACACAAATGTCCATCGCCGATAAACTCCCAAACGGGTCAGACAGCCTTCGCAATGCTCTGTGACTCCTGTGGATGTAACCTGAGTCATAGGGTTGGTTCGGATTCCAAACCCATAGGTTCGGAACTTACCGAACTTACCCAGGTTTAGGTCTGGGGAATGCATGGGAACTGCCTCTTCATTACTCTTGCATCGGCGACTTCGTCGTTCTCTTTCGCTGTGCAGGCCCATCGCCACAGCTCGTTTCCAGCTTTGCTCCCCTCTCGACTTCCACAATGGTACTATGGTCCATTCCCCTTCATACATTCACATGTTTCCATCAACTTTCTTCTTCATCATGTACACTGCGGCGTGTGTTCATGAGATTTGGTGAAAGGGCGGCAGCTGTGCTCAACAAGTTTAGGGTTTAAGGCTGGAGGGTATGGAATTGGATAAGTGTTGCACTAGTAGTACATTACTGATAAAATTGGTTTTTGTCTGACGCGCAGGCTCCCAAAAGGGGTACCCTCAAGACTCCGGTGGCAGCCCCCGTGCAGAAGAAGCAGGTGAGCGACCGACCGATTTTGTGCCTAGGGTAGTGGAGGTTTGACAATCTGGGTTCATTATTCGTTGTGGTTTATGACGTGGTGTGATATGTTGCGTTTCATTGATATGAATTTGGGTGATTTTCGTGATGTGAGTAGGCTCCAGTGAAGACGGTAAATCCTCTGTTTGAGAAGAGACCCAAGCAGTTCGGTATTGGAGGGGCTCTCCCGCCCAAGCGAGATCTTCACAGGTTCGTAAAATGGCCCAAGTACGTGCGCATTCAGCGCCAGCGACGTGTGCTCAACCAGCGGTTGAAGGTCCCTCCTGCTTTGAACCAGTTCACAAAGACCTTGGACAAGAATCTCGGTAAGTTAGGTTTTTGGAATGGATGCCTGGCATTTGACCTCTTCGATTATTGGATTATTCCTCCCCCTCGCAGTACTAGATAAATATGATATCCTATCAACATTCTAATTTTCGGAACATATTTAGCTACCAGCCTGTTTAAGCTCCTATTGAAGTACCGGCCTGAGGATAAGGCTGCCAAGAAGGAGCGTCTCATGAACAAGGCGAAAGCTGAGGCTGAGGGCAAGACTGTGGAGTCTAAGAAGCCTGTGGTTGTGAAATATGGAATCAACCACATCACGTACCTCATCGAGCAGGTATGACAGAATTAATTGCTACAGACTGGATGACAGCTTAACTGCAATGTTTTATGTTAAGAATACGTTTCGTGACACTACTTCAGATGATGTTTTTAAGTCTTTCATTACCGGATTGGATGCACTTCTCATTGTATATTATGGGGTTGAAATGATCCAGGTAAAGGCTCAACTTGTGGTCATCGCCCACGATGTTGACCCTATTGAATTGGTAGTGTGGCTACCGGCGCTGTGCCGCAAGATGGGAGTTCCTTATTGTATTGTGAAGGGAAAATCACGCTTGGGACAGGTGAAGTTTTGTCAATTTATTCTACTCTACTCTATTTTGTTTTAAATGCTTTTTTTAAAAGTTTTGTTTTTTAGTGGATTAGAATAGTAGGATTAAGACGGTATTTTGCGAAGGTAAGAACCTTTTTGTTAAACACTTATATTAATTAGAGGGAATTGTGTCTGGACAGATTGTGCACGCCAAGACTGCAACAGCGCTGTGCTTGACTTCGGTCAAAAATGAGGATAAACATGAGTTTGCCAAGATTGTGGAGGCTGTCAAGGCTAACTTCAATGAGAAGTATGACGAGCATAGGAGGCATTGGGGCGGAGGCATCATGGGTGTCAAGTCCCAGGCTAAGACGAAGATCAGAGAACGAGTTCTTGCCAAGGAAGCAGCCCAGAGAGCGGCCTAGGTTTTACTGGGTTCATTATTCATCTTTAAACAAGGAAAATGAAAGTCCTCCTGAGATCTGGTCTCTTATTACATCAAGTAAATCCAGAGCACGTCATTCTTTCTGGGAATCTGACTTTGTTCAGGTCTATCCTCCGTTTGGATACGATGACGATGTTCTGCTCTTTTGCACATTTTTGAGCTCTTGTCATTGCTGTGATCCTTTGCTTTTCATACCTCGCTAACCCAGAGAACCGAGATAAGTACGCGAGGTTGTTCTGAAAAGAGCATCCTAAGAATGATTGATATTTTTAATGCTTTGTGAGTGTAGTCCGGCTTTAGCTGTGTATTCTAAGATTTGATGCTTCACATTTTCTAGTCCTCTGCTTTGTCAATTTAAGCCAGGATGATTGGATTACCAGCCCACCGAAGATCTTCTGAATATACCGAACTGATCTTAAAGAATTTGCTAATTCCTGCATAATCGCTTTTCCTGAACTCCTTGCATAGATACTCGGTGACTGAAAAGCGCATCCTGGATTCATCTGTAAATGGTGAGCTGTAAACAGTGTTCGACGACGTAAAAGTACCTGCAATCTGCCAAACATGATCTCTTTGATAATTACTGAACTCCAGTGAACACAGCAGTATGCCACGTTAATCTAGTGGTGCATGTGTGTACAGAGCACCTATTAGCAGGCAGAATCACACTCATGACATTCTTCAATGAAAGCATTCCAGGTCTTGAACGATGGACCCAACATCGTTGTTTTAAAGCTAATGTTTAAAGACAATGGTCTACATCTGCGTTGCTTCCAAAGCTACCAAGGCTCGACAAACCCCAAGCAAGTGGACGTGGAAGAATGGATAGTTATTGTTTCCATGCAGGCATGTTAGATATTACTGCATGTTACTAGTCAGAAAGTAAACCGATATTGGTAAAATCTGCCTGTAACTAAATTTGCACAGGAAGTTCATTGAATTATATTCACTTCAAGTAATGCTTTAACATGAAAAATTGTTTTTGGTTTGGAACATCAAGAAAAAAAAATGAAAGTTTGGACTGTACAATGTTCTGCTAAAGAATAAAAAAATTATGTATATATATTTTTTTATTTTATTTATCTTAATACAAAAGAAATGTAGATCCAAGTGGGTGCTATCATTCAGGTTATATATTGTCCCTTGGTTGCTTTTAATTCTTATAAATTTAAAATTCACAAATATTTTGAAAATAACTGAAGTTTAATGTAACTTAATTGAAATCCTTTCTGAAAAAAATGTAATTAAAATAAAAAACAAAGTTTAAAAAATCATAAATAGTCAAATGTAAACTATGGAAATAATCCAAGTAAAGAAGCGAAATGCTTTGAGCACTTTCAGTGTTAAATGCTCTAGCTCCTTATTGTGATTGTAGGATGCAATGATTTCTAAGAGTGTTGTCTTCTGGATATTTCAGAGGCATCAATGCCTCTATACGATTTTTCAAATCCAATGTATTAATTAACTGAAAAGTGTATCAGTTAAAAATATATATTTCAAATTTTCTCAATACAGTACAATTGTTTTTATAGTAATTTGATATGGTGCATTTATAACATAAATCTAGAAAAAATACCGCACATAGACACACACACACACACACACACACATATATATATATATATATATATATTCATACTAGTGGAAACCAGTGTTGTTGCCACAAAAATGGTGAGTTTTTGTGAGTAATCCTACAGGGTAAATCTGTCGACATCTGTGAACAAAACCCAAATAAAAGTTTCTTTGAAGCTTGCAAGTCTGTAGATCAGCAGTCCAATGGGTCAGGTGGAGAGGCAGGAGGGAGATTTTTTTCCTGCAAATTTTGTAACTACCATTTAGAACTTATGGGAAAAAATAGTCAATATACATGTTGAGAGCATCTTAGAGTTGGAGATATTAATACCAATAAGGAATGAATTCATATAACACTGAATGATTGTCAAGTGAATCAAATTACCTACTAAAAGGACCTATTTCCTGTGGAAGCGACACTATCAGAGAGTTAATTTTAACTGACTCCACTTTATCAGCTTCCAGCATTGAGCATGTTCAATGTCCCATCTTTGTTCTAATGTGGACTATAACTTTTCAAAGGAATGAGTACCAATGTGATAGACCAATTTGCAATCCACTAAATTTCTTGGATGGTTTACACAATATTTTTGTTTGTTTGTTTTGTTTTGTTATGTTTTTTTCTCTTACTTACTCAATTTTCAGAGGTCTTGAAAATTTTGACTACCTAATATATGACATGCAAGACTTCATGAATCTGGTCTATGAAATAAGCTTGTCTTTGATTTGGGCTACTTAGCTCACACCTTTATAAGAAAGGTATCTCTCCTACACTATGCTACTCATTGTCTATAAAGAATGTGTCTTGGTTGAAAATGTTACCAAAAAAGTTTTGAGGCAACTTCAAGGCAAGGTTTTGCAGAGAATTATATAAAGAAGATTCAACGATAGATTTCATGCTGACTATTTCTTCTTTAAATCGTTGAACTTGGGTGCTTTTAAGAATTGGAACTTCATCAAGCAAAGGCACCTTTTCAAAGTGTATTCCTAGCAAAAAAAACATATTCTGATTATGTGGTAAGCTTAAATGATGGTCACCATGCATACCATGCATACAATGGGAGGACAAAAAGAAGTGAGCAATTTTTAGCTAAAGATGTCAAACATGCTTCACATTCAAAGTTCTTCTTGTTGAACATGCCAAGATAAAATAGATACAAACCCATTGGCAAGTCACGCCTACAATTTGCACATTATTTTTATCAAAAAACTGCATTTTCTGTAGGGAAGTACCAAATCCTGGTAAGATAATATCACCTTTTTCTACAGGTAAGGAATCCTTTCTATTCTTTTGATGAAAACAATGAGGGATGTAGTGAATCAGAGAGACTTTTTGTTTCTTCTATTTTATCCAATGTATATTTATTTTACATAAGAGATATATATAAAGGGGGTTGTTAAAGCCACACCCACCTCCTTATCCATTCTGTACCCTATTCATGTTCTTTACCTCATTCCTACCTCCCGTCTTAAGTATGGATTTCACAAATTTGCCCCATTTTTAATATAGTTATTTTTTTTAATTTGTGAAATTCAGTTCTTTGTTATATATATATATATATATATATATATTAAAAAAAAGATAACATGTTATAAGTAATCTTATTTTTTTAATGGTATCATTAATGATGTAATGAATATCATTAAACTATTGTATCAAAATACCAATCTTGTAGTAGATTTTATGGGCAATTAATTAAGTTCAAAAATGATTCCGAAAATAAATTTGTTTCACATATTGTATGTAAAGAAAGATAGTTTCTATTATGTTTAATTTTATGAAGATTAAAGTCTCTACATTATGAAATTTTATTTCAGATAATTACATATATTATGTATTTCAGCTTTCTTTAATTTCTATAGATTTATATTTTTATCATCCATGTAAAAAACACAAAAAATATGTCAATTTATTTAAATACATCATATCTTATTTGAGAATATCACAAGTTTTTGGCATTGTAGTTGATAGCTGTAATTATAAAATTCTTTCAAAACTTCTAAAACAAACAGTTTTTAAAATCATCTTCAACTTCATCTAATATTCATACTAATGAAATTAAACAACCTTATTTCAGTTAAATGTTATGTAAACAACTATAATTTTTTAACTACTCCCCACATTTATGTATATTAAGGTGCTATTATTAAATATCATCCTCATGGAATCTTGGTTTTTTTAGTATCATTTCAATTGACAGCATATTTGGAAAGGTTGTGAATATTTCAATAAAGTCATAACATTCAGGTACATAACAATATAGAAATATATAAATATATATATATATATATATATATATTTATTTATTTGTATCTGTACCATACAGTGGTCATGCCAACACATGTGAAACTTCACCTCGCACAACTGATGCAAGTAAAAGAAAGGAGGAAACAGCACGAAAGATGTCCCCAATTCCATTTGCACGTTAATGGACCTTGGATGGTACAAGGAGCTGAAATATGATGAAGAAATGCACCGAATCACGGCAGATAGGCCCTCGATAATAAAGATTTTCCTGCTCTGTTCCGCAAGATACCAGCCTCCGAGTGGGGATGTGAATCGCCAAGTGCCCTGAGAGAGAGCCCTGCACCCACGACCAACAAAAGGAAGCGCGAAAGCACAATCCGACCAACGACTGAAGTATTCGATGAACGAACCGGGAGACGAACGTGAGAGTGAACGAGGAAACGAAAAGGCGAAAAAAGGACGAAAAAGGCAAGTAAAAGGACAGGAAAGGCGAGGATACGAACGAAACGGCAAAGAGGGACAGAAAGTGAGAGGGCTTTCGTAGGGGAGTGGTGACATCTCGAGGCTCCACTAGTACTGCTACTACTCCGACAAGCTCCCCAAACAGCTCCCCTCCGACCTCTTCCTCGTTGGAGCCTCCTCGCAATTTGTCCGATTGCCGTCCCGATTTGATTGCAATGCGTCCGTGGTTTGATGATCCTCTGCAGTTACTCCCCGTCGTGACTCATGAGAGCTCTTTTCGCCAATCTCTTCGCTGTCGAATTGTTTAGGTTTCGGATTTCAGTTCCTCGTTTGGTTCGTTGCGCAAGGTGAGAGAGCCGATCATGGCTTCCTCTGTTGCAGCTGCCAACTCAGTTCTGCCTCTCGATCAGGAAGGAGAGGATGAGTTTGACGCCCTTCCGAATGTCCTCACGCCTCGCGGGTCAGTATTTTTGTTGTTGTTGTTGTTGTTGTTGTTGTTGTTTTCTTTGCAGTGCCGATTGCCAGTGGTTGAAATTTCGTTAATACAGATGTTCTTTTTCTTAGACGTCGCTACTGGCGGAGGAGTGACGATCAAGCGATTGCTTGTGCATGTCTTTTTTCTTTCTTGATTCTGAAAATTGTAGTAATCTGCGGGTTGGAGGTGAAGAAATGAATCGTAATTTACAATCGCCTCGTAAGACGCCCACTTACGAGAGGATGAGGTTATATTGATTGCGATATGGTGTATATTATGGAACTAGAGATAGCGCTGTAGTTTTTGGAAGTTTCTTGGCTAGTTATTTGCACATGGAACAAGAATTTGTAAATAATTTAACGATAGCTACTTTGTTATGATTGATTTCGCTTGTAATTCGTTATTTTCATGACGACCTCAGCATTTCGAAGGTAGCTGTAGCCTTCTGGTGAAGGCGTTGGAAAGCTGGAATGTAATATTGCGGGTCAAGCTGGCGAGGCCAGTACGCTAACGAGTACACTGTTGTGTTTGAATTAAGTGGTTGGGGGGACCTTCGGTGCTGCAGTTACCAGATCGAGGCGCTGGAGCGAGCGAAGAAGGAGGATATAATCGTGTATCTGGAGACAGGATGTGGGAAAACGCATGTAGCTGTGATGCTGCTGCAGCACATTGCTGATCTCATTCGAAAGCCCAGCACACGAATTGCCGTCTTTCTTTGTCCCTCTGTGCCTCTCGTTCAGCAGGTAGCATGATATATGGCTTCTTATCCTGTTTCTAACTCTTTTTTACCTTTTACAAACTTCTATTTCAGCTGTACTTCAGCAGGATAGCTTGCTGTAAATCAAATTAATTGTCAGGAAAATGTTGTTGGCTGGTGTTGCGCCAGCAAGCCAGAGTGGTTAAAAGATATACGAACTTCAAAGTGGGGGAATATTATGGAGAGGTGAATAACAACGCGTGGAACTCTAAAGCCTGGGAGGCGGAACTTGAAAATACGGAGGTTTGTTACTTGCCGTTTGCTCAGTAACTGTTCTCCTCAGATAATCGTGTAGCGAAAGCTGATCGATTTACCGTCTTTGACTAGTGAACTTGGACTCTATCATCTTTCTTGTTGCAGGATTTGGAAGGGCAGAGGTTTGATAAATTTAATGGCTTTTGGATATCCATCTAACTTGTCGAAATTTCACGATTTGTGATGCCTGCAACCACATGGTTTATATGCAGATATTTGTAATGACTCCGGCAATTCTACTACATAATCTGCATCATTGTTTTATGAGAATGGACTGCATAGAGCTCCTCATTTTTGACGAGTGTCACCATGCACATAGTCATCACCCCTATGCAAACATAATGCAGGTATCACTTCCAATGTTCTATCCTTCCTTTTCTCAAGTACTTAGGTGCTTAAATTCCATCAACTCCACGAAATCAAAAGCTGGGTCGAAATCATCATTTCTTCAAAACTTGTTCATGAACTGTAGCCAAAGTTGTTTATTGGGTTCTGAATTTATCTCCCGTGCGTTTCATGTTGTTCACTGGAGCCTGTTTCGGGACGTGTGAATAGGAATTTTACCATGGCAAGGAGGATTTATATCGGCTCCCTCGGATACTAGGAATGACTGCGTCCCCTATTAATGGAAAAGGTATAATCAGGAACTGATTCGAAACTGCATTGTGTATGATTCCTGTTAAGAACTTATTTAGATAAGCGTTACATGTTTATTGATGTGAATTATGGGGTTAGCTGTCGGTCAAGGCTTGAAGTTGTAAGAGTACTTCATAGGAATATGACCTTGCTTCCAACTTTTTTCTGTTCAATCCTGTTGTCTCTTCAGGTTTTGTTGACTATGTTTTTCTAATTTATTCTCTGTGTTACGACACTTTCTTCACTGTAAGATTGGTCAATCAACTACGATTTTTTCACCTCATTTCGTAGCGACGGCTTTGTCGTCGATTTTTTTCTTGAATATTGTCTTATATTTGAGAACTGAGAACTGTGTGTGCGTAATTACATACAACGGATTCTGCGATGCATCTGTAGCTCTTCACGTTAAGCTTTTCATTGGGTTAAAAAATTTCTCTCACTTTCGGTTGGTCGATCGTTGCGCCACAATTGAATTTTAGAATCAGTAAAACTTCCGAAGTGCCAGTTCGTTGTTGAAGTTTTAACCGGATATCTAGTGGTGCCTAATGCATAGGAACTGACATGTGCAGTTAATTGTCAAGGGGATTCCATCAGAACAAAAATTGATAAAATCGAGCGTATGCTACACGCAAAGGTAAAGTGCATTTTGGGATTAGGATTCACATTATTCTGACATCCTTTTGAAGAGCACCCACATTTGCTAACTTCTGAAATTGCCAATTTCTTCCAGTTGCACACCGTGAAAGAGAGTTCAGAGTTAGATCTTGTAGTTCCCCGTCCTCATCATAAATCGGAATATTATGAATCTGCTCAAACGCCAAATCCTGTAACTCTGAAGTTCTGCCAGCTACTCTTTGATCTGCAAAAGGAGGTATTTGTCAATTCGCCTCTCGCTCATTGGTTACTCCGCTCAGTAATTTTCCGTGTATGAACTGTAGTTCGAAGACTCTAAAGCTTTGGCTGGCTGTGCCGGAGTTTTTATGGTAGCATTTGAACTGATACTAGGATTCTCAAAATAGTCTTTTCTTTTATTGGTAATATTCTAGGTAATGATTGAAATGCAATCTTTGGCTGCCTTGAGGTTTCTGTTTTTGAATATTGTATGTCTTCCTTGGCGTCTGTTGTTGTTTGTTTTGGATGTCATGGATCTGGCTTATATTGTATTTCTGTTCTTGAATTGCTAAGAAATTCTTGCGCTACTTGGATAGTGTATAGGGACCCTCTTGGGTACTTCGGGATGTGAAGGGGAGCTACTTGGTGAGCTGTGCAGTGGTGTGGAAAAGAAAAGGGTAAAAAATGTGAAGAAGCTTTGCAATTCCCTAGGCTATTGTGCAACTGAGCTCGGTCCTCGGTGCGCCTATGAAGTAATATTCTGACCCAGTGCTCATTTCTGTGTAGTCTGTGTCCCACTGAATCTTAGAACCTTAATCCAGAACGTTATCCTTAATTGGAAATGCTCCCGAGTACTAGAACCCATAACTTAATCATGAGGTAACTTTCAAGTGTATAAATTTTAAATCACACCGTTCCGTTTTCCTTTGCCACAATTCTTGCTGTTTAAGTTGTAATTAACTCTACTGTCTAACTCTCTAGGTCCATGAAAGCATATGCAAAAAAAAAATGATGTGAGAGTCTTGGCACATTATGCTACTGTGTCTTCTTCTTTTGGTATGTAGTGAGACATAGTTCCTCCTAATATGAACATAATGTGTTCGACTAAGCTTCGATACTAGTTGCATTCCAGGCAGTGAAAATCCTCCTTCATAAGTATGACAGTGACTGCGACCCTGAGTTAGATTCGAATTCAGAGGGCAAGAAAGATATGCTTCGCAAAATACTCAACGCTCTAAACTCGTTTTTATCCAAAGGTAGTTCGCTACCTGTTTTTTCTTCCTGGCTTATTTTATTGTTCTATCTATTTTCAAAGATTGTGCTTGACAACCGTACGGCCTTAGCGACTTTTATTCATTCCAATAAGAATTCAGCAAGGCTGTTTAGACTTGAACCTCCAAAAGTTGCTCGCATTTCTGAAACGTGTTCGACCTGACTACGTTTTGGCAACCTTGAGCCTATTGTACTGAACAAGTGGTAGAAAACTGAGGTGTTTGAGGTACATTTTGTATAGATTGAAACTGCTTGCATGTGGTTTTATCAGAAGTCGAAGCAACTTCCTGTGCTGTGCCTGATGGAGCAGCCAACATACAGAATCTTTCCTCTAAAGTCCAGTTGTTGATTAACGTCCTAGAACGTTGCAGGTTTGTATTTACACATCGATATTTTTTGCTGAATTGACCTCGCCTGTCTTCTGCTTGTATTTAAATTAATTTGTTTTTGAAACGTCTCTTGTTGTCGAGTTGGACTTATGATTGTGTTGCTACTGTAGGGATACAAACGAGATGAGGTGCATTATCTTTGTAGAGAGAAAAATCACGACTCGCGTCCTGGCCAGCCTGTTGAGCAGCATTGAAGTTCTATCACCTGCGTTTCGTTTCCAGTCACTTGCTGGAAAAAATTCAGGATCGAATGATATGAACCATAAGCATCAGCAAAATGTTGTGGAATCCTTTCGAAACGGCGAGGTTGGTATCATTGGTGTAGTGGCTGCCAAGTTGTGCGAACTGTTGCGAGGTCATGATAGTTTGGAAGCATTTTGGAAGAAGTTCAAGTTCTCATGCTTTGAGGTTGACCATAAAATTAGAGGAACGATTTTGTGAATTTAATTGATAAAAGAAGTAAGATTTTAGAGTACAAAATCGCTCGTCATAAATGTGTGGGTGGATCATAATTCGTAATTAAACGAAGCCAAGAAATCAGCGCCAAAAGACAAAAAAAAAATGACAATCGTGGAAAGTTTTATGGCGGGAACAAGTCTTGTAGATAACTGTTCCAGCCCTGAATTTGGCCTCACCTCTCATGCGTTTTGCTGCGATGATGATGTTTTAAAGAGGAGACAGCGGCGGAATTGTGTAGGTGAATGTGTTGGTGTCAACAAATGTAGCAGAAGAAGGTCTCGACATTCAAAATTGCCATCTGGTTATTCGATTTGATCTTCCAAATACACCCTGCAGCCTGATTCAATCCAGGGGCCGAGCTCGTTGTCTGAAGTCTACTATCATATATCTTATTGAGAGGTAATCATCTTCCAAATAAATAGTGATTAGCGTCGTGCCACTTTGCCAGGTTCATTCAGTTGTGCAGACCAACTTGGATTAGTGAAACAAAAATATGTTGGTTGCTGGGGTAGTATGTGTAGTTCACTTGCGGAATGATTCTGGATTTTTATTTTGAAACAATGAGATATCTTTAGGTCGATTGTATCACTGTGTGCATCCAGACATGAACAAATCATTTCTTGTGGTTTATATGAGCTTGTTCTCTAGGGGTAACAATGAGCAAAGCCAGCGACTCGAGCAGTTCTTGTTGACTGAGGAATCTATGAAAGAGGAAGTCCTGAGCCGGATTAAAAATGCTGAGGATGTTGGAGCACCTGAAACTTCAACGATCGAAACTTTCCGAGTTGAGAGTACCGGAGCAACGATGAGCACACTTTGTAGTGTTTCTTTACTACACCAGTATTGTGCACGACTTGCCCACGATAGGTAATTTCCAAGCGGATAATTTCAGTTGTTTTGTACATCAACTTCAGGTGTCGTTAGGATACGTGGACATGTTGATGTGCAGTATGTTCCATAACTCGGGCATCCGTTGATGAAATAAACCGGTAACCGTTGATGCAGCTTCTACACGCCAACTCCCCAGTTTAGTTACAGTGAGGATGGTTCGGGAGTAAAATGTACTATCAAGCTTCCTACAGATGCGTTAGTTCAAAGTGTGGAAGGGCGGCCAGTTTCTTCTCAAGCTGATGCAAAACGGGTTGCTTGCTTGATTGCTTGCGAGCGCCTTTACGATGCTGGGGCTCTGACTGAGTTGCTTCTCCTCAAGTCCAAGGAGAATGCGTATTCTCTTGACGCTATTGCTCCAGAATCAAATTCAACTACAGGTAAAGCATATCCAAATCTTTATATGTGCGACTGCCGCTGTCATATCTCATAATCTTGGGTTCGTGTTCCTCTGTTCAATTGCTGGTAGTAGCTCTGTTTTTTGAAAATAGATTCCGTGAACATAAAGGATTGGTTCTTACTTCACACATCTTTTCACATAGGCCATGAGTTACCTCCACACACATTGGTTCTGACCAAGTACAAAAAATTCAGCCTTCTTCTATTTCAGGCTCTTACTGGTTTGAGCCATTATTTGGGACACAGATTACTGAATCATGATTTGAACGAAGTGACCGTTTTGAGTTTATCTCATCGCTCAGCGCTTTCGGCAGTGACCCTATTTGGGTTACACCCCCTTGGATTTTCTACTAGCAACTTGATTGCTCGTCTTTTCTACCATGATCTCATATTTACGGCCTTGTTTCCATCTTTTTATTTTTGCAGGGAGAGATCCACTTCCGTCACGCTCAATAATTGTTCCAGATGCTTTCAGTGGTACCTGGGGATCCGGGCTCAACAGCGTTGAGTTACATGCTTATGCGATATCCTTCGTAGCCACTCCCAATGACAGAGCTTACGTAAATTTTGGATTATTTTTGGAAGCAGACATGGGACCTGAGGCTGGGTCTATTGAAGTGGAATTGCAGCTCAGTAACAGAAGACTAGTGAATGCTAAATGCTCACCCTGTGGAACTATTCTTTTTGAACCTGATCAGGTGATTCTTATTTTCTTCGTGTTTCTTATATCATTTTCTTCCGGATAAATATCATAAGCTGAGATTTCTATGCAGAAGCTGGGATGTGTTCTGTAAATGCCGGATTTAAGAAGTAGATTGGGTATTCATTACGTTGGAAGGTAACTCGTGAGATACCTTGTAGAGTCATCCCGAACTCTTTGTACTAAAACTTCAACTGGAGTTCATTCATGATTTTTTTTGATATTATGAAGTCTAAAACCAGTAGAGTTTACCTGCTTGTTCAATTCTCTTATTGTTAACTAAGGGATGCTTTGGTGCAGCTACGGAATGCTAAATCGTTCCAAGAGCGTATCTTCAGTTCTGTCCTAGATCAAAAACCGCCTGTTCCCAATATCGAACTTTCTGGCGAGTGGAATTCCAATCGCTTGTATCTTCTACTTCCCCTGAAGGAGAAACAAGACGCACTTCCCCTGTCAATTGACTGGGATTGTATTGAAGATCTGATTTCAGACGTGATGAAAGGATATAATACTCTTGAAGAGGTTCCTTCAGAGATTCCTAGAAGTTCATTGCTCAGATTGATCGATGGATATTTTCCAGTTGAACATGTGACAAACTCACTGATCCAAACTGAGCACACGGGTAAACGGTGCCTTTATTGTGCAAGGGAGTTGATTCCTGATATGAATGGTCAGAGTCCCATGATCATGAAAGTTTCCAAATACAACTCTTATTCAGATTATTATTTGAAAAAGTAAGTTGTCAGCACGTCCATTCCAGAAAGAGCTCTTGTTTGGATTTTTCTATTAACATTTGATAGTTTCTTCATGAAATTTTCTGTACTCCCGATTAATCTAAGTTGATGCTATTCTGTTACTCATAATTTATGAATATTCGCTTTTCATATGTACGTCAGGCACAATAGGACATTGAATTTTGTTGAGCAACCAATGTTGAAGGCCAAACCACTGATTCAGGTTAATAATCTCTTGACTCAGCGCACCACAAGCGAGCGCCCAGGTTCGTTGTTCATGGGATTCTACCTCCCCACAAATTTGCCATGTTACTCAAGTATGAATCTCCAGCTATTGCAAAATCTCGTATAGGGTAAGTGTCAATCTGAGATTTAGTGCCTTGAATGTGCTTACATCGCCACGTTGGTTTATGCAGCTGCAGAAGAGCAGAAGACCGAGTCGTTAGTGGAACTGCCACTTGAGCTTTGCAAAATAATGGTTAAGGGCCTCTCCTGTGCATTGACTAACGGAATCTCGCTGTTACCCTCTTTTATGCATCGTCTTGAAGGACTTCTTCTTGCTGTACAGTTTCGGAAAAGCCTTCCATCCCCCCACTCGTCTCCAGTGCCCGCAAATCTGGTAATGTCGTATTTAACATAATTATTCATTTGAGCATTAATTTTGTTGGGCTTGCGGAAGACATGTAGTTTTAGCAGATTGTGGTTTGTGAAATGCTTCGTTTGCCCATCCTTAGATTGCAAGAACTGTTCAGCTTATGATGATAAGTGTATTGTTCTGAGCAGATGCTGGAAGCAATTACAACAAGCAAGTGTCAAGAGAGCTTCAGTTTAGAAGGTTTAGAGTTACTAGGGGATGCCTTCCTCGAGGTTTCTGTCAGTGAGCGTCTTTTTCTTCTCCACAACAGATTGGACGAAGGCGAACTGTCGAAGCGACGCACGAATCTTATATGCAATAAGATGCTAGAGAGACTTGGCAGAGAGCGAGGTATCATGGTCAGTAAGAGCTGTAGGGATACTACCCGGTCTACTTACAAGCAGTTTGAAATAATGATCAATCTTGTTTCTGAAGTACATCAACCATATATCCATATTCTCGTACAATATAAAGTATATTTACTATAAAATCTTTGCTCCAGCTTCGTGACTTTTTCCTTTGTTGGTATTGTTAAGAACTACATACGAGATACTCAATTCTCGCCAAAAGAGTGGGCAACACCTGGGCGCGTTCGTGAGACACAGTGTAAATTACCACCCTTGCAAGGAAAGACCATAGCTGATGTGTTTGAAGCCCTTATTGGTAAGAGAGTCAGAGTCACTAAAATTGTTTTCTTATGGCCTGTTTTCATTCGCATCTCATGAAGAGTTATCATACTATTTAACATGTATCTTATGTTTTTTCTTTTGATAATGAATGTAATGTTTTCATAATTATTGTGTAGGTGCTCATTATATTCATGGCGGTGTGGAAGCCGCACAGGCCATGATGGGATGGCTTGGTTGTGAAGTTGGTGTTTCTTCTAGTATCAGGGAAGAAGCCCGAACTCGCGTACACGGGCAATTGGAGCTTCTGTCAGAAGCTAAGGTTTCCGAATTAGAGATACTGTTAAATTATAAGTTTCAAAACAAGGGTCTGCTAGTGGAAGCACTGACGCATGCCTCATGTCGTCGTCACAGTGGTGATTGTTATCAGGTAAATTCATCTGTGAGTTTACTATCAGTGAGTTTGAACCCGGTGTGGCTAGCTGAAAACAAGTTACCAGTTGCATTAACAATGGGCTTTGTCGACGCAGAGGCTGGAGTTTTTAGGAGACGCTGTGCTTGATTTCCTGATTACCAAGCACTTCTATGCGAACTCGGCAAATTTGAAACGGGACCCTGGATTGCTCACAGACTTGCGGTCGGCCGCTGTGAACAACGAGTGCTTTGCACGAGTGGCTGTACGGCATAACCTTCATCTATACCTGCTTCACAATTCAAGTGATCTTGCTGCCAGGGTGGATAAGTACGTGCATGGTTCTACGACTGATGCTCAGTGTCATGGCTGGAACGGTGATAGTGGTCCCAAAGTAAGTATTCCCATGTTGCATCAATTTTTCTTTCACACTCGCACATGATGTTTGTGCTCTTTCCGAAGCCTTCTTGTTAAGTAAGCATCTAATTGCTCCTCTATGCAGGTGTTGAGCGATTTAGTGGAGTCGTTAGCAGGAGCAGTGTTTTTGGACTCTGGCTATAAATTGGACACTGTATGGAACGTTTTCAAGCAACTCCTAAAGCCTTTGGTTACACCAGCAACGCTGCGGCTTGAACCCATTCGTGAGCTGTGGGAGTTGTGTCAAACTGAAAAGTTTGGTGAACCGAATTACAAGAAGAAACGGGAAGCCATGGGAGACTTCGACATGACTGTTACAGTTGAATTGAAAGATGAGACGATTACGGGAGTTGGTCGTAAGCCAGATGAGAAGAGTGCGAGGAAAGTTGCTGCGATCCAGGCTCTTGAAACTCTTAAGGTCAAACACTTTCATGGGCTCTTCAATTGCATTTGCTTCAGCCTGATGATTTCGTGGAGTGATGTGGAACATCCTGGTTAACATATCATTTATTCTACTTGGACGCATGTGAGGTCTGTTGTAAACAGTAGTACATCCGCATCAACTCTGATATCCAGATTTAAAATTTATAAGAGATTCATTACGTTGTGGTTGTTTGATCATCGTCAATTCCAGAGCATCAACTTATCGTGTGCTCTTTTTTTTTAGACGCTTGGCTATGAACATGGTTCAAGGCGACTAGAGCGGGCAGCTTTATATGCCAGAAAGTTCTCGGATCTGGTCGATGTTCCCGAAGAAAGGTGTCATTCTCTAGTCTTCGTTGACGAAGGTACGTCAATTTTGAAGAATACCGTTGAGATTGCTGGAGGCAAGTGTGCAACAAAAGTTGTCGACTTTGCTCCGGCCGTTCCCGGTAAGGCTAGCATCTCTTTTGAGTTCATTAATCTGGCAATTGAGGTCAATTTAGAACAACCAATTTACGCGAACACCCATACGTTACTGTAAGTCGATCACCTAAGTTATTTGTTTGTGAGTTGTGCTTTGTTTGATCTTTTCCCTTAGTTGAGTCGCGATGAGGATTACTGAGGTAGTTAGGCATTGCAATGCAGATCCGAACTCTAAACAAGATGGGAACCCTCAAACAACCAAGGGGGAACATTTACCTATTGTTGATAAGCAACTCCAATTTACTCCTCCAACTGAATCGGCAGAAAAATCATTCGAAGCAGAATTTGTCTCAAGCTCTTCACAGCCTGAAGTTTCTTCCACTTCAGGGCAGAAGGATCCACCTGTGACTGAGAACAGCGACTTCCAGAAACTTTGTGAAGAAGTCAAGAAATCTGTTACCATGAGAAATAATTACTTTTCTTCTGGTCCTTCGACCCCGAATTCGGTAACAGCGTCAACTGCTGTAACTCCTGTGCAATTCTCACACAGCACATCCTCGACGGTCGTACCAACTCTGGGCTCGAGGTCCTATGGTGTGCCTAATCAGCCGCGGGTTTTAGGTCATGCTACCTTTGCTGGAATTACTTTCGTACCGACTGATCCGTACTCTGGATTCCCGTCGTCACATGCTGGGGTGGATGATGGTTATAGCAAACAGACATCTTCAGCACCTCACCTTAGACCAGCACCAGGTTCAATCCATATCCATAAGAATTACAGTACTTGCATTCAATTTCCCACCCATTTCCAGCAATTCTAATCTCCGATAATACTGTAGTTGAATAGGGAACATTATCACGATAGTATCTTTCATGTTTGAGGTCCTCTAGTGGAGACTTCTATGTAGACTGAAAGAACATTTTCGTTATCAGATGTTGGGTTGCGATTGGTCAAAGGTGAAGCGCGGTCCTTGCTCAATGCTATGTGCATGAAGCACCGGTGGGGGGATCCAGTCTACACGTTGGTCTCGAAAGGAGGAGTTAGTCATGCTCCTTTGTAAGTCATCTACAGAAGTACAATCATTCTCGTTTGTTTTTTTCATTTATTCTGAATCGTTCTGCAAGGGATGATGGGTGTAGTTATAGAATGCTGAAAATAATGGTTGGAAGTCGATGATCGGATGCCAGGTTTTTGTATATGGTCCAAACAACAATCATCTTGCGTGGACGAGCCTTTGAGATCGACGCGGAGGGAGAAGTGGAAAGGGATATTAAAGGGGCCAAAGATTCTGCTGCTGCACGGCTGCTGGAGTGGCTTGGAGAAGAAGGGTTTTTCATCAGTTAAGTTTTCAGGCAAAGTGGACGTTGCATAATTGCATGAAGTTACCCCTATAAAGCCATTCAAGATGGTCAGGCACCCCTTTGATAGAGAACACTCGGACTGTGCGGCGTTTATCTTCATGATGAAACAGGAAAATGTCAGGAAAAAGCTATGCGTTTTCTCGTTTTGGCTCTTTGAGTCATATTAGCGACGTATTTCCACAGACCATTTTTGCAGCTGTGCGTGCTCCCTTAAATCATTTGCTCATGCAACACTTTCATCCAGAGAACCGAATTCAATTTGATATTTTTGTTGACATAGTTTCCGATTTGGCGGCACGGAGCAGATAAATGCCGGAGGGTGCTAAAAAGAAATAGAACAGCTTGGAGAGAAGTATGCGGACAAAGAAAGGTGCGCGTAGTCCCGTTACGTGTCATATTTTGTTTTGGGGAAGGGCGCAAAGCATCCTTGTTCGCCCCTCCTCAGGCTGTCTCGCAGGTCAAGTGAGGTCAAAATAGAAGCTTTTGCTTTGGTCTCATTAATTGGTAAACTGGACTCAGTTTAACAGATTGGGCCTTTTGATCTTCAGCTGATCGATCCACCTTGAGTCTCAGGACTCTCTTGTGTAAATGAAGTGGTATAAGATACATTAAACTCCATCCAACCTAGTAATATCTTCCGAGTTTTCTTCATTAATTGAGCTTTACAGCCAGATCACGGAAGTGGAGCTTACGTGGAGTATAAGAGCGCCTAATCATAATCCCTTTTATCATTGAACGAAGACCATATGCAGTTTCAACGTCCTTCCTCTAGCATAATTTAGGTTATGCAATGTTGGTGGGCGGCTTTTGAAGGGAATGCTTCCAAATAAAATTTCTACGCAAACTGTTTTTTAATGGTGACCCAGTGTAGATTAGTCCCAAAGGAGACGGTGAAAATTTAGCTTTCAACTTTGAAAAAGCCAGCTGCAAGTGTTGAGGTAATGATGAGTTATGATCAACGGAATCTAGCTGGTAGTGTTTACCTGCAGTTCATTAGTGTGGTCAAGTTTCAGTTATGTTCTTTTGAATGTGGGAGCTGACTCTTATTTGCTTCAACTCCAATGAGTTATGCACTTATGCTTGGGATCACCAATCGATTTCTTGGAGACACGACACCACCGACCTGGTAGAGCAACAAAGACTTCTAGTGAGAAAAGTCTTTATTTTGAGTGGACTTCTTCACCCTAGACCCTGTGTGAGAAGTCCTGTTAGAACTAGAAGTAGGGTTGCTGGGTTCACGGTTAGTGCATGCACAAGTTGTGGAGGATAATAAAGTGATTGCAGCGTAACTCAGGGGTAGTCGGAAGAGGTACTTCCGGAAATGAGGTGGGTTGAGAACAGCCAATGATTCAGTGGAACACTGTAGGATTTATCTCTATTGAGATTGTTTTTGAAGAAACTTACTAACGAGGACAATTTGAATATTTTGCAAGTGAAACACACTCCGTAACTAAGTAAAAACGTTAATGCGGAAAAAAAATTTAGAAATATAAATCAATCAATCAACATATACGTACACATACATTTTCAATTCATCAATAAGTAATTACGTGCTAACTAATTTTATATAAATAAAATTCCATTAGTTTTACAAAAAAAATCAAATTTTATGCTTAGGCATTAAATGACAACCAATTTTCTTATATTAATGTTTGATGATTTGTGATGAATTGTATCAGATAGTACATGTTTTAATTTCAAGTTGGGATCTTAATATGTTTGTCATTGTTAAAATTTTACTTCATGTTTATTCAATATCGAAAAATACAAGTTAGGTAAGATTTTAAGTACAACATTAAAATTGGGTTTGTTTTACATTTGCATAACATATTTGTGGACATTGAATGAATAAAAGTTTCTAAGATAATCATGGTTTACACTTGGATTTCTTACCTACAAAGAAGGCCAACATGGGATTCAAATATATATATATATATATATATATATATTGAATTTTAGATAGAATTTTCGATATACTATTAAATTATAGATAGAATTAACATCAGTACATTTTAAATTTTGATAAGAGCACATGTGCATATTTATCCAAAATTAAAAATATTTATAGTGATTCGAAATCTTCAAGTTATTCTGAAATATTTATACTTTTCATTCACAACATCACACCTTTTTCACTCTTCAGATTCTCTATCTGGAAATCAAGGTTTACTGTCAAAATTGCAAATCTAAATATAGAAATAGCTAGAAAAGGATCAGCTTTGTATCTGTTAGGAATGGTCAGCACCCACTGTCATGTCAGACAACAAAGTCGGTGCCTTCCTTTCAGGTGAGGAATTGTCCAGAGTCGGGTTTTTAGATGATGGAATATCCTTTCCCCAACTGCTTTGGCTCTGTTTCAGCAAAACCATAACCCAATCGTAAGAGTGATGCGTATGTCACAGTCCCAGCTTGTTCCTCACTAAATTAAGGGCTCACTCAAGTTGAGAAGAATGCGATCCCACTTCAATGTGGCCACAAATTCCGTCAAAGCAGACTCCAGCGAAAATAGCTTTGTAACAGCATTCAAGTAGCATCGCACTTGTGCCAGTGTCCTCAACCTCATGATGTTAATGGCCGCATGGGTTGGCATCCAAGGAAGTCATTACGGTAAAAGAATATGCACTACAAGGGCAGCGCACCGCTCCCTTTATCCAACCCAAATCATTCTAGGTGCATGAAGGGGAAGGGGTTTTGGTATTACAAATGAATCGAGTTGGGGCTCGAAGCTTATGCCTCTCAACTGCCAATTATTGATATCAGGAAGGCGGGGACACCCGGGCAGCCACTTCCAGGTGCGATCTTCCAGATCGAATACAGCGGCGGGGGAGCTCTCTGAGATGGTCAGACAAATTATGTTGCCATTCCCAAAGCCAAAGAAATGACGAGAGGGACGGAGCATTTCTACAAATTCGCGCCGTAGCTTGCGAGGCATGCGTTCAATCTCTACCCACACCATCTTGATTCTCTCAAGCTCCCAGATTCTGATGCCCAGAAAATTGCCCTCTTCGCACCCTCCCACCATCAGGAGCCGACCTTGGCACTCTACCAGAGAAGGGGACACGATACAAGCAGGCATCCTCACATGGACTTCATCCCACAGGTTCCTCTCTATATCATAAGCAATTACACCAAATGGAGAAAACGTTATACAGTAGAACGAACCCATGCTCCACACTGCATAGCCAGCTCCGAGTTTCCAGGCCGCTGCCATTATCGGCCATGGCTTGCCTCCTACAGCCCACGCATTAGTCTGCGAACAGAAAATCTCGGTTGCTAGCCTTCCATTGTGCGCCTCGTCAAAAAACAACCCGGCTACGAGAATTTTATATGACTTTGAGGCTCTATCATTTACCATCCCAACCACGTGGATCGTCTTAATGAAACGCATAGGTGGAAGGTGCTGCCAAAACTTAGTCATGGGATTGCACACGAAGAGATTGGGCCACGGAAAGAACTCGTTCCCGTAGCAAAGCAGTCCTTCAGAGGCAGCCAACACACACTTCTCTGGTGACATTGCGGGAATCGCAAGGTCGTGCCACTTCTTCAACGAGGAGTCATACGCCGATGAGACGCGCCCGGCTGTATACATGATAATCCAAGGCTTTTGGGGAGAGACTTGAGTGTACCGAGCTACAAAGCGTTCGGAGAAGAGTATAGAATTCCACTGCTTGCACACGCACCGCATCCTGAACAGACTGTGGATGGGAAGCCATGCGAGAACTCTCTCCATCAAATCCTCGGGCAGGGATTTCCACACACTCTCGTCCATAGCCACCATTTGAATGTCCTCGCTTGTGGATGCTACTGCTCCCATTAGAGTATCATCCAGAAGCTCAGAGCTCGTTATCCTCTCTACCGGCCATTTCAAATTGTCTACAGTAAATTCAAACTCTCAAGCATATGTTCTACCTCGTGGTCTGGAATCAATCAACGTCTTTGACATTCTTAGGAGCACTCGCACTCACTGATCATAGCCGTCTGAGGGCATCTTTACCGATCCCCATTTAATTGACAATACACTGATGTGATTATGGCTCTGAGTTGAAAACAATCAAATTTTGCTTACCTCCATTTGATGAAGAATTACTCCTTAAGATGCGTCCGAAGATGGAACCGAACACATCATTCAACAAGCGAGACAATAAATTTCAACAAAATCCAGCGGATAATTATCTTGCCATGGTTCCGAGTCTATAAATGAAGACCCTAATTTCGCAAATAGTGCGTCTAGTCCGAGCGAATTCTACGAGAGCCGCTCACGACCCACCACACGATCATCACCAATCCCCAAAACCTCCATCGACACCGGGTTCATCACAAAATTGTAATTGAATTAGCCACCTCTCAAAATCAAACGACCTTGATCTCATTCCTACCTAAACGCCGAACATCAATAGGGGAGGAGCGAACCCGAAACTCAACCAAAATCGAAACCCGTTAGATCATGATATGCGACAACCGGGACGGAATGAGGCTCATCGATGCGGAGAGCCAGGATTGGAGAAATGAAAGTAGGAACATGACAAAGGAATGGAATTCGCATGAGGATCTTAAGAGAGAGGAGGAGGAGGAGGGTTCAGTTGTGGCGTCCGCCTGATCTCGTGCTCACGACCTTCCGCTCTCGTCTCTATGATTGATGTCTGTGCCAATCGTCTCGCGAGGATTGATCCTTCCCCGGATTGGCACAAGGCTCCATCGAGATCGCCCGCACAGACGCCCTCATTGCGACACAGCGATCGCAGTTCTCCAGTTGATATCGCTTCGCTGACACCGAGGCCCCAGTGTCGGTGAAGTTTAGGGTTTTGGGGTCTCGGTGTGGATTGTCGGTGAAAGGGACATGGGCTAAACGCTGGTTCGGTGCTTTTCTGTGAATCAATACCACCCCACCCATGGCCCCTCTTCAATCTCCATTTTTACTTCCCTCCTCTTGGAATAAGCTTAATTTCTTCTAGACACTTATTTAGAACAAAAAGTGCTACAAGTTATTCTAATTTTAGTAATAGCATATCTTCGACATTTGTTGATCAAGTCTAATAAAACCAATTATCTTTTGAGCCTATAAATAAGAACTTCTTTACAAACAAAGATCTTTAAGATATAGGTATTTCTTTTAAGAAGATGTTCTACAAGATTGAAGCAACAAAAGGTGTATTTTTAGAACCAATATATAATTATAAAATGATGTTGATACAATTGTAACTAGGGTTTTAGATAAAAGTTTATTTTTATTTTATTTTATTATTCTCCTATAAAGAGCATTTTTAATTTTTTCTTGTGTAATTTGGTGTGATACAATGTTAAATAGTACAATAGAAAATACTTACAAACAACAATAGTATTGAAACTATTATAAATTTTCTGAATAAATAGATTCTTTTTACTTATTACTAGCATTTTTACAATTATACTTAGATGGTCTATGAAGAAACTATAAATTGTTTTAAGAAAGAAGGTATGTTATAGACAAATAATAAAAGATGGACAACTCAATTAAAAAAAGGTATCAAAATTTGTCATCAAAAGTATTGAATTAAAACACATTCTAATTGGCACATTTTCATAAACACAAATAAATAAAATCTAGTCTTCAAAACAAACAATTTCTCATGAGTAAAATCTTAGTTGACCAAAGTCTTATTAATTTGCAAAATCTTGTGAAGTTGAACAACTCTCACATTATCATGTTCCAAATGTATTCTGAGTTTTTGTCAATGATATGAATTATAAATAATCAAAATGTCAATACACTCTTGTGTCACTTAAATAGAGTAGATATTCCCTCAAAGATAGTAGAATATTAAAACTAGAATGGTTATTGCCAAAGAAAAGAAATTTATAGACTCTTGAAACAAGACTAAGAACAAGAAATGTGTTGACAAGAGTGAAGAAGACCTCACTCTTACTTCCATGTATGAAATCTAATTAGGATCTATATTGCAATGTTATATAGAACCTATGATACATGTCCAACTTGCAGAATACATATGTAACTTGCAAGTTAAATGTCCTACATATATACCACATGGCCAACTTGTATCACAAGTCATCAATATGTGCAACACATAGCCAACTTGTATCAAGAGTCACCAATATGTGCCACACATGGCCAACTTATTAGCCAAGTTTTCAACTTACCAATGACCTATAAACTTGCAAAAAGTCAAATCCACGTCTATAAAGCTTCTAAGAAGATTCTCCATAAGATATTATCAAATTTACTTATTTCTAATTACTTCTATCTAACTCTTTTAAACTATGTAAATATATATGTCCATGATAGTTATCAAAAACTTCATAGCCACAATTACACAAAAGTTCTAAATCCATCATCTATATTTTAAATTCAATACAATGACAATCAAGAACTCTAATGTGAGAAAAAAGTATTGAAAACAAGTTTGTAAGAAAATACCAAGCACATTACTAGTTCTAAAGAGATTGTATTATACACAATTTATATGTCATTCTTGCAACACAAATATATTAATACAATTGGAGCACCTTAATTTTTCAAAGAGGTTGTGGACAAAAAAAGCTATAGAAGGATTGAATTCTATCTCATTTACTTGGCATTCAAATCATCCACTATTAACCAACATCTCTAAAATTCTAAAAACATGTTGTAGATAAATTACAAATACAAGTTGATTTAAACAATATTTATTTATTAAAGCAATAAGGCAAAAAAGGTTGATATGAACTAGTTTAATGTTCATAATTAGTCTTGTTATTTAAATTTTTTAAGATTAATTACTGACTTGATATCACTATATATATATATATATATATATATATATATATTTGACAAGAATGATCATCATACATTTTTTGTAAGTAAAAGTTGATTTTTTTAACTAAATTAAAAAATATTATATTCTTTCATTTTCAAAGATAAATAATTTTTTCAAACCCTCAGAATTACAATATATTTAAAAAAAAATAATAATACATAATACATGATGTTACATTTTATTACTCCTCAAATATGAACACGGAGTGTGTCGACCATAAGGCTGTGGTGTGAAAGTGGTACTAGTGTGAACAGTGGAACTCCATGCAGGGAGTTGTTTTGTCTAGCATGAGGCTGTAGTGTGAACGGGGCCTGATTATACTGACGGAGCCCCTTGCAGAGAACTCTTTTGTTGACAGATGGACAGATACCATTTTTTTATATAAGAGGATATATATATATATTTATTTATTTATTTATAGTATTAATATTATAATTTTATTACATAAACTTTTTAAAATATTAAAGTACTATAAATATGTTGCACTATGTTTTTTGAAAATGAAATATTAGTGTTTTTAGAGAACCTTTACCTAGACACCCCAGTTTTACTATGTGGGCACCTTATCCCCCATCCCCATGCCATGCACCTCTGCATACACACAGTTTAACTTCTGTTTACAGTAAAACATTCATATGTAATGGATAATGATATTTCTTTTTTCTTTTTCTTTTATGCTGATTAAAATTTATAATATTTTATAATATGTTTCATATAATTTATTATTTACATTATTAAGCTTATTAAATTTTATTTAATATTTTATTGTGTGTATATATATATATATATATATATATATATAAATGTAAACAAGAGTTTTGTTATGTGTATGTAGGTGTACGTGGCACTGAGAGTGCTCACACAATAAAAGAGGGGTGTCTGCCTGGTAGTTCCCTTTTTTAATCTCAAGAGATGTTTTTGTTGCTTTGCCACCACTTGCATTCATCCAAGCATACTTTCAGCAATAATTACTATTTTTCATTCATATTAATCATTCATTATCTCATTATAAAATAAAATAAAATAAAATTTTCTTGACTCTCCTTCAATTACATGCCAAAATCCTCAATCCACTTTTTAAACTCTTTTTCAATATTGTTTAAATTCTACAACAGACAATGCTATTGTAAGCAATAATAATAAAAGAATAAGATGGAAGAATGAAAATGGGCTAGTAGAGGGTCAAGGAATTTCTTCCAAATTAACACATTCTTAGACCTCCTTCACTCCACAGAAAAAACTATTTAGTACAGTAGGCAATGGTAGAATTGTTGTTAACTGGCTTGAATGACAGTGATAGATTTGTATTTTTTCTATTATATCACTAAAGCATATGATAAGAGATCTCTTTGGAATATCCAACCTTCTCACAATAAGTTTCCTTAGCACAAAAGATATCATTCTCCTCCCTTTTAATTGTCAAAACACATTCTCCCTTTTGAACACACATTGGAGACTTTTGATTTAATGTTGTTTTTATGGAAAATAATTCTATTGCTCATTTTCTTACTTTGCAAACTATTGATACATGTGTATGGTTGGTTCTAGAACACCATCTAAGTCCCATACAATCCAATAGACATGGTGATAAAAGGGTTAGGTGAGACAACCGTTTAAAACGGAATGTGGCCTCTGAGGATCAAAATGCTATATTTCATGCATAAGTTCACGGCCCAACTAAGAGAGGTACAATAATCCTACAAACTCAGAAAAATGTGACCACAGGATGCAAATTCACAATGCTACTGTTCATTATTGAGCTCACGATTCTTACAGTAACAGCACACTCTAACATGAAGGTCAACAGCTGTTTGGAAGCTTCAGAAGCTGTTCCATCACCTACTCCAAGAAAAATAGAGATTACACCCTGGTTTGTCTCTTTAATAGGAGCTGATTCTATACATAATCAGCAAAAAGATAAACAAGATCGTTACGTCAGTATATGAATAGAAAATGCCGAGCAACAATGTCTGCTGGATGAAATGTGCAGACAAAGATATAGCGCCAGGGAAAAGAACTAACGAATTGTCATTCTATAATCCAATAGTGTAATCACACGGGGGGGAATAAGTTGCAAAACCATACAACGCCGGGATAGCGTTGTAGCCACCTAAAGAATTGAGAGTAGGCCTTACAACTTGAGATGAAGTGTGAAGTTACTGCACCATATCATCAGGACCTAAGCTGCAATCCAGAGCCTCCCTCCAAATGAGATCCTTGATATGCTCCTCCGAGATAGAGGGCTCCTCGAAGTCAAACTCGAAGGGAGATACCGAGGCAGGCTCATCGTTGATGTCATGAAGTGAAGCTAAATAAGGGTGCGCCAAGGCAGCTTCCACTGCACCATAAATAAAAACAGAAACCAGCTTACAATGCAAGAACATCAAGTTAAATTCAAAAAACTGACTTGGAACCACGTAACTGTAAATTGTTTAGATCGTTCTGGATGGAATTGCTGAATCGGTACCTGTGATTCTTTTCGCTGGATCAAAGACCAGCATCTTTTCAACAAGATCAAGAGCAGAACGATTAATGCCTCTGAACTTCTGGGTTAAGGGAATAGGCGACTGTCGAGGCAGGTGCTTGATATACCGCCTAGCATTGTCGCTTCTCAAAAACCCAAGATCCCTATCTTCAGGAGTTCCGATGAGCTGCCATTCAGAGGAACAGGATTAAGCAGCTATGGCACTGTTTGTGACAGGATGTTGCAAGGAAACGAATCAGATACACAATAATAACCTCAACATCAAGCCACGAACGGAAACTTCTAATCCTCATCAGAGAAATGAATAAATAAATACAAACAGAATCGAAAACATTATTTTACTGGACCGAAAACACGCCGTGCTTACTTCTGTAATTAGGCGGAGCTGATGCACATAGTCTCTCCCAGGGAACAACGCAGATCGGTTAAGCAACTCCATGAAGATGCACCCCACAGACCAAATGTCAATAGCTGCAGTGTATGCTGAACAATTCAGGAGCAGCTCTGGAGCTCTGTACCACCTCGTTACAACATACTCAGTCATGAAATCCGTTTCAGAGAGAGTGCGTGCCAAGCCAAAATCTGCGATTTTCAAATCGCAATTGGCATTGACGAGAAGGTTGGTGGGCTTCAAGTCCCGGTGCAAGACGTTCGCCGAATGGATGTACTTCAAGCCCCGCAAGATTTGATACAGAAAATACTGAATCCAAATTCACAATAGTTAGGAACTTTGACCGGGTAAATGAGGGACCCTGAAACAGACGAGATAGAAATCCTTCTACTCATCTGCAATCTCTATGTATAACGCCTCAATACCTTATCAGAGTAGCATCGTCAAATATCACTCGATCAGTGCTAAACCCAAGGTGGAGTCATCAATTTATACTGGCAAGATCGATATGTGTGCAAGCAACAAAATTTCAATCAAAATCATGTCTCATTGACAAATTAGAGTTTTCTAGCTTTTACATCATCTTAACGATACTCAGGTCACAAGCATAGAAGTTAAAACACAACCAAAATCTCTAATTAAAGGTATATGTCTCAACCTGACAGTGGTCTTCTGTGAGAGCTTGATTTGAACGAATGATCTGGTGTAGGTCCGTATCCATCAACTCGTATACAATGTACACGTCGTTGAAATTCTCCCTAGTTGGGGGACGAATGATGTCTGTAATGGCAACGACCTGCTCCAAGTCAAGGAGGTGATCAAATTTCATACATCAAGAAACCAGAAAACACAAAACTTCAGTGGCACAAGCAACACTAAAGCAATCTTGTGCAGATGTCTCGTAAACAGCAAACAGGAGAGGATAACTAAACAAGTTCCTGATGGTGCATGGCACAGTAAAAATGTCAAGTTCAATAGTCGTGGCCAGTACGTTTTCATGATCCATATGCCGGAGGAGTTTTATTTCACGCAGTGTTCGCTTCGCATCGATCCTGTTGTCGAAGGCGTTTCCAATCTTTTTGACCGCCACCTCCTCACCCGTAACGGTATCAAAGAGTGAACTGCATAGGCAAGGATCCATTCTGTTCAGTGCCATGAAGATATTGCAAGGGAAAAGAATATAAAAAGCTAAGCCGCAAAGTTGGTTTAGAATAATAACTCCTCGAGTCTGACAAAATAGTAGCAGAGTATCACTTCTGACTAAATATAAAGACGGACGATATAATATGTGGTTACAAGACCAATTCCTGTCAATAGAAAGGAATGTTTGAAAAACACGACTTTAGAAGATTGATCAAAGTTCCTAACGATTGCATACTACAAACTCTAGAGAGTTAATCTCTATAGCAGTGGCAATAAACCAAATGTTCTGAAGACAATACGGTGGAACTGAAGCACATATGAACTGTTAACAACAGCTCGTGGAACTCAGGTAGAAAACAGAATGGAATAAAACAACTTTAAGCTCAGAGGGAGGGATTCTAACCAGACGATTCCATAAGCTCCGCGCCCAATCGGACGAAGTGGTGGCTTGTACCTCGCGGTGACTTCGAAATCAGTTCCCGCCACAACATATTTCACGTAATGACCTCCGTAGGTCGGAGTACTTATAACTTTCAATTCTGGAGTTCCACTGCTAGTCTCCATACTGCTTCAGAGGTCCTATTGAAGAGACTGCACAAAAGAATTCAAGCTCTTAACCTTCTACATAGGATTACAACAGATTTGGACGAACAATATTTCTAACTTAGTGCAGCAAGTATAATAGGGAAAACTCGACAAACCATTTTCCTAGAAAGATACGAATGTTACACAAATTTTACAGCTACTAAACGATCAATTCACTAGTTGGAAACTTGGAAGACCCAAAAAACAACAAAGGTACGGATCCGAAACACGAGTACAGTCAAAGTCAGCAAAACAAATCGTGCACTGAAAAGGAGCATACGGTGAAGAAGCTGCAATTGAGTGCAACGCTGAAGGGTATCACAACAAAGTTCAATCACTCGAAGGAACGCCGCGTCCCTACATGTAGTAACAAACAAAACACCTTCCTCTCTAGAATCCAGCACGGGAGACAACCTTACAAGCAACACAACTTTAAACTGACCTGAGTAAGATCCCGACCGCAGCAACAACCAGACCTTCAATCAAAGTCGCAATTCGAGCGTTTCCGACCAGTAGCAAGTTCAAGGAATTTCAACAGCACCCGCCCACAATCTAAGCAAACGCGATGAGCCGGCAGGCTCCAGGTCCAATTTACCGACAGTCCACTACAAAAGAGGGGGGCTCTTCTTCCATGACCACGTCCTCCTCACTCCCAAAACTTACCCAGCCAACAGACAGAGACGGAGGAGGAGGCTGTGACAAGAACAGAGGAGGGTGAAGGGCGAGGCGGGGGCGAAGCGAAGAAGTCAAACAGTCCCATTCGCCGAAGCAAGTGGCGCCATGGCTCGCCCCGTCAGGATTCTTCGACACACGGCTTAGGCTATGGCGTGCTGCTCCGACAGTAGCAAGCGCGCAAAGCCTCACCCCTTCGACGAAACGTTCCCTCCTCGTTCAATTTTCTCTCCTTCGTTCGTCACCCTTCGTCCACTGTTCGGTCGGCGGGGAAGTGTCGCGGCGGGCCCTATTCCCGTGAGCTAAAATGTGACGTTTGCCAGTCGTGGTCCATCGGAGATGCACACTGGTTCTTCCATCACCGAGAGGGTCGTGTATTCCCGCGATTCTAGGTCAAAAGAGCTGGACTTCCTCCAACTCAGATTGTTCCGTTCACACCTGCTGGCTGGATATGGAACACTGGCTATTCGTTGAGGTGGGTCTTCAACGATGGGTTTCACTGTTGAAGCATATCCTCACTTCTTGCCCCATTTCCACTTCGTGTGACTCTCTTTGTAGTGCACTTTTGTGAATAACAAATACTATTGACCGTCTGTCTATGTTGATTACTTCTACTTTATGTACATGCGATTTTTATTTTACTTTATTTTATTGTTCCCCTAGTTTTGTTCACAACATGGTCATTGATTTAACATTTATTTGTAGCTTGTTTGAACTATGTCTTTTGTGTCTCAATTTTTAAGTGTTTAGAAGTAAATTCTCAAACCAAGAATAAAAACACAATGGGATTATTCATGAGAATGAGTATTATCTTTTTTTTTTTTTCTTTTTTTTGGGCATACCATAAACTAAGAAGAGAATAAAGATAGAATTTCTTGAGTCAAACAAATTTTTGAAAAAGAAAAAAAAACAAGGTTTGGAAGAGAAGTGTCCAAGTTGCAAGAATTTATTATATCAAGCATTTTGGATTCAAAAAAACTATTTGGAAAAAATTATGTGACCACATGGCAAATCTAAAGACCCTTGTAAATTCGATCCATATCTAAAAAGCTTGGTTCAACAAGATAATATCTACTTAATATTTTATTTTTTTATTTACATCTATATACTTGACTTTAATTATATTTGTACTTTTTATCTTAATATTGTTCTATAAATACTATTTAATTCAATTAATTTATAATAATACAATCTATTTTCTGACATATATTTGTTTTCAAATTTAGGATTCGAAAATTTATATTTTATAATATTTTTCATAAATACTTTTTAAAATTAATTACTTTGAGATAGAAAATATTTCTTGAAATTGTTAAATAAAAACATAATAAAAGAAAAAACAAGAAACTAAGAGATCTTAATTGAGGTTGATTAATATTATTTTTATTTTTTTATAGTACTTATAGCATATGTATATATACATATATATATATAGTAGATACATAGTATATATACACATATATATATATACTAGATGAAGTTAGTGTCATTAGACATGGAAAAGTTGTTTACAAATAGTAAACTAGAGGTCTTTTTGCAAGTTATGCAATGCTTTATGTTGTTAACAAATTCTTTGATTTTCAAAAATGAAAAGGCTTCTTTAGCTCTTAGTCATATACCTAAGCTTCCATATTATATAGATATATCAAACAAAATATTAACTTACAATAGATTAAGATGTTTTTTTTAATATATAAGAAATGTATTGTAAACACTTAAATTATTATAAAACCTAGTTATCTAAAATTAAATATTTTATGTATAAATATAAAAATTATAAAATTATAAAAAAAATTATCAATTTATTTTTTTATAAAAAAAGTTTTATACTTAATTAATTGTTGATATTAACATGATGTTTTTATTTTGAAGAAATTGAGATAAAAAATTATGTTTTTAAATATTAATAATGTGAGCTAAAAAAAACCTCAAGTAGTTGGAAGTTTATTCTAGACTACAATAAGTGAGTTAACTATGAAAAGTTTAGAAATGTTAGCACTTATTTAGATCTTAATCAATTCATGTTTAACCTCCTTAAATCAATAAGTCTGAGATAAACAACCCCCCACTAATTGGAAGTTTATCTTAGTTCACAAGTGAATTAACTATGGAAGTTTAATAAGTTGTAGCTCTTATTTAAATCCTAATTAAATCACTTTAATCTTCTTAAAACACCCAAGTTATTAAGCATAACCTCTACCATTAACTCACACTCACAATAGCAAATTACTCACAAAATGCATGCCCAAAGAAATTCCTTCTCTTAACTCTTAATTTAATTTTTTGTTTGTTTATTGTATTTTATTTAATCAAAATTCTTCCGTTCACAAAAACTCATCCAAGTATAAGTTATCATAAGTTATCTGTGAATTACTTCTCATCCATGAACACCTTTTCATCCATACTTAAAATTCATAATGTGCTCAGTGGCCCCAATATCGGCAATCCATTCATTATTAAATTCAGTAGAAGATACTGCGTGTGCATTTGTGGCCTCTGCTGAATAAGCAGAAAAAGAAAAAGATGTTGCTGTATAGGCACGAGTAATTTCCTTCGATAATTCAGAAAATTGTCCATAAGACGCAGCTATGCAAGATCGATTGACAGTATTCTGTATTTTGTTTCAGAAGAATTCACTGTGTAAGCTCCATTGATTTGATTCGAAAAATCAGAAAAAGGTCCTTTAGATGTCGCGGTATATGCTCGAGTGATTGTATTCGAATAATCAGTATATTGCTGGTCTTCTTCTTGTGAATCAAATTGATCCGGAATAGTTTGATGATCATGATATGACGAAATTTCTTAAGAAAAATGATTTCCTGGATAATTCTCGCCATTGCTTGAATAAAATGTGTTTGGATTAAAAGATTCCGTAAAGGATTCTTGAGCGGGTAAACAGTTTGGGCGATGAGAAGATGCAATATGGGGACACTCTTGCCACCAGTGCCCAATTAAACCACAGTTATTGCAGTACGTACGACGCTTAAGTTCAACAAACTCGTGATGACGCATATTGTGCTGTCGATTTATTAGAAAAGAACGATCTCCATACAATATTTTCGGACGAATAGATGGCGGAGGATAACGCGGAGAAAGAAAACGCTGCGGATTAAGAGGAGGATAATTGTATGACAAACGAGGGGCAAAAGATGAAGACGTACCTTGAAAATTTCCTCGCGATAAGTTGCTCCCACTGAATGATGTAAGTCGATAAGTCACAGTTGTCATTCGTCATTCATATTTGCATATAACTCTTTAGTTTCAGAACTGATTTCTTGATGAATTCTTCGTGATATTTGGGTTTCTTCCTTCCTTGTACGTAATTTGAGATTTGCAAGAGTTCTCTCTCACTCTGTGGTAAAGGCATCGAAACCAGCAGGTAAATTCGCCGTTAATTTTGATATCATGAATTTATGTGAAAATGAGTGATCGCCTAGTTAGCGTAGTTCACTAATGATCAACTCAAGTTCCGCAATAAGGCTTGACATAGATTGTCCATGCTGAATTTTAGCATCGGAAAACTGCCTCTGCAATTCATGAATATCTCCACCACTTTTATGTTTGTGTTCTTCAAGTTAACGATCCCACACTTCTTGTGCGGTATTACAACTTGTTAAAGGTGGTAAGAATTTTCTTTCAATCGAGGAGGTAAGAAGAGTGTAGGCATTGTAATCTCGTTCCCTCCCCTCGTCATCAGAATCATATGCAGTTGTTCCGTCAATGTGACGTATGTAGCCTTTTGCTCGGAAGAGATTTCTCAATTCCCACTTCCACATGTGAAACTATGATCCGCTAAATCGCTGGATCCCAATCAAGTCCTTCTAAATCGACATGTTGGAAAATATATATATATATATATATATATATATATTCGTAAGAAAAGAATTAAGGGACAAGGTAAAACGATAGTAACGTGAAATTTGAAAATCAAGAATGTAAGAAATTCTCTGTATATTCTTATTGCTCTGTCTGTAAACCGTAAACTCTATGTAATGATCTAATCACTCTGTGTGTAAACAATAATCGCAGTAATATTTGACGTATTTGCTAAATCTAAGAGCAATTGTAGATCACACTTTCTTTAATCTCCGTGTTTATTTTCTAATAACACTTGTCTCTAATGACCTGAACAAGAACAAGAAATCAGAACAAGAAGATAGGCTAAACTTGTACAACTAGAAGACAAAAGGGCCCGTAACCTTTTGGTTTATAAGACATAGCACCTCTTATGAAAAACACAACACAACTTTATTTCAAGAAACCTCTTACATTATATATTCCCTTCGAACTCTCTACACCTATGACTATCATTATCACATGGGAAGTAATTCTTTCTAACTAATTACTCAACAGTTACTAAAAGAATGAGGTGCAGCCAGAGCTCAATGGGTAACATCAGCGACGGACGTGATCGACAGCGCCAGAGACCGAGTTGAAAAGTATATCCCCGATTCGCGACGAGGCCAACACGTTCAGATTGTATCTGAATCGTTATCGCAACTCCGGGCCATTCCAGAGTTCAAAACCCTCGAACCATTGTGCAAGCTGTGACCACACTTGCAACACATGATCTACTGCTTCGAAATGCTTTCTTTTGATAGGAATCTCTCGTAGAACTCTCCCAATCTCAAAAAACTGAAGAATCTGATGAATGACGTGAACATTCACGATCTGCGCATCTTAGGAATTTTCAAGACGTGAATTTTCAACAGAACAAATGCGTTTGTTTATTCAATTTAATCTAGATTTTTCATTTTTTCATTTTTATTGCTTTTATTCATGCTTTCGAAAAAGATCACATATCTTATTGAAAGATCAATCGATGGAGCTGTTTATGAGATGCTCGTCAAGAATCCCATGTCCACTGTCCAACAGAAAAATTGAAGCTCGGAACGTGGACGCGTCAAATTGGACATCTTCAACTCGTGGACCTGCCATATCCATGTCTGCTAGAGCTTTGCACACATTCTGTGTCCATGTTGCTTCAAAATTGAACCGGTATCAGCTTTCAAAACCCACCCTAGCAACAGCATGCAGAAATTGAACTGGGCGTGGTGGTGCCAGAGGAACCTCCTCGAAAACCATATCCTTCGAACGTGCTGCTACTGGACTCAGGTACCCCTGCACCCCGATGGGGAGCACCCTGGGTCTACCAAAGGCGAATCGAGCATGCAGTCCGTAAAATGTTTCGTAGGCTAAGTGGGTTAGATAATCCTCGTCACGAACGGATTCCTCGTCTTCGCCATACTGGTAAGTGGAGGCTTTCATGTCACGTGCCGTATTTAGCAAAGCGGAGTCCAGTTGCGCAAATGCGTCAGGACGTCCCGCACTGCCACTTCGCAGTCCAACCATACATGTCAAACGCAAAACCTGCCGTCATGACTGATCCATCTTCTGGTCTTTACTTTCCCTTTAATTCGACCGATTTTACTATTCTCTCGTTGTGGATGATGGTCGTCCATTCATGTTCTAAACAGTTGTCCTGTTTCGATTGCCGTCTCTGAGCCCCGCTTGAGGCATTTCGATCTGCGCATCTTAGGGTACTGCCCGTGGCATGTTTACTGCAGACTTGCTCTGTTTCTTACTGCACCGATGTACAATTTTACGCTAGTCTTCCTGCCGCTGAAAGCCATTGCTGGCCTGACATGAACCTCTTTATTGTGGTCCCAGGTCGATTGAGATTGACTCGGATTGAAAATGGGCTTTCTACTGCCAATGACCCGTCACTGAGACTGCACACTGCGTCGGTGATTAGAAACCATGTTGCGCTTGTGTTGGGTCCATGACTACGAAGTTGTGGCCAAAAATTCGATTATTCTGCAAGTGGAGTTGCACCCAGCCCGCCCTACGTTATTCTCTGATGCATATCTTGTCGTGTCACAATTCTCTGTTCTCCAGCATAAATTCTTCAGTCAACACACTGGTGAAGTATTATCCAGGATATCGACAGCATCGAAGACATCTTATCGGGTACTTATCATATCGCAATGGATCAAGAACTACATGCCGTTCTTGATCTGTTTTGTCCTCAAGAAGTCTCGTGCACAGTCTCGTGCACAGTTTAATTGGAATCGGTAAACCCCACAAACCGTGATGAGCGACGGTCTCAGGCTAAATCTTTGCTCAGACCTGGCATTCATTTTATCGAAAATGTTACGATCACGTCTAATGTAACCATGTGTCAAGCCACTAAGCGGCATTAAGTTAGACTTGAATCAATTCTACGCCACCGTACAACAACAGATCTTCACTCTACTCAAGCAGTAATTCCACTTTAAAATGATTTCGTCGTGCATCTGCACTCTTGCGGTTTCATTATTTCGCTGCAACGGTTTCGATTGCTTGTGTGATCGACATCAGCCGATCACAGACTTAAAAATCAGCGTTTCCACAGTCGGTGGTCTTCGCCCGATACATCACCTCTTTCAAAAACTACGTTAGCCCCAAAACCGAATGACGTCGTAGATTTAAACGCGATTATCCACTGCAGGATACGATTGACAAAAGGACCCATCAGATCAGAGATATCAAAATTATCCGCCCTGTCGATGAACAGTTAGTGGATTGTCCAAACCAAGCAACTGCAACAAAGTGGACCGAGTGAACGAATGAATGAATGAATCCATAACATTCGGGGAGGACGTGAACTCCGATGCCGTGAGACGAACCGCTTGCCGTGAGATGAACTGCGAGGGATGCAACTGATTGGCTCCTACATTCACTGACCTAAACGCGTTCGCGAACTGGACCGCAGACAACGGGGTCCCGATGGGGTTTGGGCGTGGGCGGGGGTGAAAGCGAGATGGAGACCGGGGGAAGATGGCAGGGAAACGGAGGGGATGATGGATGAGAAGGGAATGAGCGGCGGGGATGGTGCGGACAGAAATGGTACCAGTCCCCACTGTGGAGCTCTTTCCTTGCAATCTCCAACGCGGGCAACCGGCAACCAGCATTCTTTCCCTTTCGCCGCCTTTTTCACGTCTAGCGCTCTCTCCACTGACTCGACGAGCGAGTCGCTGAGTTACAGCGACCCCTCGATCAGGTCGCTTCGATCCCCACACCTATTATATCACAGCCGCGCAATCGCCGGAGAAACCCTGTCAGGGACCCAACTGCTTCGTGACTGTCAGGTATCTCGGACTGAACTTGTTCCGCGTCTAAGCAAAGTATTTGAGTTCTCCCGAGAGGTTGTCGTCGATACGTTGCAACTCGAGTTCTCTCGATTGGTTGTGTACGATGGAATGATGCATACTGCCGCTGTTTCTTTTTTGGAGTTGTAGACTTTGAGTAAGAGCAAGAAAGAAAAAGAGATCGAGAGAGAGAGAGGGTGTGTGTGTGTGTGTGTGTGTTTGTGCGGGTGTGTGTTCATGTATGTGCGCGAAAGTTCACATGTCGATCCATTTCTAGTGCAGTTCAGTTACATTCTGCGTCGATGGAGAACGGTTACGTGATTGCGTTGTGATAGCGTGGTCAGCTACTGGTGTGCGAGGATTATGGCAAGGTAGCGGAGCTCTTTGCTGGTTAAATTCCATATGAGGTCTCCAGGTCTTGAAGGTTCTTCTGTGTGCTTGACGGAACCCTACCACCTAGGTTTAATTCGTCTTCACGACGGGAAGGCGGGTCCATCAGCTGCTAACCACCAGTGGCTGGCTCACCACTTGATAGCCACCAATTTAATGTGGACCTCATGACTTGGTCTCTTCGATCGTGTTTCTGACTGATGCTGTAGACAGCGGCTGCGACAGAGGTGTGGCATGTAGCAGCATTGTTCACGGTAATCGCCATAGTTACGTGCACCTGCTGACTGTATTAAGGAAGGCGAGTCGGTTGATTGTTCTTGGTCTGCTGTTGCGCTGATCTGTCGATGTGGCGGCCATGCAGAAATTTAGTCAAGCGGAAATGAGGATCAGGAAGCAGAGTCGAAATGTAATTGTGAAGATTCCGTCCCTGGATACAACCGTGGAGGGTTTAGTGAGAGAACCATGGGGTAGCTACGGGGTCCAGGAATCCTTTGACAGGGATGGAGCGGTGGAGCCATTTTTTAGGCAAAGTCCATCATCGGATGGAACGGTCCATGTAGGGGCGGTGTCTGAGGCTGCTAAATCTGAACTGCTTCAAGAAGAAATTTCCAGAAATGTCGATGAGGGCGAGGAGTCCAAGGTACCGGGGGATCAACTAAGGCAGGCGCAAGAAAGAGAGCACTTGATGCGGCATTATGTGAGACGAGGAAACCGAAAGGAAGGCGACGATCCTTCTTTGGGGCCAATTGAATCTTTCACTGTACCTGCCGCAGCTTCAGGCATAACTCAACTCGGGGTACTTTATCAAAGTCCATTTTCCTTCCACCAAGAATGTCGTAGACATTGCAAAGCACGAAATCTGCATGGTATCCTGGTTGAGGATTATGTCTGCAATATCTAGTTGTCAGCAGCTGTTAGCACAATCCTGAATTTTCTTAAAGCCATGAAGCCCTAAATTTTGCTGCGAAAGCTTGGATGGCTTATGTCAAGTCATTATTTGCCTCTGGAATTTGGTATGTCAATTCGGTGTTAATCAATCCGCTTCGATTTACATGCTGTGCGTTGCCGCAACCATTATGGAATATCTTTACGCTCTCTCCCTTGTAAGTTGTCATGCATAGCGAGTGATGTAGTCTGAGTCTGTGAGGTAGTCTGTGAGGTAGTTGGGATTGAGGCATTTGTGTATGTGGTCCTGTGCAGATTAATGATATAAATGGAATAAAGTTACGCATAAATTCCGGGGAGTCCACCCCTGTGCGTGCTAAGGCCGATTTCCAAGTCAGCAAAACCGACGAAAAGCAGGATCACCCGTCCAATCAACCGGAAGGATCGTTGCTGCATACTTTGTATCTTCAGCTTGTGGCTGCGGGTGGGGAAGGGATCACATTGAGGGAGCTTTTCGGCAGTTTCAAAAAGCAGACATGTTTGCCAAGCCTCGCAAGCGACTGGAAGGAGCAAGTTAGGGCTCTCTTAAAGAGCAATCCGCACTTTGATGAAGTAAAGGGACGCTACCTTCTATGCGAACAGCTTGTGCAGCCGAAGCGCAGATCACTTCCATTCCACATCCCTTCCAGAAGCGCCAATCCTAGAGCATCTTCCAATGGCCATGTCCCATCGCCACGGTCAACCTTTCAATCGCCCGATGCAGCTGCAGTCCAATCTGCCCTTTCTATGGACAAAAATGAAGGTATTAGATTTCTCGTATCTCTACATCTCTAAAGAGGTTGTAGAACAGATGAACTGACGATAACCCAAGTGACAAAACTATTTCTAGTAATATGTTTGGCTAAGGCTTGTAGCTATGTCCATTTTTTTATTTTTATTCAGGAGTCCAAACAAGAAGAAAAGCTTACGAGAAGACGATCGAAGCGGTACTTACGGAGTCGGCTTTGGAGTTCCAAAAGATGCAGCAAGATTTGGTCAATCCGCCTCTAGTGGGTATTACAGAGTCCAGAGCGTCCAATAGCATCGTAGCAGAGCCCGAAGAATCACCGGCTACACATACACCGTTTCCGACATCTAACAAGAAAAGAAAGCCGTCTTCAAATAATGAGGAGGATGGCATCAGAAACATTCGCGGTTCTTTGAAGGCGATGCAGGCGAAGATTTTGGCAGAGACGGGCGTGCAGAGTGGCGTTCCGTGTGCCAGGAAGGATGATGCGCGCAAGTGGCGGTGTCCGTTGATGGCTATGGAGGGGCATACTCTCTGCGAGCATCACAAGAGCTTACAAGAGAGGAAAAATGCGAAAAAGCAACATGAGAACCTAAACAGGCGTTTGGGGGAGAAAGAATTTTTAAGATCTGCGCAAGGCTCATCGACTGGTGAACTAGGATTATACCAGGGCGAAAAGGAGGACATTGTTACAGGGCCTGGCGGTGCTCATGCTATTCAAGCCCTTATCGACCTGCGTTGTCAAGTGACTGAGAAGGAATCTCTCAAACCAGCTTCGACTGTGGACTTGTTAAAGACCCAGGACGATATTGCTGCCACAAATTTAGTCGAAGAGGAAGAGGAGCCAGAGGTATTTAACGACGATCTTTCCAAGGCTGCAACAAAAACTCTGAAGTTGGCATCCGCTTTAAATGGGACGTCAGGGATGAGCATGACCCCTTCACACGACGAGAAGGGAGTGCTCAGAAAAGCTCCTTATGAACGAGCCATTCCAGGCTCCTTGAAAGCATTGCAAGCCAGGATTGTTGCGGAGAGTGGCGGCCCACACAGCGGCGTGCGATGTGCGAGGAAGGACGGCAGCGTTGACTCCGCCAGGAAGTGGCAATGCCCGTTGAACGCCATGCACGGCCATACGCTATGCGAGCATCACATGTTCCTGAAAGAGAGGAAGAGAGCTCGATATGCAGCCGCGAAAAAGAAGAGACAGCAGGGGGGAGACCCAGTTACCAGCAAAAGCAGCACCACGCAGGTCGATGAAGTGATGGCTTCGTCACCAGCAGGAGATGAGAGACATAGCACTGGGGAAGCAGAAAGAGATTCTATGAGAGATCCTAAGCTCTCCAGGAGTGCGGTGACAAATGAGAAGAAGCTACAAGATGATGAGTCTTCAGACACAGATGAGGGTGTCATTCCAAATCCCAAGGAAGCAAAGGAATCAAGTTCTAAGACGGAGAAGCCGCTGTTACAAGTGTTCAGAAATGCGCCTAAAAAGAGGTATATTGCAGCTAAGAAAACCGCATCAAGTTTCGTCCTTGTAAAAGAGAAACACATTGAGAGAGAGAGCTCGTCCTTGATACGGTCTCCCACGATTCCTCCACTTCCTGCCACGTATGGCATCCGGAGAAAAGCAGTGAAGAACAGGTCTTTGTTGTCATTGTAACATGCGAGCCTATCCGTAGACTAACCATCGACATCATAGAGTAGAAGATGTGCATACAGTTAGTTTAGAAACATACAGAATCATCATCCTTATGAAAAATTTCAGTTCATATTTCTCGGTGATGAGAGCAGTTTTGGTGATAGGATATGATAGCAGCCTAGTGAGCTCTATGCCCTCCTCATGAGTACAATGTCAACCCCACGTAATGGTGTCACACGATTTTGGAACCTGTCTGATTCGATCAGCGACCAGATACTTACTTACCCAGCTCTGAACTATGTGCTCTCCTTCAGTCTTGTGATTGATTCTGCGAGAATCGGATCAATTGAAACATGAATTTGCTATAGATAACATCACCCAACTGCTGAGAAGTGAGGATCAGTTCACGTTCGTATTATTTGGCTGCTGGATCATCCCCAGTTGTATAGAACATAGAATTGCTGCAAATATCAGCATCTCACAAGTTTAGTTTAGGTGTTGCTTCCTGCAGTTACTGGGTCAGGTCTTCAATCCATCGAACTGCTAGAACCATGGAGTTCCTGCTATGAGACTCCCATTGTGGACAACGCTTCATCAATTAATGAAATTTGTTTGCAACTTCTTGTTATTCAAGTAAATAATATGTGAAAAAAACAAACAATCAAAACAAACAAACTGTTATTTAAACAATCTGTTATTTACTACTTGTTAAAGGTGTTTTTAAATCATCGGGTTATTAAATCAAGGTGTTTTTTAATCATCGTGTTATTAAATCATTGTGTTACGCAATCAAGGTGTTTTTAAATCATCGTGTTATTCAAATAAATAATGTCCTGATAAAAACAATGTACTTCTCTCTCACATGTTTTAAACTAAATTTGGATGGGACACTTCACACACCTCTTCAAAACCCTAAAACCCAAACCCTAAATCCAAGAAGCAATGTTCACGCTTCACCCAATTGCAATTCAATCTGATCGAGGCAGAAGACAAATGTGATCGATCGATCAGTGATGGAATCGATGAGCGCTTCGTCGAGGAATCCAAAGCTCATGCGAGACGTGCGCCGAAGAGAAAAAATCATAGTCACGGTGAAACATCGACGTGTGTGTGTATATGTGTGTAAGTTGGGATGCCAAATCCATCCGTCATGCGAGCTCTGATCCTGCCTCCGATCGGAGACCGGATTCGTTGCTGCTTCTGGAGGTTTCGTCAAATCCCAACCCCACAAATGTAGCGACTACGTGATTTCGGGTAGTGCAGGCGTCTTCGCGCAACCCATCGTCGTCGCAAGTTGCTGTAGCCTGGCGGAGATTCGAAGAATCCAGGATCGCGTTGAACTGAAGGCCTTCTCGCTTTCTGCGCTTTATTATAAATTGGGTTTTTTTCTTTTTTCTATTTTCTTTCTTCTGCTGTGATTTCTTCTTCTTTCCTTCTTCATCTGCTTCTGGTAGCATTATCTTTCGACTTCGCCGACCTTCGGCTCCGCCGCAAACTGAGGAGGAATTAGTTCCATCGGCACGCCATTCCAAGTCAGAAGGGGAACTGGGGCTGGTCCGCTTTGGGAACGGGACTCGAACGGCGGAGACGGATCAGCAGCGTTGCGTTGAAGCTCAGCATTCCGAGTTAGGGTTTCAGGATTCCTCAACCCACTCCTCCTCATCTCGCCTCTCTCGCTTCTTTCATCTGCTTCTTTGCCAGTGTGTGTTTCCAACAGCGAGCACCTTCCATCACAGCGTTGCGAAGCAGAGATCAGGAGGTAGAGGAATTTGTCGCCATGGGAGGAGGTGCAGGACGGGGGAAGTTCAAGGGGAAGCCTACGGGGCGGCGCCACTTCTCCACGCCGGAGGAGATGGGTACGTGTATTTGGGCGTGATGTGGTCCTTCTGGGATTGCCATGTCTTACTTGGGTATTTTTTGTTTCATCTTCTTGTTTTTATTTCTTTGTCGTAAATGTTTCGCACTGACGTGAGACATTGGTCTTTTCTGTTGGGTCCACAGCTGCCGGCACCTCCACCAAGCCCCGAAGCTTCAAGAGAGTAAGTAGCGCGACACCTACTTGACGAGCTTGTAGAGTGTGCGCGATTTATCTTGAACAGAATGCATTTTAGATCTGCTGAAAAGATCCATGTGTGACGTGTTTCGTAGTTTTTTTGTGCGTGTGATTTTGTGTGCAATTTTTTGAAGTTGTACGTGGATTGGGATTTTCGTAGAATCCCGAGGAAGAGGAAGAGGAGCCAGAGGAGGAGTCTGAGGAGGAGTCCGAGGAGGAGGAGGAGGAGTCCACGGTTTGTGAACCAACTTCTTGTGTTCTTGAATGCATCTCATGGGACCCTACTTTGGGAGTATGAAAGTAATTACGCTTGGAGATCAGGCATTCTTCAGCGTCAAAATACTTTGGTTATCATAGAAATCTGAAATAACCTGGGTTTCTTTGTGTCACCAGAGGTCGTTGGGTTTTCATAATCATGTATCTTTTTCCTAAACTGAGTCTGAATACTTTTTGCAGAAGAAGAAGGGTACTGCAGGAGTGATTGAAATTCAGAACCCGAACTTGGTTAAACCGAAGAATGTGAAAGCAAAGGATGTGGACGTAAGCATATGCTTCCATCACATACAATGTAGTCACATGAGCTAGTATTTTTTTTATGAGCGAAATCAAGTCTGTTTCTCTTGGGTTCCTTGGTAAGGCTGTCTTTTTTTATCAGGACTCCGAAACGCTTGTATGTGTCATCAGATTTTTGTAGTGAATAATAAGGGTGTCTTAATTGTGCAGATGGACAGGCCTGCCGAGCTCTCTAGACGAGAGAGGTAATTGGATGATCACCCTAGCTCTCATTGTCCCTTGTCTCCGTCCCTGTTGTTCGTGAAGGTTGTTGGTAGTTTCATAGAGCCAACTGAAGAGTCAATTTTTTTATTTTCACTCTATAGTTTGGCCTTATTTCATCCTGCCACTATTGCAAATGGCTGGAGAATGGAATGGGTAACTACAAGCATTTGTGTCAGTACCGCATTAGCGATTAAATCCTTGAGTTGTTGACTATCTGGCAGAGAGGAGCTCGAGAAGCAAAGGGCTCATGAAAGGTATTTGAAATTGCAAGAGCAAGGCAAGACTGAACAATCGAAGAAAGATCTAGGTGAGTCTTTTGTAACAGGGCACGATTTGTTTGCAAGACGAATTATTCGAGTGCTGACAACATCGATTTGAATATTGAAGTATTAATACATTTGATTTTAATCCTGTGATATTGCAGAGCGTTTGCAGCTGATTAGGCAGCAACGATTGGAGGCTGCGAAGAAGCGAGAAGAGGAGAAAGCTGGTACTTGTTTTGACTTACCTTATCCATTCGCGCAACTCATGCTTTTTTGTGGCTACGCTCGACTACCTGAGGTGGATTCTAGCAGTATTGAAATATAATGTATCCTGCCTCGCAATGTTAGTCATGTTTGTAATTGATGCAATTCATGGATGACTAAGACGTGTATTGGTGCATGCTGGTTGGTTGTGTATTCATTGATTTTCGTGGTGTTGATGGTATCCAGCAAAGGACGCTAAGAAGGCCGAAGCCCGCAGATAGGGAGCCACAAAATTCATCTGCACGAATGTACTTAGTAGTTTTTGAATATCCAGGAGGAAATTTATAAAAACTTCCCGTGTTTTTGTTTAGATGAAGGTGTTTCAGTTCCTTGCGATTCCTCTGGTGGCTTTCACCACGAATTGTTACTAACCTTCTACGTTTTTGCAGTGCAGAGTCCTCTCTTACATGGTTACTGTGTAGTCGTACAATTCTTATAATACATTTATTGTAGTCGTTTGCCCAGGCAAGATTTGTGACTTGGTTTTGGTCTTGCACACGAAATATCTGTCTGGAGATTTGGTGCCTGCTGCTGTTCATTCTGCAAACATGCCGCAGCGAACGACAAATCTCAATTTAAAGGTTTTGGTTACCTTAAAAATGGATTATGTGATAAATCCATGGTGCCCAGAACAATGAGACGCGCAAACATCGAATAACTTAAGACATTCTTTCCGGTTAACATGCGAGGATCAAGGAAATTGCAGTTGTCAAGCATGTGCTTCACTTCAGAAACGTTGGTTTTTATTCTCAAGTCATTGCTCGGGAAGGTGATCAACATTTCTTCTGCCAGCATGTGGCAACGCTCTCCTAAAAATATCTCTTGGAAGGGACAACAAAGGAAGGTCAGCAACGAATGTCAGGCCAAGCAGTTGTTTATATCGCTTCCTCCTTTCTACGTTGAGGATATAGTTCCTCTAATAAAAATATCTCTTGGAAGGGACAACAAAGGAAGGTCAGCAACGAATGTCAGGCCAAGCAGTGGTTTATATCGCTTCCTCCTTTCTACGTTGAGGATATAGTTCCTCTAATAATATCTCCAAGTTCATCCAGCAACCCTTGTTGATTGATTCATACTCAAATAGACTGATCTAACAACCTGGGAGTTTCTATGAAAATGGGAGTTTTGTTTCTTTCGGGGATAAAATACAATAGACCGGCAAGTCCTGTATCCAATTTCAACGTGGGAAAAGTTCGTGGATTCATTCTAATCTATAGACACAGTGATGATTCGACCCTAAAAGTGATGTCTCTGATGACGATGTTTTTATGAATAGTGAAGGCACAAACAGGATTTAAGCTGATTGAATATGTGGTGAATTGTTTCCTTAACAATTTTACATTCAGGTTGTTTTGCTGTTGGTTGATTTGTTTCTTTTAAGTCAGCCTTCAAAACTGTCGAAAGTTTACAACTTTCGACTTGTTAATTCTCTCTAATCTCAAATTCTGTCTTGATTATTAAAAAAACATCAACAATACTGATATCTCAACAAGAAGATTGAACGATTTGTGATACGATTCCAAGTAAGAATGTCTGAGATTGTCTTCGTTTTATTAACTTCCTACAAGTAACATTTTAGCAATTTTACTGAGCGATACTTCCTACGATGAAATTTTGATTCATGAAATAAATCAAATTATAATATCAAATACTACACCTGCAGAGATTTAAATACGAGTGTATTCCATTGCTAACAATCATATCTCAATCAATGATTTGTTTCTTTGTATAGTGAATTTTGTGAACTCATTTCAAAACAGTCCTACAACCAGCATTTCTTCAAAAGCACATGAGTTTGTTTTGTTTTGTTTTGGAAATTTTCTATGATTGAATCTCACACGTTTTAACAATTTAATTGTTTTATTTTTGTCAATAAAAATCTACAATCACTTGATCTCATATATATGGAGAATGTTAAATAGATTTAGGCTTTTACTAAATTGACCTACCCATGATGCAAATCTTGTAGTGGAGAAATAAATCTAGAGGTCATTTATTTCTATGATGATTAGAGTGGGTGTATTGATTCAATAATAGCCTTTGTCTCTCATATTGAAAATTGTTAAATTGACCCAAGAATTTACTAAATAAATCCACCCATCATCATTGGTTAAGGATCCAATCATTTATTCATTGATTTTTGACCAATGTGGATGTAGTAGTGGTAATTTTTTTGATGATGGTAAGGATGGGTGGGTAATTTAATAAATACTTGGGTCAATTAAACAATTCCCTGTATATATGTGTGTATATATATATATATATATATATAATATTAAGTAATAAAATTTCCTCTAATACAATGATTGAAATCTGCAACAACAGCGACACCATCCATCCATGACAGCGCCATCCTCGCCCTTGAGAGAACACTCCCCTTCCGAAGCTCACGACGCGTGTCAGCCCCGATTGGCCACCTGACAAGGTGAACACTTGGCAGTCCAAGAGAGACCCTGCTACTTGTCGCCGTAGCAGTTGCTACGCCACATCAGCAGATTACACTTGGCAGTCCAATGTCAGCACGGGAGGAGGAACTTCAGCGATGAGGTCAGTCCACTCCCCGATCTCGCCGTCGCACGGGACCTCCATATAACTCCCTCCCCAATTCACTTTGCTTCTCGTATCAATTTCTGCTACATCTGCTACACTGCTTAACACTGTTGAATAGATATTTTGCAGCTTCAGTTCGAGAGCGAGAGAGAGACAGGGATCGTAGTTAGATATCAAGGGAGGTAGTGATATTGAGGGTTGCAAGTTCCCATCTTGACTGTGGTTTGATTGTTTGTGCGGTGCGTTGAAGAAGGGGTAACAGCGATCATGGACACCCTCGGAACGGGGCGAGATTCTTCCAACACAGTGCGGGACGGTGACGTTGTGACCAATCCTCGCTACATTGGGCAATCGGCGGGAATCCACTCGACGGGGTACGACGGGCGAGGGCCAGCTGAGGAATCGCGCTACGGCGCCACGCCCCTGGGTGCGGGGAATGTCCGCAATGACCAGGTTTCAGGTGCTCAGCCGAGTTACACTGGCCAGACGACTTCCGGGGCGTGGCCTACTCCCGTTGCGCCCCCTAATGCGCATCGATCTGATCTTGTAGGCCAAGGGAGGGGTCTAGACAGTCACTCCAGGGAGGGGATGGTGGAGAATAGAATGCACAACGTGGGCACGGGACCTAACTCGGGAACGAACCAAGATGCCTATGGAGCTTCCGGGTATGGTGAATCTAGGAAGGAGGGAGTAATGCACAGAATGGCAGACGCAATGGGCATGGGACCTCATGCAGGAGCCCATCACACTTCCGGCGCTCAGCATGCAGTTTTGGGTTATAATCCGAATGAGAATCACCCGAGCTCGAATATGGGATTCGGTGGGGGGTTAGGGCATCCGACTAACACGACCGCAGGGATCGATCAGTCTCATGGATTGGGCTCCCACGCCGTTACTGGTACGCACGATGGACAACAACTCGGCAACGGGCAGGTTCCGCCTGGTATACTAGGGGAGCGTCGGGTTGAGCCTGGGTACGACGCTTCACAAGGTCAGATGGGAAGCAATTATCACGGTGTGCAAGGCACTGAGGGTAATTACGATGCGAGCAACACGGGTGCGTATCCTGAATCTCACACAGGGAGGATAAACCCTAACTCCACCATGGGAGACACGGGATTGGATCGGTACACTCCTGCGTACTCTCATCACGACATGACTGATACAGGGTTGGGCCATCACTCGCATCCCGGATCCAACACTGGCTACTCGTATGAAACCAAGACAGACTCTGTCGATGGGTACCCTCAGAATACCATGGGATCAGGCACAGGACTGGGTCACCAAAGCGACATCAGCGGCCATCCCCATGAAACATTGGGGAACAGAATGGAGGAGACGGTGGGAGGTCGCCGCCACGATTACAATGAAAGGGTGGGGAAGAGCTTCGAGGACACAAGCTATGATGAAAAGCTCAGTGGCTTCGATGGAACCAGAACGAACGCCGGAGCTGGTGAACATGACGTTACGAAGACTGGAGCAGTTGGCTACGGTGCGACAAGGACCGGAGATGCATCCGTATACGATGCCACGAATGTGGATCACGCGCACCGACATGCGGATGCCGACGTCTCTGGTACCCAGCAGCCCGAGAAGAAGGGTTTCGTGGGCAAGATCAAGGACATGATCCATCACTAGAGAACGAGTTCCGATCCTGAAAGTCGATGATTCCATTAACAAAGTTTCTGTCCATTTTAGTTGAAAGCCTGCTGTAAATCCTACATGTGGAGAATTCAATGTAAATAACAGAGTCGTCAAGGTACATTGATGAGCGACGAAGTTCGCTGTGCAGCATGAAGTCTCCGAAGTCCAAGTCCATTGCGGTGTACAAATAATCTGCCGATGAGAAATTTTCGCCGCGGTCTCGTTGTCGACTAGGACAATTTTAGGGTAGAAACGGTGAACAAGGTGTGAATTTGGAGGCATGGTCAGTATCAAAATTGCTTTAAGATGTCGGATTGTCACGCCGACACTTGGCGTCATTACCACCGCACTCGTTTGTAGTGGTGTGGGCCTGTAATACCGAGGAACCCGACATGCTTTGTCTTCGAACCTTTTACAAATATAACATTATTCCTGGAAATCCCAATCCTCTTCTATTTTTGAGAAATTTTAGTTGTATTTTCAACTAAATAAGGCTCAAAAACTGTGTTTTTTCTGAAAAATACAACTATTGGTGTCTTGGTTGTGGTTTTTAAAGTTTTCGAGCTAGTTTTGTTTCATGTCTTACCAACATTTCTTCTGTTCTTCTTTTCATGATTTGTGCATCGTTGTGAATATAAAAACAAATAACAAAAATAACAATAAAAAATTGGAAACTTTAACATGATCCAACATTTTCCTGGTCATTCTTGTTTTCACTCACAATTCTTATAAAAATTGACAGCCTTTTTCAAATTTTACAAACACATGTATGCCTCTGTCGAACGTTAAAAATCCAATGCACGATTTTAAGAAAAGTCAACCGATAAAACTATTCAAACTTAGTGCCGTGGAAGTTTTTAATTAGAGTTTTTAAAATTGTAACTTTCGATTGATTCTTTTCTATCATACATGATAAAGATAGTATCAATGTTATATAAATAATTAAAACATACATTTCACTTTTATGATAGTAAAAGACAAATCATAATTTAGTTTTGATAGGAATGACAAAATTTGTCATTTTAAGTTGTATTGTAGATGAAGTGTGTTGTCTACCATAAAAGTTAATTATGAACGTCTATTATTGATTGATGTACATTAAATTTTACGGAATAACAAAAGTAACAATACAACATTCAGAACAAGTACCAAAAGTTCAGCAATTTTTTCATTTTTTACAAAAGTAACTCATTGCTTGATTCATTGTTGGAAGATCAAACATATGAGTTAGCAATTCTTTGACATCTTATCACTATGGATAGAAATCGCCAATACATAGTTTTCCATCTCAGTCAGTGTAAACTACTGATTGATATAATTGAAATGCCTACAACAACAAAACTCAAGAAATAGAGTTGTTGCTGTTCAACCTGTTTTCTCATATTAGAATCCAGTTACTCAATTCAACAACTGCACAGGAAAACTTAGTGGAAGAAAAGCACTGAAACACTGTCGCAAGTTCTAGCTGCATAAAAAGATCTAACAATGCTGTTCTGCAGAATGAATTCCAGCAATGGACATCTTAACTTCTGTTTCTAGCGAGCTGGATGGACTTCTTCAAAGCGTTGCAGAAGGCTCTGCACTTTGTCATTAAATCGACGATTTTTTGTTGCTTGGAAGTTGGGCTTCTACGGCGTTCACAATCACATCGATGTGCACCAAGTCTTGAATAACTCCGTTAATACGAATGTACCCGACTCGCACCCCTCCTTTCACTCTGCCCACCTTTGGCATTCAGGTGTTCAACAATGTGAACAAAATTTAGGAAGAAAGCTTTGGGAACACAGTCATTGGCAAGTCTGAAAACTGAGAATCGGTACAATCACGAGTTCATATGCACTGGCTTTTCAGACGTTACGTTCATGGGTCAAATATGACAAATTTAGAATTAGAGCTGTGATAATCGAGATGAATTGTTTTATCTGAATCGACATTTAAGAAGATAGCACCATGAAGTATGGTTACCTTCACGGGTGTTTGAAGCGGCAAATTGGCGTTGGCTACGCTGTTTCCCCACTGTCGCCTCAGATGCAGCCCGTGGGCTCATGCCTCCGGCACAAAATTAAGTTCGAAGTAGTGTGCAGTATCAGGGTTTGGGGGAGTGTTAAGCATCAGAATTCAGAGTTGCTCTTGGCCTATATGACTCGGATGAAGAATGGCTACATTGCATGCCGAAAGCGGCGGGTATTGACAAATTCTGAAGGGTTGAACGCCACTTCGAAGCCTCTTTGTTTGTAGATTGCAGTGTGTCCCTGCCAATCCAATGGCACTTAGGGCGGCAAACAGAAATCACTTAAGCAATGACTGTCGGCTGCATTTTCGACCATCTCAATCATAAAGCTTCCTCAGATATTCTATACAATACCCACGCAAGCCGAGCGCCATGGACTTACTTCTAGAGCGCCTCGTTGTATACAACATCCGTTGCGCATCAACCCAGCATCTCCCTTTGCATTTCTCTTCAAAAGAACTCTCTTATTTGCAAATGCTGTGGCATCTGTCCACGCAAAGAAAACTCTTTTGTGTCAGTTCTAATCCCCAAGGTTTGCTCAACCGTGAGAGTCTCTGCTTCAATTATCCGCGCACTAGATTGTCTCACAACTAGTCTTTTGAAGTAGCATAGTTGGAATGCCAACTTTCAACGTGAGCTTGAGTGAAGGCATTCCGCCGACTTCCAATGAGTTTAGATTTTCTGCTTCAATAATTTTGTGGAACCCATTGTAAATCTCATCTACTAGTCCTGATGTACCGGCATTGTGAGGAACTACTATGATTGCTGAGCAATGTACAAACTCTTAATTAGTAATTGTTTCAAGTCTTTCCTTGCCCACACACAAAAAAGTCACTGTGCTGCAAGTGTGCGATTTCTTAGTTTTACTAAATTAAACATTGTAATCCACATGTTTTTGCTTACTGGAAGAAGATTCACATATTGACAAACGTTAGATTCTTAGACAAACAATGAAACAACTTGCCTTGTGCTACACTTTTGTGAAAATAAAATTTATGGTTTGATTTAAATTATAAGAGTTGAATAACTGCTTTGATTAAGAGTTTCTTGTAATTGGTGATGAGAAGTGGAAAAAAATATAACAAGAAATAAAGTCAAATAATACAAAATAAGTGAAAAATTTTCAATCAAGGAATTACACACTACAAAACTAGTCCAATCTCTTCATTGGATTTTCATCTAATAAAACATAAAAGATAAAAGATAAAAGTTTTTTTTCTATATATGTATATATATATATATATATATATATATATATATATATTCAATGATATAAAAACCATGTAAATCTAAGTTACTATGAATAAATTGTGAATGTTTAAAAATATAAAATAAATAATAAAAAAATTAAGTAAAAAAGATTTACTTCAATATTAAATTGCTTAAGAGATCAAGGATTCAAGCATCACCAAGGCTCACAAGCAATGTCTAAATATGTCTTGGAGAGGCAACAAGGCCTTAGTCTTCTTTTCTACCTACATCGAAGGTGCTACAACCTACATGGGACTTATGCGCCTTTCTTCTTACAAGTGTTGTAGTAGTTGCTACTCCTCATATTTTTTATAAGTAAAAATATATTTTTATATATTTTTTTTATTTCACCATGGTATTTAAAAACATCCAAATACTTTAGGAATCTTCTACGGCCATAATATCTTCCTAAAGTGATAAAAGTCATGTTTACTAAAGTCTTAAAATTGCTCTAAAAATTCCTAAAAACTACTTTGAATCATTTTAATGTGTCAATAATGTTAATTTCAAATCAAAGCAATTATTTCTATCTTGGTGATTTTTTATAGTAGTAAAATTGATTTAAATCAACTAAAAATCTATTTCTTATACAAATAATTAAAAGACATGAGATTCTTTCTCATGCTTTTCTTAACTATTAACTATTATTTACAATATTTTGTAGGTAATATATATAGATAGAAGGTCAATGTAGACATTGGTCTCAATAACTAAAAATACTAAACCAAGTAATATATTTGCTTCTAAGTCTTGTTAAGATTCTATTTTAATATTTTTTTCTTTATAAGACTTAAAATTTTAATAAGCTCAATTTTATGGTACAAAATAGAAAATTCTTATTACAAAGCCAAAGATAGATTTTTTATTAAATATTATTATTTAAAAATAGATATTTCATTTTTCTAAATATGAATATTTTTGACTATGGAATAGATTTTCTTAAGAACAATATATTTTTTTTTATATTTAATAATATTCAACTAGAAAGTTAAAAATTTATAATGGACCAAGTATATGAAATGTGCAATATTCAAGAATATGGTCCATTATCTTTTAAGCCAAAGATAGACAAGTGTAAAATTAAAATTAAAATCTATCAATATACAATATATAAAAATTAAAATCTATCAATATACAATATATAAAAATTAAAATCTATCAATATACAATATATAAAAATTAAAATCTATCAATGTATACAATATGATAATAGATAGAAGTGTGGGTGGAGTAATATTGAACAAAACAATTAGTAATAGATGGTAGATGAAAAAAAGATGTTTAGTTACAATATAGATTTTATTTTTGTATGATAGATAATATTACTTGCCACAAGTCTTGATAGATTTTAATTTTAATTTTACACTTGTCTATCTTTGGCTTAAAAGATAATGGACCATATTCTTGAATATTGCACATCTCATATACATATCTCATATTGCATATCTTAATAATTATTTTCTTTTATGTAATTAAATCTTTTGAATGAATGTATATTACTAAATTTCTAATTATATATATATATATATATATATATAAAATAGAATTTTAAAATATATTTATTTATTATTAAAATTTTTAAATTATTAATATTAAAGAAAATATAAAAAAATATGTGTTTTTAAAAAATAATCTTTAATCTTTATATTTATACTATAAATATTATTAAATTATTATACTTGTGAATTTTTTATTCTTTTAGTTTTTTGATATATTCATAAATTATGTTGTACTTCTTACTTTTTAATCTATATATATATATATATATATATATAATTTCTAAATATTTAGTAGAAGATAAAAAAAAAGAAGTAAGTATTAACATCTTGAAGTATGGTTTTGGTGCAATATTAAATTAGTTGGTGTTAAGAATAAAATTAAATAGTTTATATATTTCAGTACACCTAAATGAATTACTTAGAAATAAATGAGTGTACCAAAAATAAAGATATAGAATTAATCCTATGGAATTTTGAAAAACATTACAACAATATTTAGTCTGGAAACCTATTTAGTAATGCAATTTGAATACGGATCAATGAATTTATAGGAGTTTGTAAAATAAAAGAGAAAAAGGGAACTAAACTTTAGTTATTTTTACTTTGTGGCTTCTAAAGTTTTGAATAATGATTTTTTAAATGAAATAATATATTATAATAAATTTAAAAATTATGCTAAACATTAATCTTTTGAGTATGTTAAATGAGTAAATTAAAAATAAAAAAAATGAAAACTTTCTAAATTATTTACCAAAATATGTATTGTATCTAAACTATTTATCATCTTCAATCTATAATTTAGAAATTATCTTCTTGCTTTGCACTATCTTTTGATGCCAATGCTTTATAAAAATTAAATAAGGATTATTTCTAACATTGCTCTAACACTATTTTTTAAAGTAGTATTTTTAGCTCACATTCCTCCTTAATTTGGTTATTATCTAAGATCAATAACAGTTCAAAGATGAGATTTGTAAATCAAAATTCCTAAAGGCTTGAAAACAACAAAAAAACCTCAAGAACAAATATTGTGCTTACCACAATAGACTTTTTACAATTATGAGTTTTTATAATTTAAAAGATAATACAATTTCATTTTTTCATTTTTTTTCTTTGTTTGAAATGTTTTCAATACTATAAAAGAGAAAAGACAAAAACTTGTTATTACAATGATTATATATTGGTTGTTATATATGAATGCAATATATATTATCAGCATGAAATTAAATTTGATATTAAAAGAATGATCAAATGTAGCATTAGTTACCAGCTTTCTTTATGAATTGAATATATTAGATTTTATGATTGATTTGCATATAAGATCTTATAGTTTTTCAGATTATTTATTATTTCATTTATATAAAAAATAATTTAAAAAGAAAAGACATCGATGTTTTGCATGATATTTTAATTTAAGTGTAAAAATATCTGAATGGTTTTTTTAAATTATAGATACAAAAATAAAAAAATATACTAAAATTATATTAAGAATTTGATTGTGTCAATTTTGAATATGCTACGCATTATAGATCTTGTTAGATCCACAAAATCTTAAATCAATTTATCTAGTAAAAATATTTCTTTCATACTAGCTCTTTTTATATTTATTAAAAGTGTAGTTTTTTAATATTTTGAATTTCTCCAATTTTTAATTATATTAATAAAATATCTTTTAAATTATTTTGGCTACACCTTTGTTTTTAGCAAATAATTTTTTTCCTAAGATAATTGGATCTTCTCTATTTATTTATTTATTTATTTACATGAATGTACTTTGAGAGATATTTTAGTTAAAATAAACAAATAGAAATCCATATTATTGTAAACCTACATTACAAAAACTAGGCCTTACTAATAAGAAACTAAAATAATTTATACTTTCTAGACCACAAGGACTTGAATTTTGTATAGGTATTCATAGAGATGAATTTTTGAAGTTATTTATTTAAGATAAAATATTAGTTTTAATTTTAAAATCAAAAGCTTATTTTCTTATAAATAATCTTTTATATTTTTTTTTCTTTCAAAAGAATGAATAAACATAAAATAAAATGAAATAAATTTAAACAACACAAATAATAAAAAAAATCTTTTAAGAGTAAAAAAATGCAAAGAAACAACTATATACATATATATATATATATTTAGGATTTTTACAAATAATACTTCTTCTGTAAAACAAAATCTAAATAATAGATAATAATTAAGTCTTTTAAAAAATAAAAAAGATAAACTCTAATTAATATGTAAAAACTAATAATCTTAGCACTCATATTCTATTTAAAGATAACATTATTGATTTTTGATTAATCTCTTGAATTTCTATAAAAACTACCTTTTGAGATGGAGTATATGTAGATTCCAAAGAATGACATAGTGTATGCCATACAAAAACAAAATATGTGCTATTTCATCTTTAATTCTAACAATTCCTAAATTGAATCTTGTAAGTATGGAGCAATTTTAACCAATCAAAGGATTTAAACATTGCAACTTCGTATTTTTTCTTCTAAATACAATGAATACCTTATTATAAATTCTTTTCTTTTTTTTGCTTTTGAAAAAAATCTTTTAATAAGTTAGTCTTTTCCACTTAGAAAAAAAACCTCTTCATAGAAAAAAAAACACTAAATTGAATTAACACTTTTGTAGTCGATTGTGCTATTAGATACAATGGAAGGGATTGTTTACTGCGGGCAGCCCAAAGATAAGAGAAAAATTTTCATTCCACCACCAAGCATTTATATACTGACCGGGATTACCGACTACGGGCAGTCACGCATACCGCCACGATCTCGATCCTAATCAAGCTGCCACCCGCACCCAGCCCGCGCCTCACCCGTGACGTTCCCGCGACGTTTTCAAGAGGAAAACGCCTCCAACCATTGTGGAATCGGCTCTGGTGTGAACCGGAATTTGGCTCCATGATTACCCGCAGCGGTGTGAAGCGGCGATAACAGCACAAAATATGTCCGGAATCTGTTGTAGTCGTCTCCACTGTTCTGGGCGGAATTGTCGTCGTCTATAGTCTCGCAATCCAGAGCTATAAAGCTCCAGGATTAGCCAGAATGTCGATTTGACGATGTGCTTCGTCGCCGCCCGAAGAGGTCAACATTCTTAATACATTTTGTTGTTGTTGTGTTGTTACGCTTGTTGTTTTGGTGAGAATGTCGTCAATGCAATCGTCAATTTCAATGATCTGTGCGTATTCGTTTCGGATTTTATTTTTATTTTTTTAGGCATCCAAGTTTGCTGTATCGCCAAGGGTGAGCTTGTTGCCTGAATGCCTGAACCGAATGCATTGGTTACAATTTCTTTATATGTGTAGGCTGAGCGGTTTTTGTTCGTCATAGTTACAGTACGAAACGTGACTTTTTCTACTATTTAGCAGATATTTAGGAGATTTCATGCTGTAATACAGTTTTTATGGCTTTCTTTACTGGGCCAAAGAGTTCCTTCGGACGTAGAATTCCGTATTGTCTCCTCGTTTTGACTGTCGTGGTGACGTTTGGGTGTTAAAAAGTTCAACAAGGCGCACTCTTTGTTCCACGATAATGTGCGCAATTCTCGAGTGCGAGACTGATATTGGAGTTGAATTGCAGGAGGTTTATCAGGGTTTTAGCCATGGCGGAATCGTTATCTCTGTTTGCCGTATTTCCCGTGGCCCTCGCTCCACCGTCCTCTTCGTCTCGGACACAATGTAGTATGCAATGGCACAGAAGGATTTCCGTTGGAGTCGGTTCTATGCATCGGACGTTTGGGGTCGGAAAGAGTCGTGTGGTCGCATCGAAGTCCGCCCTATGGCGTGGTGTATGTCGCGCACTGGATCAAAATTCTGAAGGCCAGGCAACCACTCCCGCTCCACTTGAGGTATATAGCGTTCCAATGCCATTTCTGTTTCGTACAAGATCCTCGTGAATAAATTCCAATTGTTTCTCCTGATTCGCTATTCCACTCTTTCGCGTTTATTTGAGGAATAACTTGGAACCAATTTGTACAGATTGTTTATGACCCTCAATCCCGATTTGAAGAACTTGCTATGGAGCTCAACAGCTCTTCTTCAACTCCAGTCTCCAACCTCACTTTGTTTTCACCTTCCAAGGTTTGCAATATGCTCTTGTCTCGGCCCAGTACGTTTATTTTTACCGTGACGTGTTCATTGTTGTGTTTGCTTCCAGTCAACTGAACATATTCGTTGCAGTCGTAATCAACTAGTTAAAGCACTGCCAGATTGTTTTGCCAGTTGTACCGTGAGAAGACAGGCACCAAGAAACAAACTTGCTATGGACACCTCATGATATGCTTCACGAGGGTATCCCTTGGTTTGATGTTTAGATTCTTCAATTTCTAGGGTTTTGAGTAATTAGTACGCATTTGCATACGTGACGATGTTGCTTCGGATAGTGTGCACAAGCCTGATCGTGGAATGACGTCTCACAGGTGAACGTATTTCTAAGGATCACTGGCAAACGACCTGATGGTTATCATAATCTAGCCTCCCTCTTTCATGTAGGTACTCACTGCTAGTCTCTTGTATGCAACATTCAATCTTTATTGGTTGTGTTTGCCATCGAGTAATGTTTAGAAAGCTAAATGGCTTGTTGAAATGAAGAGAAATCTAACATGCCTTACAAAAGTTTTAATTCCGAAGGTTTACAGTGAGTAATTTTTGTCCTCGAAACAGCAAATTGTAGGAAAGGTCTGACGATGAGATGCTTGCCGGTACTGGCTTGGCTTTTTGTGTTTACACTGGAGCATTACTGATTAACAAATGCAGGTAATCAGCTTAGGAGACATTCTCAAATTTTCAGTTTCTCCCTCCACCACCAAAGATTCTTTAACCACCAACACCGCTGGCGTACCTCTGGATGGAAAGAACTTGGTATAATTTGAACCCAAATCGACCCTTTTCAAGCACGTACCAAGAGCCGTCGCTTGTGCACTTACGCTTCCGTCAGCTACCATCTGATCTTTACTATGATTATTGTTGAGCTGACGTTCATAACATAAGAATTTTCAATCGAATGCACTCATGACCTACACCATTCTGCTCATTATACAGATCATCAAAGCGTTTAATTTGTACCGTGAGAAGACAGGCACCAAGAAATATTTTTGGGTGAGAAAATCTTCGCTTCATGCCCTAGGGTAATTGAGTCTGCCGTTTATTGCTTAAGCACTCTTGAGGTTTACACGATCTGAACAGAGGAACGAGTCTGATCAAGAACTACCTTTTCGTTCATGGATTACACAGTTTGACATGCACCACTGTCTGCAAATGAAACATAGCAACTTTTAAAGATTTCTTGTAAAATTTCCCTAGTTTGACAAGCTTCTTAGCTGCGTGGTCGGTCCTTTCACACGCATAGAATTATTGCCTTAATTTTCGAGTGTGTGCAGGAACCGTGGGCTTGGCTTGAGCTGAATGCTGTTAAACCAGTCTTTAGCTGGTAATGACGGTTGTTTGTGTCGCAGGTGCACCTGGATAAGCGAGTGCCAACAGGGGCAGGTCTTGGTGGGGGCAGTGGAAATGCAGCTACGGCTCTTTGGGCGGCTAATCAGATGAATGGAAATATTGCAAGCGAGAAAGAGTTGCAAGAATGGTCAGGAGAGTTAGGAGCTGACTGCCCATTTTTCTTCTCTCAAGGAGCAGCCTACTGCACCAACAAAGGAGAGGTCTGGGCTTGTCTGGTCCTATGGCATACTCGGTGTCAAGTTGCTTTTGTTTAAGATGCTCTCTCCAAGTTCTCTAGGTAAAATTTAAAATCCAAAACATGATAAGTTCCTCTAATAGTTTTTGAATAGGTAGTATATCGCTCACGAGGAGTGGTCCATACAGGTGGTGCGAAACATTCCTCCGCCCATTCCCTTAAGCACTCCTATGGTGCTCATCAAGCCTCCAGAAGAATGTTCGACAGTTGAAGTTTATAAGGTACTTTTTCTAGAATGTTTAGAGCTATCGGCATGAACTGGTAGTTTGCCTTTTACACAAATTCCAATAAAAAAAAAAAGGAGTCTTTCCACTACATATTTTTGTTGATGCAGATCTATTATAGATAGTACGGGAAATTTTGGATCGTACAGGAGCTCTGTAAATCTGGTATATTTTGTGTGTTGTTCTGCAGCGATTCAGCATGGACAATACGAGCGACGTAAATCCTGAGGACCTGTTGAGAGAGATTGTGGAGAAAGGGATTTCACAGGCAGTGTGTATCAACGACCTTGGTATACCTGCTCTCTTTGGAATTTGCAACCATTGTTTTACAACTACCTGGTTCCTTCTGGCTATTTTGCCTTACGTATATGTCTGGATTCTGCATCTTTCGTTTCCTGTTTGAAGTGCTGTCATACTTCTTCCCTGCAATGTGTGCGCAAGCCCTTACCAAGTTCGGATTTCTTTCCATTAAACTGTCTTTTGTTGCTGCTGATTTTTGTACGTTGTCCACAATGCAGAGCCACCTGCCTTTGCTGTTCTACCAACATTGAAAGCATTGAAAGAGAGAATTCTTGCTGCCAGTCGTGGCCGTTACCAAGCTGTGTTCATGTCTGGAAGGTATGTTCTGGGTCTGGTTTTCTTATTAAAACTATCCCGCACCAAATTCTTTTCAACTAGTTTTTATTGCTCACTAATGTCTATGTTGTCTTTTTTTTTTCTGCCTTCCTCGTCACATCTGGTGTTCCCTCTTTAGTATGCTACTTGTTTCAGTGCAACTATGATGTCCACTTGTACGGTCATGAACGTAAATTAAGCTGACCATTTCTTGTTAACTTCCATCTTTTCTTAGGAAGTGTTTAAATGAGACAGATTGATTATTCTTGCAAAGTCGCTCTTTCTGATATCAAGTTGCTGGTTGGAATATATAGTGGAAGCACCATCGTGGGTGTTGGCGACTCTCAACCACCTCAGTTTATTTATGATGAGGACAAGTATAGTGACGTTTTCGTCTCAGGTCGGCGCTCGTTTCATTTAACAATTGCATTATAACTTATGCCGCAGTTTTCATGACTGAGAAACCTAGGTCACTCTCTGTTCTGTCATGAGCATCGTATTCAGATAATTTTATAGCCTTTCACCCCACAGAAAACACAATGACACTTGAAATTCTTCTGTAATGAAAGCTGAATCCTTGTGTTCGAGTTAAAAACATTTTCCTTTATATTGACTTCTGGTGCATTTTACAGAGGCTTACTTTTTGACACGGAAGGAAAATGAATGGTACCAGCAACCCACATCTGAGCAGATTGAAGATCTTGCGGAGTACGAAGACAAGACTTGTTCCATTGAAAAACGGACATGTGAATAACCTCGACCAGTTTAGTGGGCCTTGCGGTAGGACGTTGCCTTCTTTGTAAACTAGCAGTTTAATGAGAGTTCTAGACACATTGTATCAGCTCATCTCAGAAACTACCTAAAGGAATTTCACGATAATTCCTAGAGTGGCTCCGTAGAAGTGGCGTCAGTTCTGGAACCTTGAGCAGCACGTGACCATTTGCAATCCAATTCACAGACAGAGCAAAGTTGTCTTCATCGTCGATGATGCTTTCAATTGTGGCTGATGGGGCGCACAGGTAGAGCATGGAATGGGTTTCAACAGTGGCTGCCTGCGATCATTGGTCGGCGTCAGAATTTGAATGAATTGTGGGACCTGCACGTACCAAGTAGAATTCAATAGATTCCAAACATTATTTTTCATCTTTTATGGTCTCTGACTACCCGTCAACTGCCACGATTCTTTCCTAAGCCCACTAGGCAATAACGAATGAGTGGGTAGAAACGTGTGAGACTTGCGAACCATCAGGTCACAATGGGAAGAGTCTCCGCGTGCCGTAGATTATGTGTTGATCGTATCCCACTTTTCAAGCTGTACGCAGTTGAAATTGTAATATCCTTTCAGAACACTGTGGCCTTGGTGTAGTACTGCGTTAATTCTATCATGTAGTTAATGCGAGTTTCTACATGTATTGTATGCTTCTGTTTTAATTGTATTCTTATACCAATTACTTGTACAGCATGGTGGATGCGGTACTCCCTGATGAACCTTGCTGACACACAGTTTCATCAACCGTGACACTAATCTCCAACAGTGAGCTGTGAAGTCATCCATCCATTGTACTGACATGAAGAATGTATTTTGGTGCCATGGGGAGACTCACAAAGTGTGGGTGACGCGCTTGTTTGACGACTACAGTACCATTCTCATATCATTCGAATATGGTAAGAAACATCCCTGCATCAGTGCTCAATGCGTCGATGCTCCTGGTGTTGCGCCTGATGCCTTCGACGACTTCATCCGAAATCACGAGAGATCGTTGAATGCTAGCACAGTTGCGAGAATTAGATTCGCTGCATCGGCGACGGTTCTCCGAACCAGTCTAAAGAAGCAACTTCTTAGCTTGGAGCCCATCGATAGATTCCAAAAGGACTGTCAGTTTGCGCCACTCGTTTAGAGGTTGCGACTTCACTGTCGTCGAAACTCGAAAGAATTGCTCCGACGATTCTTGTGTTTCTCTGATTGCTGAAATATTTGCGTCGATAGGAAAGCTGTCTAACGACATGTACGAAGGCTGAGAGCGGTAGAGAAGAGGTTTGTGGATGCGAACGCGTGAATTAGTGTGCGGTTTGAGCTAAATTGAATAACCTCGTGTCCAGTGAAGTGTTTGAGTGAAGTCCATGTCGAGTTGCAATAGCCGAAACAGCGCTTGAAACAGGAAGATCTCCAGAGTATCTGCTGAGACCTTGCGATGGGTTGGTTTCTTCCAAGTCATATAGATCAGGGCTTCATCTTTGGTTTACTTGGGTTGTGGCACATGTACAACAATTTGAACAACTATGTGAAGTCGCCATCCGAGTTCCGGAGCTCGACGTGGTTCCCTGCGCTGGGACGTGCAAAGCCGGTAAAACCCCTGGAGCTATGGATCCTCCTCACCATCGTAGTGATTTTCATTTTCAAGCAGCTCTCGCACGCAACCTCGGACTTCGCGGCTGGATCCATCAAGATGGAACACCTTGGCCGCTTCCAGCACGTCATCTTCGCATTGTTTTTTCTAGTCTACGCGATTGTGGGGCTCGTGGACGAGTACACGACGTTGCTGCGCTTGCCCGTCGGAGCGCTCCACTGCACCTTCGCCACCGGCTTTCTTATGGAGCTTGTGGTGTTCCACTTTGGCCACCACCCGGGGGATGATGTTAAGAGCTTCGTGCATATGCTGATGCAGATTATTCTTGTGTTCCTGGTGCTGCTCATGTTCCTTGAGGTTTTATACCCACACAGTATCCTCGTTTCCGTTGGACGGTGCATTATGCTTATCTTAAAGGGCACCTGGTTTGCCCAGATAGGGTTTCTAATCCACTACCCATCTTTTGTTCCGTTGGGGTGTCACACGACGGAGGAAATGGAGTATCCTATCTGTCCCACGCATGAAGTCCTGATGCGGGCGAAGTCACTGCAAGTGCTCATCTTCAACTGGCAGTTGCTGTGGATTCTGGTGTGCACTTTTATTGGGTATGCAATTCTCGTGAGTGGGACTAAGAAAAGAGGGTCGTTTACCCCAAGATTGAAGCCAATTCTGCCTAGTATATTGACGCCGGGCCACCGAAGGGCTCTCACTCCTGGATCCAAACAGAAGGAAGAGTCGGTGTACTTCCAGGTTCCTGATGTGGTAGATGGGAGTGACAGCGGAGAATCGGATGGCGAGGAGTCAGCCACCGCTAGCGCCGTCAAGTCTTTGTCTAGGCGCGCGAGTAGACGCAATGCGATTGTGCAACCAAGAGTCGTCGAATCGTCATCACACACTCCACAAGAGCAATTGTGATATAAGCAGATGTATGTAACTACGGAATTTTACAGGTGTGAAACAATATTTTTCGGTGGTGGATCGGCTTCCGAGTGAAACAATTCATTGTACATTGTGATCAGTGCTTATCGGAAGTGAAAATACTAAACATGTGTAAGAATAGCATCTGGTCTGGCCACTGTCATTTAGGTCCCGGGCAATATCTAAGAGGTGGGGGTAAACAGAGCCCTAATAAGGATTGACAGGCAGGATATGACTATCAAAGGTCAAGTCTAAGGCCATCACGTACCCGGCACATGGGACCCAGCGGATCTAAAGACGATCTGCGTGTTCTGCACAGTCAAGCACCTGACGGAAATTCTTCACTTAGCCATGTGACGTGTGATGAGCGCAAAATGCAGCAAGAATATAGTTTAGGTACTGGCATTCGACTGTAATAAGTGGTATTTGTTTAGCTCAGGGTGCCTGGAAGTGCAACACCTTATCCCTACGTCTATTTCAAAAAACCAACACTTTCGGCATCCACATAATGCAAAGCAGTGTTGAACAAATGTATTGCAAAAACTGTACAAGCACATCGAGTAGTCATCTATGATAAAACAGCTCTGTACTGCAACAGCAATACAAGTTATCTAATCAACTGTAGACGCTCTGCATAAACCCATAATTTAATAAATCATTTCTATACTTCAGTGCTTGAATGGGTTTGAAAAATACCAAGTTCATATAGTTCTTTGTGTCGTGCCGTGTACAAATATACACACCTAAATCTTTCCTCTGTCTTGCCTTGCTCTTGCAAATTCAAGTAGCGTTCATGGGCCCTTTGCTTCTCAAGCTCCTCCCTGCATAATAATCGACAAGTTCAACAATTTAGGGTTTCATACTTTATTAGCATCAATAAACCGGCAGCTGTAAACCCAACACAAGGACCAACATCGCGCATCACTATGAAAATTCCTGCATGAGAACAACCAATTGTAACGAGGAAATGGAGACAGCCCAGACGAATCATGTCCAGACCACGCACCCATCTATTCTGTGGGTGGTGTAGTGGCGTTGCCCCGTGGGCTTGCCCTTGAACTTGCCGCTTCCGGGCACAAGGCAACGTCGAAGAGCAGGCTATGGCGATGGCTGTGGCGATTGAGGAGTACATCTGGGACTGCGAAACCCTAAAATTGGAACGGAATCCCCGAAATAAAAACCACACCACGCTCCCTTGCCATGTTCCCCCAAGGGAACGGAAGAGTTCCCGAAGTTCGAATGGTGGTGGATTGCTTCACAAAGCATCCCACAAACAAGTCTTTAGGTAGCTACAGCAAAACAACAATTGTTATTTTCTAATCAAGACAATAAATATCATTCCATTTTTCTACTGCATTTATTTTAAAATAAAAAATAAAAAATAAATGGGAAAGAAAAAATTGCTTCACAAGGTTGTATCAAAATGAAAATCTCAATCTATTATATGAGATTGTTCAAGGGAGAAACAGCCAAGACAAAATGGCATTCTCATTGGCTGCATGCACCCCTCTTTGTTTTCTATAAAAAAGTTAATGTTGTTTGGAGTTCACAGGACCTTTTACAATTGATTGTATCAAAAGATTACATTGTCTTGAATTGTTGGTGATAGCATTGGAGTGACACGAAGGAGATTAAGTAAGGTAAAAGATAAAATGATAAAATGATTATCTATAGGTAGTGATGAGTCTTTGCTAAAATTATATCATTGCGGTATGGCAAATCACAATATTGTAGTATTTTTGTAATATAAAATAAAATTTAAATTAAAGTTGCAATTTGAACAAAATTAACTAATTTTTTGCATATTATCTATGACAATGGTATGGATTTAGCTATCCCACTTTGTATCTAAAACTTCCATTGTGTATTTTATTTCTTACTTTTCTAAAAAAAAATTATAAAAAATATTTTCTGGCTCACAAATATATCTTTAGAAAATTCTTCATTTTAGTCACATTTTTTATAACAACAATATAGGTTTATCTAGTATAATATAAAAACTATAAAATTATAAAAAATATAAAAAAATAAAGGTAAAAAAAAACTATAAAATTATTAAATAATAAAATGATTTTATTTCTTAAAAATTCTATCTCTTATAAAACTTTAAAACTATAAAATTATAAATATAAAACTACAAGAATATTACAAATATTACAAATACTATCTATAGTGATCAAATACAAACTATAAATACTACAAATACTATCTTTAATTACTATAAATATTATATTTACCATCTTTTGTAATAAGGCTTTAGACCTTTTGCAGCATTCATGTATGATTATTTGTAGGTGGAAGCATATGCGAGTAGCTTTCACTAGATCTTAGATTTAGCAAGACCAATCTTAAATCCAATTATTTAATTTTCAATCTTTGATAGAAATTAAAAGAATTGAAACAAACTACAAAATTAATTGGTTATTGGTCTGAGTCAAGAGAAGTCTGTAAAGCTCTACCTTGTGAGCTTCCCAACATAACTTTGTTGCAAAAACTTCTTGTTGCAAACTTATTAATAAGTTTTTGAATTTTCAAAGTAATTACCAAAAAAATAGAATAAAAAATGATTCATCATCAAGCAAGTAAACAAAGGTGTTTGAATAATATAATTCAACAGTTGTCAATACCTCCAAGAGAAAATGTCTAAAAATCAACAATAACTGTCATTCTTTCAAATTTTGTATTGTAATCAATCATTCACAATCTTTAGTTTGACATCTTAAGTAAAAATAATTGCAATTCAACTTTTGATCTATTTAAATTGGCCATGTTTATAAAATGTACACCTCGATAGATGCTCTAGAAAGTCCAAACCGCAATGCATGAAAAAACCACTAGAATCTAGGTACAAGAAGACTTCAATTTATAGTCTCAGTATGTGCTTTGAATCTTTTGGAAAGTTAAGGAATAATTTTATTAGAATAACTATAAAATGAAGAAGTAGATTGTTGGCTTCAAATCCAAACTCCAATTCACTCAGTGTTTATTTGAAAAAAATGAAATACATACAAAATTTATAGAAATAGTAGCATTTGTTGGTTGTCATCAAAAACTTTTGTATAATTTTCTACAATGTAATCCAAAGCATAATAAAAATTTTATCTCTTTAAATTCTTAGTTACTACCAAATTTTTTAATACAATCTTGAAATAGCAAGCTTCTTATTTTTTACACAAAAATAAATGTTTGTAATAACATCTCTTTTTTAACAATAATATGATTGCATCACCTAATAGTTGCAATCATCTTATAATTTTGATCAACAAATATATTCTAATTTTAATGATCAAATTAAAAAAACATCAAATATGATAGGCTTCACAAAGTTTGCATTCAAGGTAATAAATGAACATAAATAAATAATTATAATAAATGATTGTAATAAATGAATCAACCATTGATATATCTGCAAAGATATTACTTTATAGTTGGAAAATTTAAAGATGTTGAATTAAGATGGATTCAACCATATATGCTTAATATGAAATCACATACTTCATGACATCCTAAAAGTGCTCAAATTTTAAAATCATCATATCCTTTTAAATCACTTGCTTTGCAAAAGGACACTCACTCTGCAAAAGAAGCAAATATGATCACTTTGAAATATAAAGCTTGATAGTATGAATATTGAAAAAAAAACTCATAAAAATTGATGGATATCAAAACATTGAAAGCCCAATCATAACCAAAACAAAAATAAATTGGAACCCTAATGTCAAGTAGATATTGCAAAAGAAAAAAATGGAAGCCAAATAAGTCCATGAAGGTATTAACTTTGCAATGAAAAGCTTATCAAAATATTGAAAGCTGGATCAAAGACAATACAAAAATGAATTGAAACCAAATGAGTACATGAAGATATTTACTTTGCAATGTAAAGCTTAGTAGTATGAAGATTGAAAAAAACTCATAAAAATTGATGTGCATCAAAATATTCAAAGCCCGATCAAAGCCAATATAGAAATGAATTGGAATCCCAATGCTTAGTAGAGCATGCAAAAAAAAAAAAAAGTAATAACCAGAAAAACCACTAGATTACAATTTGTCCTATGATTTGATGAAATGATCTAATTAATTATAAAATGGTCTATGAATTCTAGAGAACATGAACTTTTTTTTGATGAAAATAAAGATTGATCCAAGCATTAGTCATCACATTGTGCTTTTTCACTAAGTCTATGGCTTGAAACTATTATTTAAGAGGATTGGATATATATGCAAATTGAATTATTGAATTTCATACAAGAGCAATACTTATCTGCATATTGATTTTTGTTGGATTTAGTAGTGCAAGAACATGATAATAACTATTATATTCTTAAGCAAAACTACTCAAAATTTTCTTACTCACATTCTCTTCCTTCCTTCCATCACTTTTCATCACCTACAAATCACTACCTCACGACCAACCTGGATAGAAATGTGGTTGTCTACTATCATTTCTGTATGCTTTCATATGAGTCCATTCATTTGCAAATCAAAAGACAATGACAAGTGAATATTTATTTGTGTATTAATTTTTGTGAGAATTCTTTCTTGTTTTTATTTGTTGATTGGCTTCATAACTAATATTAGAAAACTTGAGCATGTAGAATCAAGTCCCTCGGCAACCACTTCAGCACCAAAAATGCTATTTACTAATCAAATATGTTTAAAATTTTAAATCAACTAGGTTCCAATATAAGGAGATAAGTGAGGTAGCCTTTATAGTGTTTTATTATTGGTTGTGTATCAATTTGTAATAATTGAATAAATGATATTTTTGTTATTAGCAACTACCTTAATATATTATGCTAAATACATCCAATGATGGTAGCTAATGTATTGATGCTTCATAAACCAATCGATGAAATTAGCTAATGACTTTGTTTTTGATGGTTTTTATATGTTTTGAATGCTTTATGTATAGCAAAAAAAATGGTTGGCAAGTATTACAACGTGGTTACATAGAATAAGCAAGTGGATGTAGGATTCTAATGAGCACTAAATTAGAGAAGAAATTTAAAAATTTGATTTTTACTTCAAGTCTTTTCATCAAAAAGTTCATATCATGTGTCTAATAACAATGTTAATAATCAACTAACTAGTCGTAAGTATATGTCATATAGTGCTTATCAAATGACCACATGCATGATATTTTAATTTGATGTAGTTTGTGAAGGTCAATAAGTTTGGATTGCATCATGAGCTTGAAAGGAAGAATGGATCAAGATGAAGAAGATATCCTAATTGAGCATTACCATTGCTAATGCCATTGCCATTATTTTCTTGTTGCATTTTTCAATAGGCAACGATCATATTTTGTTTTCTTTTGAGGCACTTAAGAAAAAAGAAATTGTAGAGAGCTTTTCACATACTTTAAGTATTCAAGGAATTATCAAGATTTCACGGTCGTTTAGCCTAACATTTGAGTAATAATTTTGTTTTGTCAATATTTTGCATAGAATTATTCCATAGAGTTTATTTCAAAAGATAAAATTTGCACTTGATGTAATGTCTTCTTTAAAATTTTATATTTGGACTTAACAATGCAATACTTAAAGCAAATAACAAAATCAATATTGAATTTTAGAATGTCAATGATGATACATTAATGTTGTTGTTTGAAATTTTATCAAACACATTAGAATTTGCATAGAAGTGAGTGCCATTCTACAAGAAGTTAAACTTACAACATTGCACACTTGAAATATACTTTGCTCTAAAAATCAAGTTTTATAAATTACCTTTAAAAGAAACACAAATTAGAATATGTGGCAAATATAATTCATTACGTCTTAGACTTTTTCAATATGTGATTATCACTGCTTATGGAAATTTTTCTTAGAAGAAGATATAATAACACAAATATACACAATTATCTAAATAAGAAGTGTTAGATAGAAGATAAATAATGATAAATTTAATAATAACTTGTTTAAAAGCATTTTAAAAGCTTTATAGATATAGATTTGATTTTAGATATGTTTGGAGTTGATTAGTAGGTTAGAAACTTTACTAAGAACTTTAAAACATGTCGCACATGTTGGCAACTTGTTATACAAATTCACCATGTGGCGCACATATATGAAACTTGTTTTACAAATTAGACATAAGAAATGGTAATCACATATGTTAGAGGTCCTATAGAATGTTGTCATGAAACTTCTAGTTAGATAGTATATATAGAGGCAAGAGTGAAGCCAACTTTATTCTTATCAATGCCTTTCTTGTCTATAGTCTTGTTGCAAGAGTCTTTAATTTTTTTTTTATCTTTGGCAATAGCCCTTCTAGTTTAATATCATACCATCTTTGAGTGATCATCTATCCTATTAAATTACAATAATATGTTTTATAAATGTTATTTAAATATATATATAAAAGAATCAATTTAAAAATCAAATATATTTACATAAAATATATTAATATAAATTCAACTTATTTAGGATAATAATATATTAAAATAATAAAAATAAAAATTGATAAAATTTATTATTTTAAATAATATTAAAATCTACTTAAAATTATGTAAAAACATATTAATACATCAATATATGTATACATATGAAAAAAATTATAATAAAAATATCAAATAAATTTTTATCACAAAGAGAACATAGTTTCTATGAGCTAATTTTATATTAAAAATAAATAATATTTACATTATTTTGATATTGATATTGGATTAATTTTTTATTTTTTATTTATTGATTTTATAATAAAATTTTTATATATAATTAAAATATCAAAAATATAATATCGAAAAAATTAAAAAAATAAATTTATTAAGGAAAGTTATTATAAAAAAATAAATAATAAATATTTGAGTATAAAAAGAACAAATAAATTATTTTTATTAAATAGAATTATAAAAAATACAATATTATATATGTTGGTCTTAAAGTAATATAGTAGAATATTTAACTCAATTAATATTTATTTATAGAATAATTAATTTTTTATGTATTTATTTTTTATATTTATTTATTTTAATCAAAATAAATATAGTTATATTATTAATATATATTGATTTACAACATGTGAAGTTAAAAAAATTATATTGTGAGTAAAAACCATGTATTAAAACAAAATTATATGTCCCTTTATTATAACATTAAGAATATATCTATCTATTATTAAATGCTTTGGTTCTTTATTTTTCATATTCCAATCAATGTTTTATTATCAATATTGTTTTGTAATAAAATTTTCAACTACTTAAATAAATAGAAGTAGGTAGAAATTTTTTAGATAGATATTATTAGATATTAATAAAAATATCTAATATTGAATATTTTATTAATATATAATATTAATAAAATATCTAATATACTTAAATAAATAGAAGTAGGTAGAAAATGTTTAGATAGATTTTAGATAAAATCTTCTTTCAATTTTATTCCTTGACTTTTTAGATAATATCTTCTTGAAGAATAATATATAAATAAGTAAGTAACTTTATAAATATGTTCTAGAAGATCTTTTTGTTTACTTTGAAATATGCCATATGGCTTTGGAAACTTCTTCTAAAAGTTTTTTATTTTTAAAAAGCTACTTTAAAATCACTTAAGAACTTGAATGCTTGATCAACAAGCTTTGTGGTCCATAGAAAACTTCTACATGATTATTATGTTGACTAGTATATATGTAGGCAAAATTGAGGCCATTCTTATTTTTAAAACATTGTTATTATATTCTGATATTTGTGAAAAGTCTCTCTAATTTCTTTGAGTTTAGAAGTATATATATATATATATATATATATATGTATTTTTATTGAGCCAAATCTACATACAACCTAAAAGTCAAACAAAAATTGAACCAAAAATTCAAAAGACAAACACAAATTTATCTAGTAAACACTAAAAATTGTTATAGGACACAAAAAAGGAAGGAAAGAAAGAAACCATATGATATAGTATTAGAATCTATACTTATGTATACATTGTGTTGTTTTTATATTGTATGGATTTCTATCCAAAAGACAAGGAATAATCATTGGATGTGTTAACAATATGTCAAAAATTCTTACATGAAAATATAAGAAATAATTATATTTTTAACTAATATATTTACAAATACAATTTTAAATTGTGATATTTAATTAATCTTAGTCCGAAGAGTATATCAATAATTTTATTTATTTATTTCATCTTTTAAATTATTTTTTATTTTTTTATTCATAGATTGCTATTGTATGTTAGCTCATCATGCATGCAATCTAAACATTATCTTATTGTTATTTCTAAACACCAAGATATCAAAAATTACCAATACATTGCATATATATATATATATATATATATATATATATATCTAATAAACTATTCAAGCAATAAAATTGAAAGAAGATTTTTCTTATCATATTCATATGTATACTTATCCAAAAAGAAAGGAAAAATAAATAAATAAATAAATAAATAAAATTGATAGTCTTGTAAGAAGAAGAAGTGCTGTAAATGGATGTTTAGATTGCTATCTTCATAAGATAGAATTTACTCTGATAGCAGTTTTCCACTGCAAAACAAAGGTTCAAAAGCACTTGCTAAAATGTATGTATTATTCATTGCTTATCAAATCTATTTATTTAAAATAGAATATTCCATTTAGATTTATAAAATTCAAGATTATGTACATAAAATAATAGTCACCTAATATAAAATTACGTTGACATGCAAAATAGATAACATGAATAATCTAACATTACATAAATTCAAACAACAACATAATACAATACAATCAAAACAAGTTCCATTACTAATATCATTAATATAAATAGTAAGCTTTATCACAATATAAAGAAATCACAATATAATGGGTAGTTTTGTTGGCTTGGTCACAATATAAGCAAATGACATGTGTTAATTCACACATGATTTAGACAAAAAAATTGAATAGCTAGGAATAGACATCCCCAAAAGTTAAAAAAAAACCTCCTTCTACCATTAACTTCTACCTCTCTTTGTTTGTGCTTGTTTGTTCATGTGTGGGACATATAATAAGAACTGAAAAGGTTAAAAAACCCAATTGGGTTGAGGCACGAAAATGGGATTTTGAGCGAGTGAAAAGCAAAAATCCAGGTCATATCCTCTAAATTAGGGTTTGGAGATGTTGAGAATAGGTGGTGCAGCAGCAACACCCAACTACCTGATCGGACGCCATCGCTGATTCAGTTTCCCCGTCTAAAATTGGGCTCTCGCGTTTCAAACCACATGAGTCAATGCAACGGCAACAATTCTGACACTAACGAATTCTCAACAAATAGGCATGGGTCTTGTGCTTCCACTTTTTGTCGCCATTGTTCATCCATTAGCTCCGCAATGGATCGAAGAAGAAAGCTCAAGTTCGTCGAGCTGCGACGGGTTTGCATCTCTGTACCTCGTCTCAGCTCGATTGGAGATATATTTGGAACTCGGTGGGCATCGAAGTTGAGGCAGCAGTTTCAATTTTGGGGTCTTGGAGCATTGTGTGGGTTCTAATGTTGGGTTGCTTTGGGCATATGCCATTGCCGACGAAGGTAACGACATTCGTATTGATAGATTTTGCTGATAAGGACTCGAAGAGGTCGAATTGGTCGGGTAGCTCTTGATTCCGCAATTGCATCGGAGTCGTGACAATGTGATGTCCGTGTTTTGCAATCAGATCATGAGCACCTCTCTCTAAGCTCAGGGGTGTCGAATCCTCAGAGTGTGAATTGAATTGGGTGTTTTCAGTTTGAGATGCGATATGAAGCTCTGAGTGGACAGTGCACCTGTAGTGTCGATTAACTCTGTGGCCCCTTTCTGCGAGTAGTTGATTCTAGAGTGACGGACTACAGTTAGTTGCAAGTGTAGCTAAGTCTTCATTCAATTGCAAGGTTCAAAAGGCTCTTTCCATTGTTACAGAAATTTCCAGCAGCGCTTCCTCTATCTGGTGTATGAACTATATGGACTTGTACCTGCGCATTGACAGGAGTGTTTACCTTACTGGCCCTGTGTCTGGTCTGATTTCTTGCTCTTTCGTTAGCCGAGTTTGTTGACACTGAGAGCGATTTTTAACGATCAAATCACTGTTTACGCTAATTGCTGGACATTGCTGTTTCCAGAATTTCTAGGAGTCGCATGAACCGGGTCGGATTTATCATGGAGCTGTAATTGCAGTTAGCGTATCATGGGTCCGGAGGTACCTCATCTCCAACTCAACCAATCTCCTCGTGAACTCTATGTACGATATTTTTTTGCAGCTCTGTTTCTCCCCGTATAATGTTGTGCTTCCGCACACAGCATGTCATCCCTTCTTATTCTTGTACGATGGCTCTACGAAGATGGGTGCAACAGGGTCGACCTACTCGACCAGCATTTTCGAGGAAAGCAGAAATCAGTTAAACAGTCGTGAAGTGGGTAATGTGGTCCTTCAAGGCCCTCTGCTCAAGCGCTCTGAAACCGTAAGTTATTCAATTTTCTAGGGGAAGTTCTTGATTTGTTTTACGTTTTCGAATTCCTAAGCCGCTAACTCGAAAGGAAGTTATCCCTTTAGGTTGGCGCACGACCTTGTCTGAATACGAACAATGCTGTAGAGAGCTGGGCAGGGACTTATTTTACGTTTGTGTATTCTCACACTGCAGGTTCGCCAATGGGAATGGCAGTGGATTGACTTGCATGTGTTGACTGGCAAGCTTGAGTACTGGTGAGAACTGGAGCAAATTTGTCCTATTGGCACTTTGGTTTACATGTCATGTACCTCTGTACGTTTCCAATTTGCAGATAATTTTCTTAAGATTGATGGTCTCCTATTGTTAGTCGAGGTTTGGATGTCAAGTCCATATTGTTGATCCTTGGTGATAGCCTCGAATGCAATATCACATACCCAAGTACGTCCAGTTTATTACGAACGACTCTGATCATGCACATGCATATACTTTCTTCTACAACCCATCCAAATGAGTTTCTCTCGGTTTCTGAATTCCTCTGGTACCACTATGACGTTTTTTCAACAGGACTCATGGAAGAGAAGCCCCTTCGACAGGTGTGGTGAAGTTGGATGCCTACAGCACAGTCATGATTTCTCCTGTCAATGTGATGTAAGTTTGTTCTACACAGATATGAACATCGAATGCAATGATGCAAGAGTTTGGAATTTGTACAGGATCAAGCCTATGAATGTATGATCCTTTCTGAAATGTTCTCTCTTGATCCCATTCTTGATTAAGCTTTGTACTCAACAGTTTATGTAGCTTTTCGTGTTCTATTGTGAGTAGGATTGTGTTCTCGTACAGCGAAGCACACTTCTGTAAAACATGCCTAGTTGGGTCACTGAAACTGTGGTAATTGTGCCGTTTGTGTAGAAAAGAGACGCAGTATGACGCCTGCTGTTTCTGTATCCTTTTCGTAGTGATTGTTCGTTTACGTCTAAGTCGTGCTGTCTTGAAAGAGTCTAAGACTCTCAAGCTCTGGTTGAGGTAGCGGTTATATCAACATTACAGCAGCAAACTGAATGGGAGGTTTATGCCCTTCCTTTTTCTTCTTAGAACTTCTTCATTTTATACTTTTAGAGTTCGGCTTTTACGAAACTGGCGCAGTGACATCCGAGTTATCACAAGGTATGTGTGAAGGATTATGACAATATCCGGAATGTTTTTGTGTACACTTACATCCACCACTGCCCAGATATCACAACATCTCAAAGAAGGGAGCATTTCTTCTGTGCCCAGACCCCAAAAGCTGCAGAAGCTTGGGTGGCAACATTGAGGTGGGCTAATTGCATCTTACCTTACTGATTATAAATCAAAACTCAAATCTCTACCCCTCAAGTTTAAACTCAGTGGTATCTTGCATGTAGAGTCGCAGCATTGATACCCTCTGGGCAGTGAGGTGTTTCGTGTTCAGGGACCCTCTCTTTCTCAGTCAACTTTGGAATGTCTCAATTTCCAAAGACATCTGAAATAGTGGGATAAATTGCAGGGCTGCAGTATCTGTACGGAGGGCACATAATGAAGCATCAGACTTGTCGAGTAATAATGCACACTACAAATTAGGAAACGTGGCCACCGTGGTTGCTGCTGCCAATATCATCTCTCAGGATGCAGCACAAGTCTTGCAAAAGTCGATGACGATTGCTGCTGTGTCTCCCTCGGCTTCCTGTATAAAACCCATTCCAGCTTCCGCATCAACTCCTTCAGCCTGTATCAATAAATGCATTTCATCTCCTGATGTGGACAGCTCATACCTGATGCGGGTACACCCATTTTTTTCCTACATCTGTATGATTTTCTCTGGAATTGTTTTAGTACAGTACATTAGGGAATTCTTTGTGACTACCTGAGGAGCTTGTGAAGCGGCGCAAGCAGTTCGTTTAATGAGGCTAGTCAAATCCATCAAACGCAACTGAGCAGAGTGCTTTAGATCTGTACCTCAGCTATATTTACATGCTGCATTAAACAGTAACCATCGCATGTCTCATGTTTTCTTTCCAATGCCCAGGAGGAGTTGAAGGTCAAAGACAAAGAGATCCGTCATCTTGCACGGGACTTGAAATCACGGAATAAAGTAATAAAGGAGTTAGGAGATCGTCTTATCGAGACTGCAGAAGCTGCTGAATCTACAGCATCTTCAGTTCACGTAGTGCATAAGAGATATCAAGAATCTTTATCAGAAGTTGATCGTCTACGAAGGCAACTCGCACAAGCGGTTAAACAGGTGACACATTTCCAAACTGCTGCAAAAGATTCTGCCAGTACTATACATTCAGATTTCGTCTTCGAATATTCACTTCATCCGTGTTCATCGCTCCCTAAAGCATAATTCGTAATGCTAGTAGTAATTACCTAAAATTTCGTGTTCATTAGTATCTCTTTTTATGCCGGACTTGTAATAAATGTTACCTAGTTCCGGGCAGATATAATCTTTTAGCAAGTTCGATAACTCTATCGACATTTGCTCGTCGTTCATGTGGCTAATCGTATTCTTGGTTTGCAGATCAGAGATGCTGATGCACGAAGGGCAGCTGCACTGATAGTCGAAGAGGCCGCCTTACAAGAAGCTCACAGATGTCGTCTAGAGCTTGGGAAATTTCAAGAACGAGGAGTATTGTTACAGGCAGCGATGGTGCATATAGATGAGGACATGAGACGACTTCAAGATGTTCATAAAACTGAGACAGCTCAAAGGTTGGAGGTTCCAAAATCAAGGTATTTACATGAATATGACACCAAGTTATTCTTATATTATGGCTGGTCTTTCATCCCCTATCTTTTGCGAGTCAAGTCCTTCCCGCTCGACTTGTGGATTAAGTATTTGAATTGAGTGAATTTTCAAACACATAATCTATCCGCTCATGTACACATTTGGCCTGAATTTTGCGAACTTTGTATTAAATATGCCCTAGCCTTACCATGTGTTCTCCTGTATGTGACTAGGATTGGCCGTGCACCTCAATTGAAGATCCCCGTAATAGATGCTATCTTGCAAGTTAATAATGCTTCTGAAGCTGGAGACGTTCAATCAAGAAGTGAGGAGTTTAATTCAGAAAATTGTGGCGATGACGCGACATTACTATACACATCTCCTGCTTCAGTTTTAGACTTAAGAGTAGACGAGTCAAATGCAGAAGCCCTTGTGAAGGAAGTGACGTTACAAGTCCAATCTCAATTTTCTGACGTTGATTCAAAAATCGACGAATTGATTTTGGAAGCCTATGATGTCCAAACAGAGTTTTCGGATACAATCCAAGCGTCAGAATTAGAGCTGGCAGGAACTCGCGAAGGTCCAACCGCAGCGCTGATAATGGATTCATGTCCTTTACCTATGAATATTTCGACAGATTGCGAAGCTGTGCTCAGAACATTGATTATATCAACCCCGGAACTTGTATCGTGTGCAACTCCTACTGAAGATGGTGGTTCACCTTCAGTGAACGGAACCGACCATCGAGAATTCGCAGGGGACGTGTGTCCTACTCTATCTAGACTTCCGGAAGTGTCACGAAGTAATGGATGTAAGGCGGTACCTTCACCACCCAGTTTCTCTGCCTCTCCTTTGCCGGACAGGGAGCTGGCTGGGTCTTGCGAAGACTTGGCTTTGGATCCGGCGCCAAGGCTGGCAGTTCCGTCTTGCCAATTGCCTGTAAATTCGTTTCCTGATGAAGTCGCTGGTGTCACGAAATCTGCGACATCAACCCAAGAGCTTTTCTCAGGTGCAGTCTCTTCTGCAGTTGGTGCTTCACCTTCATCGAGTGTAGCTAACCACCATGAGAAAGCAGCTTCTACATACCCAACTATACCTAATCTTGATGACACGGCACTGTCGTCACAATCCAATTCCACCACTGATTGCGGCGGTGTCTTAACTACCTCTGTCTGCACGGATTCGTCTTCAGAGGCATTCCATTTTGCAAATGGAAGTGAAGATCATTGTAATACTACGTTCGGAAATGATGTGGTTGAAACAACGGGGTCTGATGAGGTAATTCGAACCACAGCGGACGGTACTGAGGAAGTAACACGTCGTGAGGTGATTGTGGAGAAGACCGTTGTTAAGCAACAGCAATACCAAGGTATGAGCCTCATTTTTTCAAGCTGGTGGTCATATGTTGCTTACAGTATAATTTCGTAGTTTGCACTTGCACTTTTATCTACTCCCTCCTGGATTAGTAATTTCATCATTCTCTTGGCACTCAAGTGGCTCTACGTGTATGGCACTCAACAGGTCCGTCTGAATTGTATCTTTGCTGCAAGTCTTCAGAGGATTCTGTTCATTTGAAACTGTGAAAGACCTTCTGATCACACCCCCTGATGGAATGTTTTATCTGTAGTACGGTGAAAGGGATTGGAAAATTCTTGTTATTTACTGGATAGGACACGCTGAATAATGTCTAGGTAATATCCTAGTTTTTGTAATATCAACTGTCTGTCTTGTTCTCAATGTCCTTTCGGGCTGTTGTTGGATGGTAGGATTCTTTTACTTCAATTTCATCGACTTGCTGCAGCGTTTACGAGGTACGGTTTGGTTCTTCGCTCACCTATTTCGCGTCTTGACTTTGCAGAAGGTTCACCGTAAAACAAAACTTATTAACAATATTACATTCACGTGACCTGTTTCTAACATATTTTCCAACGGGCTGTATATTTTTACTAACCCAAGCTCTCTGATCCTACAGTAAATTGCAGGCTGTGCATCTAGCGGGTGTTGTACTGAAGAATCGTACCCTGTTGAATAATATCGATGTGATATTTTTTCTGACTGTTGTTCTACTGTAGTATGTTGGCACATAATGTAATTGTAGATTCTAATTATTGTTAAATATCCATCATGGGAGTACCACATAGAGAGAAGTAGAGAAATGTGTAATAGTGAATCTTCTTCCTGCCATACTGTCTTCACGTGGTAAAATCCTTGCCACCATCTTTTGTAATATGAGTTGATATGAATTTACATACACATGAGTTGTCTCATTTTTAAACTGTCCCATTGCTGAAGATTCCGACTTGAGTTCAGTTTTTTTATTAATTTGTTCCTCAGTAATATATAAATTTATGACTCATTATAAGTCCTCAGCTTGCTTCACATCTATAACATTGTAAATAGCACACAAAGTACTACTATTTAGGGGAAAGCTCATACATATCATACGTACCCCTGTATTCTTGATAATTGCAAATTTACCCCTCACTTAAGAACTAACATCTCTACCCTTCAACTTGATTAACTATCATAAAAATTCTTTATAAGTAAAACCAGAATCTGACCAACTTGCAACGGAGTAATTGGCTCCTACCGCAATTTTTGGCAAAAAGATGAATTCACTCTAGCAGCAATCAAAATTAGTCGCCACTGGCCGAACACAATTCGATACACTGAGTGTGTGAGTCTCGACCCCTGCTTGCCACACGCCATGGCTCTCGTTTTCTTGGGCTATTTGCAGATGCGATAATGGCTTTCAAAAGTTCAAATAATAACATGCTCAAAGGCAAAGTTCGGGGCTATTGGGGTCTTGGGCGTGCACACTTTCGACCTGCACACCTCTGAACTCGTAAAAACATTCCCGACTTCACAATTCTTGTCCAGTGCCAACTGAAGCTTTTCTATGGCATCATCCTAAAGTTTAGAATGCGAGATCCTAGTGAAGAATTTTGAGGTGAACAAGCGCAAACTTGTTTTTTGACGTGTATGCGGAGGTGGTCCACGCTCGCTCCGGACCGTCATATCGCAGAATGCGATTGTTGCTGACACCTGTGTAAGGTCCCCGGCCTTGTGCGTCGAACGTCAAGCTCTCTGGCCCTAGAAACTGACCTTGTCCCACGATTCCTCCATTCTGCAACTTGTTTTGATTATCGCGTGGGAAGTCTTTGAACACATGGGCAGGAGTCGGTCCGACGTACTGCAATACAAAATGAGAGATGCCTCGCCCCATTAAGAGCTTCATTGAGTCAGCGCTAAGAAACCATGCCACTTCCATTACCACAAAAAAGACTCACCATTGTGAGAGGCGTCATTTCTGCTGAATCGCGAGACAGGAGCTTCACAGACGAGAAAAATCCCACAGTTCAGCTTCGATTTCTACACAAAACTCAGTTGATAGAGCTCAGAACCACATCCAATCACAATACACAATATCGACACCAACCAAACGGAGGTTTGAAATTTCCTATCTCTCATGGAAACACTCTTCGCATCCAATCCGATCCGATCCGACCCAATACAACTCCACCAAAAACCTGACACAAAACATCTGACATTAGAGGTTTTAACCTTTAGCAAGCGATGTCACGAGGTCGACCTTTCCCTCACCCTTCTCAAAAAGCAAAATCAGGTCACCACTGGATGCCGAGCAGAAGACGCAACCAAAAAATCCCAAAACGTCTAGCACCGCACCAAAATCCTACAACTCCTGCGCATGGGCCCAATCACCCAGCTGAACACTATCAAGCTTCCCCGACGCTATTACAACATTGTTACAACATTATCGTTGTCGAAAAAAAAATCCAATCACATGAACCTGGTGCGGAGTGTGCAGTTTCGCTCTCTGTAATAAACAAAGATCATTAGTTATGCAAACGAGGTGCATTGTAGGACTGGAATCCAAAAACCTTTGAAATGGTGCTGTGAGTTTTGAAGTTTTGGTGATAAAAACAAAGCCACTGAGAGTTGAAGTGTTTTTATTTTTGTTTCAATCTGGTTTTGTATTCATCTTTGCAAAAAAGTTGTGTGTGGCTGGTAGTAGATGCTCTAGATTTTGAACTTTTGAAAGCCGTTATTATTTGAACTTTTGAAAGCCATTATCGCATCTGCAAATAGCTCAAGAAAACGAGAGCCTGGCCTGTGGCGAGCAGGGGTCAAGACTCACACACCCAGTGTATCGAATTGTGTTCTGCTGAGCTGATTCAACCCTGAGTCCCACACAAATAAATAAACAAGCAAAGCAAAGAGAAGACCAAACCTAGTGGCGATTAGATTTGACCGCTGCTATCATGAATTCATCCATTTGCCAAAAATGGCTGCTCTCTAGTCTACGCGGCAAGCAGGTAGATATGATATTGGTACAAAAGTGGGGTTAATTTGCTATTATCAAGAATGCAGGGGTATTCTTGATATTTCAACATATTTCAAGAGTATGTATGATATGTGAGAGTGTTTCTTCCGCAATGCTATTATTTTGAACAGGGGCATATTAATAGTGATGAAGACTAGGGCATTAATGTAATACTGTTTCTGAACATTATTTGGAAATTGTAGTGGGTGAAATTTGGCCTTCAAATGCAACATTTCCTTTGTCATCAAAATTCTAACCCATGTCATAATACTTACAAGGGCAAAATTCAATGCAAATTTCTTTCTCAATCAATTCAACGCTATTCAAATTGTATTCTACAATGCAAGGTGTTTTTCAACAAAATAATCCATATGTACGTACACATGTACATACACACACACACTCATCAATTCAGGGGTTCGTGAACTGAGTGTCATACAAGAATATTTCACTTGCAAGGAATGCAAACTTCGAAGCTGAAGTCACACTGTTTTGACAAAAGCATCAGTGAGATGATTTGATGCTTTGGGTTGATGTTGGTACTATGTACAACTTCGCACAAAGATACAACAAGTCAAACAAAACTCATAGTCGGCAATCCTCTTACTCGACTGGAATCTCGATTGATGTTGAATCGAGTTTACTGCACATTGCTCCAGGAGTTATATTCAACCCAGTCGAAGGCGATCGGACCCAAGAAGGCTTGTGGGATGCCGAAGGCATCAACGAGATTGAGCGCCTGAGGCCGAAGCTCGCCACAAAGAGAGTCTACTTCGGTGTGGATTAGCTGCGATTGCTTCGGTGTGAGATAGCCGTATCTGAAAGGTGGGTGCAAATCTTGGTTTAATTACGTGTGGATTAAACTTGGGAGAGGGTCCAAGTCTAATCACTCACGCAACACAAAAACTATGAGATGAAACTCAATTATTGAAGGTACTTACCTCAAGAATACTGGTGTCTCATCGGCAGATGACAGTACGTAGAGAGATCTTAACAATCCAAGTATGTCCTGGAAAATAGAACCAAAAGAACAATATAATATAGTTAGCATCGTAACCAAGCAGGAGTAATAATAATAATAATAATAATAATAATAATGCATAAGGGAGATACATTGTCGTGGAAACGGCCTTATTTACAAAGAAATTGCACGAGTGACACCCGAGTGGAGAAATTGTTTAACCTTCATTGAGCCTGTAGTCTGTTGCTCTACTTTAAGAAAGCTCTCCAGTACTGAGCGTTCCGAGAAAGCTTGTCCTAAATCCTCGGCTACTTGATAACCCTGGAGAATAAACAGCCAACAACTGAAATATTCAGCCTTTGTTTCTTACATCTATACTCTTGCTAACCCTATTTTTCAACGCACATCAAAAAAACATGTAACAAATATTCCAAGTCATCCACAAATGTGTTTATAATGAGAAGGATCTGCTAGAGAACTATTAACAGTCTTTTAGAATAAAGTAATGAAATAAAATCAAAAGAATCAAGTCTGTAAAGAATCATACTGAAATGACTGCATCAGTCATGGAAACTCCCTTCAGCACAAGAGTCGTAACTTGCGAGGTTAAAAGCTCCAACAATCCTCGTTCTCTCAGCTGGAAGAGAGCCAACTGAAATTTGGAGTCCCGGAGTGCACTTCTGTTAAGTTCTTCGGGTACAACCGGCGCCGAGCCGTTGATGTGTTCCAATCCCATCCCCTTCAAAGGTTTTCCCCTCCTTTTAGCGCTCACGTAATCGGCCAACAGCGCTTTGCTGACCTGAGACCATTTATGACATCCATCTAATATTCAGGCTTACTTACACAACTGACGATACAAAATCAATTTGCAAAAAACCCGGATTTACTAATTCATCATCTAAATGTTTAAAAAACCGGACCTGCTGCATTAGGACATTATTGTCACCTTCAAACGTCAATTGAACATCATACTCAGCCTTCAGTTGCCCCACTCGATTATCAGTCTTCAAACCCTGACCTCCGCATGCCTCTCGACATTCCTGCAAAAACCAGTCTTCCTCCTCAATTGTCCTCCCCCTCATGAAAACATTGAAGATTCTCCAGCCGTTCATTAAATGTATAAACATAGCATAAACATTCAGGAAGAGATATGCTGGACCAACCTGAAGAGTGCGAAGATTGTGCCACGAGAAGACTGCTTTGAGACCGCTAGACAAAACATGAATGACTTTCGAGTCTGCATGTGTCCGATTCAAGTACAAGTACTTCAAATCCACAGCAGCAAAGCTCATTGCATACCTGCCAATTCTCAATCATATTACATATCAGCCTTTGAAAGAATTTAAAATCCTCCAAAAGAAGAAGCTTTTGACTGAATGTGGTAAGAAAATGAGGCGATGAAACACTTACGTTTTGGCCAGAAGGGGAAGCAGCCGATGTCTGTGGCTAGGGTAGTCCAGGAGAAGGACCTCAGGCTGCCCTGGAACTAAAGAGAAGGCACGTCTCGTTAAAGTATACCGAATAGCTGTTGTTAAGCCTACCTTTGATTGGTAAATTGCACTCACGGCAATCGTAACACGCCCTGATGTCAAAGGAGTCATAAAAGCACCGAATCGCTGCTAATATGCCCGCCTTCAGAATTTTAGAAGAAGAGAAATTCAAGTATATTTACTTGATTTGAGTTTGAATAGTAAATATATGGCAAGAAAACATTACCCAAATTTGCAAGCAACACGAACCTGATCAGGGTCTTTGATTGCACTTTTATATTTTCCACCTGGAGTGACATCTGCTACGGCATTTAGCAGATTCTCGCGAGGTATTCTCACTTTGTCAAACCTGCAAATATTGTGTGTTGCTTGAAGTCAGATGTAGTAATGCTTGATAAAACAACGGAACGATTGTCTGCTTCAATGTGTTGGAAAACAATTTACTGCTTTTATAATTGCCAATCATCAACTGTTTGTACTCGAGTTGGAACTCAAGAGAAAAGGGCATCAAGAGCTTTAAAATGAACATAATTAATGCTTACCAAATGCGGCCATTGTCTACCCCATTCAAACCAATCTTGTGACCACAGTCGGCGATGCGGATTCCAGGCATTACACGGCCGTATTGATCCCGTAATTGACAAACAAAGGCGTGAACGCCTTCGTTCTTCCCGTCGATTAAAAGCTGTGAAAAGACGATCGTATGGGTAGCATGCTGCCAATAACGACAAAGATAAAATAAAATGAGAGCAATAGAGGAGCAATAGAAAATTAAAACACCTCGAAATTAAAGAAAACGCCCACAACTTGCATCACATCACACCAAAAACTAAACCTAGTCAATAACATTTTGCTACTATTTACCTGTGCGGCTCCTCCAATCCAGTACTTTTGAGCAGATTCACAAGGAGTATCGATGATGAACTCCTCTGTGGAAGTATCATAAGTAGTCACTGTTTCAATGCCTCGCACCTGATCAGAAAATCACTATATTCTGAGACCACTTTTCACGATGCTAAAAGGAAAGCCTACAATCAAACAATCGTGTAGTAAACTATCGGTTCTAAAGATTAATTGACACCTATCAATTAGAATTAGTTTCAGCTTCATACCAATCAGTTTTGAGACAACAAAAAAGACCTTAGGAAATTCCAACACTTACATTACTGCCATGGCCGAGCTCGCTCATTGCAAAACATCCTCGAACTTGGTAATCCTCAGTACGATCCAACCACTTGTCGTGATGGCGCTTGGTCCCCAGATACTGAATGGATCCTCCCCATAAATGAATGTGCACGCCTAGCTTGATAACCAGTGAGTGATCGAAGATTCCCATAGTTTCAAACAGAGCAGCTCGTTTCAAAGCATCATCGACTGAGGAGTCCGACAACCAGCCCTTGAACACACCCTCGCTACGGAGGAAGAGGATGCGCTCCAGAGTTTTGTCTCTTTGCTCTGCCATTGTCAAGTTAAAGTTCGGAGAAGCAAACACTCGGTCACCAACTCGTTTGCTCGTGAACAAGTCGCTGCTCATCAGCAGGTCCGTAAAAGAGTCTCTGAGATCTACATGGTGCCCATCCAATAACTCCCGCATAATCGATTTGTCGAAGCTGGAGTTGTCTGCAGCAAATTCACAAGCAAGATCAATATCCTCTGCTCCCACGTGGACCAAACCAATATGGATCCACTCCCCCAAGCTAGACTTGTCTCCTCCAAATTTCTAACCAACTCGCCTCCAAAGACAGTCCATACCAACAAATAAGCAAATGAACAATTCATGAACTCGCTGATGACGTACTCACGGATATAATCCAACAACCTTTCCAAGAGAAAAAACTTGCTTGTTAAACACGAACAACAACATCAACTACTACTACAACAACAGCAAATTCACCCCCTCAAACAGAGTACCCAAATAAAAAAACCACGAAATCCAAACAGATAAAACACAACCAAGAGGATCGGCGAGGATTGAGACCACAATGAAACTCGGGAGGCTGATACGCCAAGCAAGGCGAGGGTCGCAAAAACGACAAAGGACTCATTTCATGCGCAAGGTGTCTGGCTAAGACGCCAGCGCGCCGTGCTGCAGCGCTACCGTCATCGCCCTTCATTTTCCCCCTTCACCCACACACCGATCCTCTCACCCAACTCCTCTCTGCCTCTCTCTCTCTCTCTCTCTCTCTCTGCCTGAGTTTGTAGTAATAGTCCGCCTCGAGCTTGAACACCCGCACCTCAGAGGCAGCAACAAGCTCCAAAGTTGTGAGGCACCTTCCCAACCCAACTGGCCCTAACACGCAGAGTACATGAAGCAACAACTCCAGGGCGAATCAAGAGGTTGAGGAAGAGGAGGAGGAGAGCAATCAAGGAGGAGGTGCGACACAAGCATGGCCAGCTGCTGCTGCTGCAGCGATCACTGCCCAACTGCAAATTTAGCATTCCAATCCTCCTTCTCCTCCTTCGCAGCAGCCATCAGCAGCCTTCCTCCCCCAAAATCACCCTCTGTGCTGCGGCATGTGCGCGGATACCGGAGACGTATCCGGGTGGGTCCGGGTGTGTTCTTCCTCGCTTTTTATAGTGTGAGGTCAAAGGCTGTCTGTGGTCATGGGGTCGGTGGGTTGTTTTCCTCCGCTTGTAGGCGCCGTCACTAATGTGGGGGAGAGGAGCAAATTGGTGGAGTTGGGCCAACTGCCCTTCCTTGCTTGCTTTTGCCTATCTTTTAATTAATAAATGAATTACTCAAGTATGGGATGATTAATTTCGTGTGTAAGACATGAAGTAAAGAGGTGGGAAATCGACATAACTCATGGGATATATACACAATGCATGACTCTTACATTATTTGAGTGTTTTGTTGTTATTATTGTTGTTGTTTTGTGTATTCTTGAAAGTGAGGATTATTGGTTAGGCACATTGTTTTGTTCTAGTTTTATTTCATTTTGTAAAAACTTAAATGAGGTTTATTTTATATTTTGTATTTATCTTGTTCAAGGGGAATTTTGGTCATAAACGATGGCATGTTGACATACCTCGGTAAAGGATTCTGTCAGAATAATGTTAGACGTTTTTCTTTGACCCCCCCCACTGACGAAAGGATGATTTTGGTTTTGCTTTGACTCAAATGAGAAAATTGGTAAGCTGAGAATTTGAAACATCGTGCTTATTTCCAGAATTATGTTTTCTAATAAATATATTAAATAAAATAAATACATATTAAATCAATTCCTGTGTAGTTCTAACTACCAATCTGTCTTTTGTGTTCATAATTAACAAGAAAAATAAAAACGGGCAAAACTTCATGTTTGCTGCATTCTCTTGTTTGTTTTATTGTTTAACAACTAAGTTTGACATATTTTATAATATATTATCACGCACAAAAACATCTTAATTGAGATATATTGTTAAAAGTAGAAGATTAGAACTCAACTCTAATGATCAAAATATTCAGTTTCGTAAAATTTGTTGATTTAAGATTTTAAATATATAAAAACAGGGGGAAAAAATGCGATGTTCGTATGATTGAATGGTTTCAAATTATAAGATGGCTTAGAATTAGCATAAGCATTGTCTACGCTAAGAAAAGACCAAAGTCTCAGAAGTCCAAAGTCTAATAAAATTGCCTGCTACCATTCACGATAAAAATAATCCGTAGACAGGGCTTAGGTGACCACTCAAGAAGTAATCTTTGATTAAATTTGTAGTTTGTGTAACAAGAATGGACTACTAGAAGCACCCAGTACTCATCATTTGACGTACTGCAGGTCATGCACAGTGAAAATTTAAATCACAACCCATGGTTTTCATTCTATTTTGACAGCCCAGCACCAAAATTATATTGACTGATAATATCGATTGCAGGATGAAAGCTTATCCTTGAAAACGACCTGAAATAGTGTCATGTCTGCTTTGAACCCAAAGTTGAGATGATTACCTCCCTTGTTCTTCAGGGTTTAGTTGTTGAGTTCTCTCCCCATTCTCTTTCAAAAAATTAAATCCGTTCTACTATATATCTCCGTGTAATGGATCCTCCTCAGTCCAGCTAGTTGTACCGGAACAGGAGTAACAATTTCAAGGTGTTTCTAGTAGCGAGTACCAAGTTGACGAAAGCTGTAGACAGCAATGGTTGTAATAAAGCGACCTATTCGTAAGTGCTCCCTACCACTCTACACAAACAAGAAGGTAAAATTACAGACAGAATCGAGCATTGTAGAACACTTCCAATGATACATAGTTCCATCCACAATATATACTAATACCTGATACTGCAAACTAAGAAACGTATAATATGTGGTGAAGACCACATACCTGCCGCACAGATAATTCAGAGTTCAGGGTTTAGAGCGTCTACATACCCGAAAGAAACCCTGCGGCTTTGCCACGTCGACAGCGGAGATGGGGCAAATTAGAATGAAAAGTCCCTTGGCTTGCTAAGAGAATACTTTAAAGAGCTGAAAAAACAGCTATAGAACCAACCACAGCAATTAATTTTGCTGATGTGATTCTCCACGTTAAGGTATGGTTGAAACAAACTCCCAGTTGATGCATTTCGGCTCATATAGACACCAATGCTGTACTCTCCTGTGGCAAAAGCTCAACATCTGTTTCAGAGGTGAGGGAATCCTGAAGAACGTCGGAACGGGTCACAGACTGCTGCGTCGCTGGCACCCGCTTGACTTCCATGAGAGAGAGAAACTTCTCCTTGATAGTGACCAAAGGGTGCGTGACTTTCAAAATGTATCGTTGCCGTTGGCCAGGTTCATGGATCCCCTCGTAAGCATCCCGCAGAAACACCGTGTCACGAGCACCTTTCCTGGAGACGTAGAAGTGCTCTGGATGGCGGACAAGAAGACCTCGCACCTGAAAGCAGATGCAGGGGTAATATAATGTCAGAGGCGATGCAACTAATTTGTTCAGCCGATTAAACAAAAGCGATTTTTTTTTTTTTTTAAAACAGAGGGGATCATTGGATAAGATCAGGAAGATGAGACCGCACTAAATGCAATTAATACCTGATTTGAGAACTTGAACTCCTTGCGGAAGTGAGTGAGGTGGTCCACATACAACCGCTTCTCTAAGGTCAGAGCTAAAAGCTCTTTGATCACAAGAACGGCGCGTTTTTCAGCTTCCGGCGACGCTGGATGAAGGTAGTTCGAGGCCTCATACGGTGAAGGACACTCTAGCTCGTGGAATTTGTACAGCACGTACTTGTCTTTGTTCGAGAGCCGATACCGTTTAGGCAGTTGAATTTCCAGCCTCGGAGGACTGTCTGTAGAGCAAAAGCACCGAATCAGAGCAAGATATCTTTAAAAATGTCGAGCAGGTCTCCAGAAGCAAGAATCGTCAAAAAACGTACCAAGACTATTTTCTTCCATTACGGCTCGAACTCTCTGTTCCTCTTCGGTTACGGCCAAACGGTCACTCCATTTAACAAGCTCCAGGATACGACCGTCCTCGTTGGTTGCATCTTCACCTTCAATTACACGGAAATACCTAGGATATTTATGCACCAACCGTTGCCTAAAGTCTTCGGGAAGACCCAGATCACGTGCTATGTGTGCAACTTTTCCTAGCAGAAGACGTTTGTCGTTGGACATCATAAGAAGTTTCCTCAATTTGGTGACGACTTCCACCTTCATATTCTTGCGAATTTCTAACTCTTCGTCGCAGATTGCGTCTGCCTCAGCCGTAAACTCAAACCAAGGGAGTTTCCCCGGCTCTACATTCTCGTGGACGGTGAACACACCTGGGTACCTCTTCAAGAATGCAATGATTCGTTTATTACCTGTCAGCCCTATGTAGTCTCTGCACTTGCCCAGATCCTGCAGAGTCATGGAATCCTCTGGGTCAGCAAGAAGTAGGTCCTTCACCTTGAGAACAATTTTCAGCTTCTTCTCTCTCTCGATAATATCGTCAAAATCTACTTCCTTAAGCTGCCGAACCCGCAAACTTGTGGGACAAAGCTTATCCACATGCCACTTCACAGATCTATCATCATGTGCTTGAGACGTGTCGTTTCCACTCGTTTGTCCATCGTCACTGGATCCTTCTTCCGCAGAATTCTCCTCCCAATTTATTGTAGCACGCCGTGAGTAGCTCCTAGCAAAACCCTCCATATTCGGGTAGACCCTCTCGCATTCAGCCCTAACGACTGACACCCAGCATTTGCGATCGTCTTTGTAACCGATTCCCCGATTGAAAAAATGCAAAACGGACAACCCAAAAACCGCTGAATTAACATTTTGCCTTAAGTTCTTCTGACAAGCTCGTAGGGTCTCATGGCTGCGAGAGCTGGCAGTGCTAGCAATGCCAACACCCAAGTGCGGATTCTCAAGCGAGGTCTGTCTTGCAGACAACACAGATTCCTGCGAAAACAACGACAGAGAGCTAGCCCATGATCGACAACCAGAAGACCCCGGCAGTCCGTACAAAGTTGCCTCTGCCGCTGTCCACGCACACCAAAATCTTCTCCTCAACGCCATGGTAGCAGACGGATCCGAAGCTTGGAATTCACGTGACTTGTTGCGCATCAGAAAACGCCCAGTAACCAAAAACTGAGCTCCTGGTTCCTCCAACGACACCGAAAACCCAAAATCTATTACCGAGTCGAGGCTCTCGGCTTCGTTTCGTTGATCAACATCCTTCACGTTCCGAGTTGAGGATCATGGGTTGCAGAAGATTCAAGCCCCACAGTTTCACGATCGAAGATTAGCGCTTCAGGAGACTTGAGATTCTGAAGCCTCGCAATCGAGAATTAGGGTTTTGGAAGTTCAAGCCTCCGAACCTGCCCGCCCTTTAAACTTAAGAGCCTCTCCTTGTTTATTTTATTTATTTTTCTTTGTGCAGTTGTTAATAAAAAAATTAAAAATAAATAAATAAAATCTGAATTATATATTCACAGAGATATCTGAGATCCTCTACTGATACCGAAATTGTAGTTAAACTTCAAATATTTTGAGTGGTTAGTGTTAAATAATTTTTCTGTTTTGCAGGTTGTTGTCTGCTTGTGTATTACTTTCTATTTAATACAAGCGTCTCAACTGTCATAGAGTGACAGTAATCTAGTGTATAATATAAAATGATCATAAATTATTCACGTTATGTTCAAGAAATGAAATGATGAGGAAAGAACCCCAACAGCAAGGAGACAATAATAATAAAAATAATAACAACATCAACAACAAACAAAAATAGAAGGATTTTTTTGTATCACTATTGGGGATCATTTCGCAACAATTTATATTTACATTTAAATATTTAAATATGGTTTTTAAAAAATGGCTTCAGTTGTTAATAGGTGTGTACTTTACGTTTATAAATTTCAAGTCAAAAATCAAACTCTACAACTTATTTATTGCAAGTTTTGATTACAGCCACAATTTCAGATCAACATAAGTAACTGAACAACTGTAGCCATATTTTAAAGTGTAGGAATTGTCAAAATGTAATACTGTATACAATAGTATTTTTTGTGACTTAAGATTTTTTAAAGAATATATTACTTTGACATATCTGAATATTTACACAACAAAATAATGTATAATATTTTTAACGAATAAAAATATATCTTAGTTATTATAATATCATTATATTTTATGGTTTCTGATTTATTCAAAGTAAAATTGCATATATATATATATATATATATATATATACATATATGCATATATACACACACAAAAACATTTTCATGTGATGCAACTTTTTTATCGTTTTTTTAATTTCATACTATTTTTAACATATCAATCACAGTTTCAAGTCATAGGATGTTGAAATTAAAAAATTTACTGAAGAGATTTTTGTGATTATTATATAATAATTACATGATTCCAAAAGTCATAAACAAGAGTTGATTTAATAAAATCAATATTGAATTTGATGTAGAGAAATATTATTTGATGTTTATTTTTTTATTAATATAAATATATATTAATAAGAAAATTGATTATAATATCAATTTTATATTTTATACAAATTGATTAAAAATCATAAAAATTACAATCAAGCTACTTTGATTTCTAATAATAGTCACAAATGGATCATGTGCATGCCATTCTAATATAAGATATTGTCATGCTTGTCTTATATTAAGTAATATAGGACACAAATTTTCTCTAGTAAAGGTCACAAAGGACATTATTGGCAATCAATGAATTTAAACTTAATAAGTTAAAAAAGAGAAAATTAGAGTTTATCTCCTCTTTTAATAAAGATATGTAGTTGCTTTACAAAGCAAATATTGTTTGGAGTGTAAACAAGTCATATTTGTAGAAATTATTCCTCTTAGATTTATATGCTTCAACAAAATTTGATCTCTACTACAAGGGCTTTGCTCATGGACCATATGGATTTAAAAAAATAAATATTCTTTTGAACATGAAATATGGAGTGACTTCTATACTAGACTACTAATTTGGCAAGGTTTCATAGATTATGGGCAATTTTGTTACAAGTTCTTGAGGAAGAAACTAGACAAATACTACATAAAAAGAACCACATTCTAAAAAGATGGAACAAATCATGGATGGCAAAACAAATGCTAAGTTCTAGAACAATTAAGGCAATTGAATGGAACTTCAAAGAACTACAAAGTAGGCTGATAATACACAATAATAGGCTGACAATTTAAGAACTTATCTTACTTCAAGTAGTACTTTTAACTCTACCCAATAGAATATTAGGTGTGAAAGTGTCTTCTATAACTCATCATTGTATCAATGCATTCGCTATATCCCATTTTGAGTGTTTTTATTTTTATTTTTATTTTATTTTATTTTAAAAAGAAAACAACAAAACAAAAAACAAATAACAAAACTACAAAATTTACAAAATCTAATATTAAAATATTAACTTTAATGTTTTACAAACATGTAGGAGTAATAATCACTTTCAAAAAAAAACTTTATAATATTATAATTCTATTAATAAGTATATTACAAAATATATTAAAATAAACATCTATTATTACATATACAATGTGATGTGAAAAAAAAATACATAATTGTTGCGTAGATATCAAAAAAATAAAATTACAATATTTTATTTTAGTCACAAATATTTTGGTACCCACCTCTTGACTAATTTTAGTACCCTCAATCTTCAAATTAGTAATCTCAATAAAATAATTGTCACTGCTAGTCTTTATGTCTTCCACTCTTAAACAACCAACAAGCAACCATTCATCTCACGAGATGGCTCATGAAAGAGTGAGAGAGGCACACAAAATTTAATGCTTATGGTTGTTAAAGCTGTGTGACAATCCTCACTTTCTCCCTATTCCTACAACCCGAATGGGTGCACAATTGTTGCTGAATTGTCGGTGTCGAATGTTTGCTGGTTTGAGTGTCACACAATGCGTCGCCATACATTCACTGGCGATGTCTATCCCTCGCGAGATCGGTGCATCACAAGGTCCGCTAGCTTATGAGGACAAGGCGGAATCTGGCTCAGCTGGTTTGGGGATGTTGGAGATTCTCGATAGCGCAGCTGCTTGCACGCTGGCCAAGCGGTGCAGTCTCCCGATGGGTCTCGAGCTGGGTCCCTACTGATTCTCCTCCTCAGGTTCGTCTCGCAATGCTTCCTGCAGCAGGAATATCTCCTCCTCACTACGCCAAATCTCAGCCAGTTTTCGGCGCTGATACCTCCTCCACGCCGCTTGAATGAACGACGGCGCCCATGTTCGCCAGTGGTGGGAATAGTACCGGAACGATTGTTGGAGTTGTATGCTGTGAAGCTTCCGGAACTGGTTGGCCACAAACTTGAGGTCGCCTGCCGAGAGGGGAAATGCTTCCACCTCCATGACGGTCCTCATGTACGCTAATCATATTGCGGAACTTGGTCGTTGTAATTGCAAACAGAGGTGAACACACATTTTACGGCAGAAATCAGGTTCAACGAAGGTTTCATGGTTCAGGTAGCAGACAATATACCTCAAACCTAGCAAGCAGAGCCACAAACTGTAGAAGTATCTCGTTATAAAATTTGTGGCAGTAATATTGTTCGCCATTCCAACATTGAAGATTCCGTAATTGAAATTATCAACTGAGAAGTCTTCTGCTCCAACTGTGCTTGCTAACCACGCCTCACGACCAGGGATTGCAAGAGAAGCACAACCCAAAAACTTGGGTTGACACAAAGCCTCGTTGGCACACACTCCTGCCCAGCACTTTTGCTCCCGTTCGGCTGCCATCATGTACATGAAAGCGCCTTCTTTGTCCCTAGTGTTGGAGCTGAGCAATTCATTCTTGGAATCACGACTTCTATCACCAACTGCAATGGCCAAGTGGAATGAGCTCTGAACGGGTAAACGACGGGAAAAACCTTGACTTTTCGTAGAATGCTTCGCTCAACGTGCATGGTATGCTGTGTCGAGATACTAATCTGAGGAATTGGCAATACGGCCACAAGGTCGACCCAGAAAGTTTTTCGCAGGTAGCGAGTGGCGATCTTCTTGGGGTCTGTTACGAGGTCACCACGTCCAAATACACGAGACGAAGGGGCAATGTAGGCTGTTTTGAACTGAACTGAAGGAATATGTGGATCATGTGCAAGAAGTCAGTGATGCTTCGGAACTCGGTAGCGGATTCCTTGAGGCCGTCCGAGATTCCAATGCAGTTGTATCGGTCGTCAAAATAAGGGAGGTAATAAAAGAGAGGATCCACCGAGATAGCTACCAAGCACGAGGCCATGAAGACGGTGTTCCATCGTTGGAGGGATACGCTCGTGGGGTCCAAGTTCGTCTTCTTCCCTGACTTAGAGTCGCTTTGGTCGTAAGCTTGAGAGCTTTTGAGCTTCACGTTGTTGCTTCGCCTCCGCGGAGTGCCCGAGGTTCCCTTCTCCAACACCTGTCGCACCGGAGCCTCGCAAATTTGCCGAAAATTATTGGTCTCTCCAATTCAGTGGTCCATCAGTGTCGAAATCGTATCTATCATTTTCGTCATGATCGGATTGAAACCTGGCACAGATAACAGCTTTATGATTTCGAATCCTTGGAATGACGAAACCAGGCCGGTGACTACCCAAATTTTCCCAAGAAGAGTGCATTACCTGACGAATCTCTTCAGATGGCCATCCATTTCAATCACCTTCGTGGAGTCCCTCATTCAAGTGCGCCAGAGCGAGCTGCGTCCTTGTGAATGCTCGTAGCGCGGCAGTCAGCTGCTCTCCACTAGCGTGAACGTGACCTCTATCGAAACTGCAATGGTTAAGCCCTACCTCAGCGCTGCACACAGCACGGCACATTTGAAACTTAAACAATTGTCCTTGTGCCAACCCAAGCTACAACATTTCATCATCTGATGCTTGGCTTGGGTGGCTCGCCATCGCATATTACGATGCTGGTAAGCTTCAGAACTGAACAACTTGTCTGACTGCGAATAATACGAAGAAGAAGAAGAAGTCTAGGCTGCTATATGAACAACCGAGGACGTAAGTGCCATCTACTCCCTGCTCCACGCGCCATCAAGTGGGATACACAACTGAGCTCAGATTTCTAGATCTTCTAGTTATCCTTCGACATCATCCCGTCTCCAGGACATGCAAATTGTCCATGCAACACGAATTAGGCTGCTGGTTTAAGTTCCGTACCATAAACTGAACGGGCAGTGCAACTGCACACAACAGCTTTGGAAGCTATTCATCTGCTGGCGATTGGAACTGTTCCTCAAAGCGTTACTGTAGCAAATTAGCCGGATCCGTGCAATATGGTGAGCCCACCGGCCGACTCACCTACCTGCGGCATCTAGTATATACCGCACACCAACCACTAGACCAGAAC